TAACTTAAGGCTTATTTCGATTTAAGCTTTAATAATAATATTATATATAATTATTTTATATTTTATAATTATTTCTTATATAAATTTAGGAAAAATTTAATTTTAATATTTATTTTTATATTTTCTTTAATATTTTTTAATTAATATTATTTTTTCTTTTTTTTTAATATTATAACACACTTTTTTTTAAAAAAAATTTCTTTAATATTATAATATATTATTATTTTTAATAATTATTTTTAATTACCACTTTTAATTACCACTTTTATTAAAACATTATTTATTTAAAAAATATTTTTATGTTAAAACTTTTTTAAAAAATTATTATAAAAAATTATTATAAGAAATTATTAAATTAATTACGTTATTAAATACCCTTGTAATTTCTAAAAACTTATGTAAGAAAATTAAGATTAATTAAATCGTTTTTAACGTTAATTGCTTAATAACCGTGCGTTTTTTTTAAAAGTTTTTTATTAATTATATTTTTTTAAAATAAACGTTTTTTATTAATTATATTTTTTTATATTAATTATCTTAAATTTTGTTAATTATAATTATATATTTATAATTATTATTATATAAGTATATTTTTATTATTACCGCCGTATAAACATATTTTTATTATTATTATTATAATTTATTAAATCTTATCGATGTATATATAATTAATTTAAAACGTTAAAAGTTTAATTTTTTTTTTTTTTTATATATTAATTAATTAATTAATTAATTAATTTTTTAAGTTTTATTTTTTACTACAATTAAAAAACCTTTAATTTTTATATTATCTCGGTTTATTTAAAAAGTGAATAATATATTTACTTAGAAAATTTTTAAACCTTTTAATTATTAAAAAGTTAATTAATAATTATTTTATTTTTATTTATTATTTATATATTTATTAATTACTTAATTATAAACCTTATTTTTATTTATTAATTATATCTTTATTTATATTTTATTATTAATAAATACGTACATATAATAAATTAAATAATAAGTAAAGTAAAAATAATAAAAGTGAAATTAATATAATATTAATATTTAAAAAAAAAGGTTTAAATTTAAAAGTAAAAAAGGGATTTAACTCCTTATATAATTTAAGTTATATAAATACCTCTTTTAATTATATACGTACCGCGTTAATACGTACCCTTATTATATAACCACCACTTATTTTTATTTATTAATTATATTATTATTTATTAATTTTATTTTTATTTATTAATTATATCCTTAATTATAAATTAATTATAACTTTATTTTTATTTATTAATTATATTTTTATTCACGTTTTATCTTTATTTATTAATTATATTTTTATTTTATTTATTTTTATTCTTTAATTATATCTCCTATTTATTATTATATTAATACTTTTTTATACCTTTTTTTAATTTAATTAACTTTTATAAATATATTAATTTATTTTAACATATTTAACGCCGATTTAACACCCATTAAATTATATTTTAATATTACCTTTTTTTTAATAAAAAGGATAACGTTCACGTTATTTAAATTTAATAATTTATATATATATATATATGTTAATTTTTAATATAAATCTTTAAATAAACTTATATTACTTTAATAATTAAAGTAATTTTAAATAATCCTTTTAATAAGATATATATAATTTTAATAATTAAATTACTTAAAACTTTACCGATAACTTATACGTTAAAACTTTTACAGCTTTATTAATATATAAAAATAAAAATATAAAAGGAATAATATTTCTAAGATAATTATATTAAATAGTTATAAGATAACCGAAAATTAAAGGATTTTATCGGTTAAAGGGACCGAGAATTAAATGTCTTAACTACGTGTTTCTTAGTTAAAATATAAATAACCACTCCCGTGGTTATCCATGGCTATTACCATGTGGGTATCTTTATAACTGCTATTATTATAGCTTATTAAACCTTATCGGTGTATATATAACTAACCTAAAACGCTAAAAGCTTAACTCTTTTCTTCTTTTCTATATATCTTTATTAATTAATTAACTTTTTAAGTTTTATTATAAATTCGTATCCTTTAAATAATTACGCCTTTTTTTCGTCACTTATTCTTAACTTTTAACCCCTTTTTAACTTTTTAAGATAATCTTTTAATTAGACGAGTAAAATTTCTACGGCTAACGCAACAATTCCTAAAAAAAAAAATATCTAAAAGTGATTTAAAGGCTTATCTTAAAGCTTATAAAAAGCTATAAGCCGATAAATCACTTTTAAATATTTTTTTTTTCAAAAAGGCCGAAGAAATTTTATATATATATAATATAAGGTATATATAAAATAAAAAGTAAAAATAATAAATATATATATATAATTTAATAATACTTAAATAAAGAAATAATGTTTTAATTAAAAATAATTTCCAAATTTAAATTAATTTCCAAATATAAATAATATTTTAACATAAATAATTTCCAATTATAAATAATTACTAATTATAAATAATTGCCAATTATAAATGATTGCTAATTGTAAATAAATAAAAATTAAGTTATTAACATAAGTTATTTCCAGCCATTTCCTAGGGGCCAATTATTTCCGCTACTCATACTTTCACGCTATGGTAGCCAGACAAGATACGCCAACGAGCCAAAAGAAGGCATTACAGCCCTGGAAGCAGCATACAGCAGCGAAATTTATGCTTATCCAGTTCAGCTCGTGTAAAGGTAGTAACAACACAAGTGCACAAGTGCCCAGATGGGAATAAAAATAAAACCTTCCTGATTCGTAGCCGTCCCTCCAAAATAAGTGATATTTACATCCTCAGCTGCAGTACTTATCTTTAGCAACCTAGGTGCTGTGTTGCAGTCCGATATCATAGTGTTGGGAGGATATAAAATTCAGCTCGCCCATAAAAATTTGTTGGTTTTCGTAGAATCGTCAATTATCTCAATTTCCGTACTCTGATCATTCCAATGTTCCCACGAGAATCGCAGAGCAGTGCTGAAAGGCACTTGCTCTCTAGTACATACGCTCCTTTTCCTTCTCCTTCCCCTTATAATCCATATTTCGCCACCGCCGGAAAAAGGTCGAGGGAATAACATTTCCAATAGATCACTGATCAGCAAGCCAAAAGAGCGGCCATGGCGTCGGTTTTGGAAACGAACCCTGACCCTGATCTTCTTTCCCCTCGCAACGACAGGATGCTACTTTACAATTTGGCTTCGCTTTCTCTGAGACCCAGATGACCCCGTCAAGTACGCCATTGCCGACGAGGCTTGGATTTTCTATTCCTGGTTCGTGCTCGGCGTCTTCGCCTTGGAGTGGTCGAAATATGGTCTCGCCGGCGTTGAGTCCGCCATGCTTCAAACCTCATTCTGGCAAGCCCCTAACGCTGCGGCACTGATCACGCACAGCGAGAGCCTCTGGAGCGGGCCAGATGGGTGGTTCAAGTTCTTTCTGTGGCTTGTCTCTCCTCAAAAACGTCCGATGCACCGACTATGGCTCTTGCTTGCGGCCTTGACCTTCCTTACCTAGGTATGTGGCATTCCCACTCTCAGGTCTCTCATTTGAGACTTCGGATGGGTACATTTCCCCCAATGATCCTCCCATGGTCATAGGCCATACTTGGGATGATTTCAATCGCAGGCAAACCGACTTTTATCATTCTGGTGCGAAAAAAGGGTGGGAGACCGGGTCGCCGCCGACAATAACCCTAATCCTAACCCCAACCCTAATGAAGTGGCTAAAAATAACCAAGTTGCATAAATTGATTCTTCTTAGCATACTATCTCCAAACTTTCTAAGACATATGTGTATGTCTAGTGGGTAGGCTTTGGCCATCGGGACTTAGATGCTATAGTTGTACAAAAGTACTCCAAGGCTGCTGTCCGCAAGGAATCTCGGAAGTTTCCTCGCTGGTAAAAAGACACCATGATACTTCAAGCACGTCGAACCCCCAGCCAATCTCGGAAATATATGTCTGATCTCGGGATTGCTTCTAACATATCTCTATCTGTAGAAATGCAGGATTTTCAAAGGATTGAGGGCTGCTACTACGAGCAATATATCCTAAGCCATTCATTATCTTGCATTGTTATACTGCTTAGCCTACATACATTGCCATTTCGCGGTCATAAATACAAGCCCCCTAGACCGGCTGTGACTTCCACGGACTTCGGATGAGTTTTGATAAGCATAGGGCATATAGGGCATAAGAGCCTCATTTCTGTTCCGGGGCGATTCAAGCTCTGCCTCCGAATAATCTCTCACGACTTGTCTCTATGGATAGATAACAATATGGGCAGACACGTTGCTCAAAGATACGCTAACAGGTAACCTAGGTAATAGAAGAAAAGCTCCAATCGTTTATTTAACCTACTTCATATTCGATCTTCTGGCTCAAATTGCTCCTTTGTAGGTTTCAGGGAGTCGATTTGGATGCCATGGCGGGTCACTCTCCAGTTTATCAAGTTAATACTCCCACACTGGGGCTAAATTTCCTGTGATCCGTATATGTGATATATCATCTTCCCAAAAGCACAGCAGCAGCAGCATCAGCAGTGGCAATAGTAACAGTAACGGTTCGAATCCCACCTTTTCCATTTTTTCCAAGCTTTCTAATGTATGACCTACTTTTAGAGCTTTTATTACCTTTACATATAACGAGCGTTGGTTTTTCAATAGAGAACGGTTGTATAAAATCAAACGTTTTCTGTTATATAAGAGTTATTGTATAGAGAACGGTCTCTTAGGGAAAGTACCGTTCGTTTCAAGCGCGCATTAACGCTGCGGTGGCCTTCAAAGCCTATTGTTGGACACAAAGAGATAAACTTCTGGTTAAATGAAACACCGAATTCTTTGATCAACATGGCGTAGTATGGGAAAATTGAAGGTTATAAGAGTTAGACGATTGCCCCTGTAATCCACTTGGTATTAGCAACACCGTTGACCCCTATATCTGTCTGCCAACCTGCTCACTACCTACTTACCTGGGTACCTATTGAAGATAATAATAACCTTGGAATAAAGATGTCCACGGCCGACAATACAACCAACAATTCAGGCGACAATTCAGTCGACAGTTCAGCCGCTGCAGCCGCCGAAGAAGTTAAGAAGGGCCTCAAAGAGAAAGTGAGTCTCATCAAACAAATGTTTTTCCAAGATGGACGATTTGAATTTGTTAATCAAGTCGGGAGGGGATCAGCTGGCTCTGTTTATCAAGTACAGTACACCGAAGCAAATAAGCAACCCACCTATTTCGTGTTGAAATTGGGTCTCGGGTTGGAGGACGAGGACGCTTTGAGAACTGAGTTTGAGCGCATAGAGGTATATACTATTCCAAAAGCCACAATGAATTGAGACCGAGCTGACTTTGGCTGACCTCGTCAAATCACGTAGAGTATGCGTGGTGGAATGCATATAGTGCAGCCAGTTAGATTTGTCAACAATCCTATGATGACATTTGGCTTTCCATCGCCATGGCTTTTCATGGAACACTTACCAAATGGTACGATTGGTGACTTCATCTATAGGGCAAAAGTTCTTAAAGTAAGTCGGCTACCTAACCGTTTGCTCTGGAGATTCTTATTATGCCGTAAGTCGTCTTTCATGCATGGTATTGAAACCCCGAGCTGACAGAGATGCAGTGGTAAGAGGTGTGGTTAGCATGACCGTAAGCAATACCCTCTATTAACAGTTGTCGTCTATAACCACCCTATAGTTGGTACTAACTATCTATTGTACGTATGTAGTGGCCTAGGATGCGTACTGATGACCAGTTGGAATGCGAAGAGCCTATTCCGGGTGATCCAGGTCTACACTTCGCACACGGTGACCTTCATGCTTGGAACGGTACGTGGATAGCCTAACGATATTTTATCTGACCATATGATCACTAATATGACATCAATCTAGTCCTTTGTGCAGATTTCGACGACTTCGGGGAGCACTCAATTACACCACTCCTAAAGATTATTGATTTCGGCAATAGCTTTGAGACAGAAGATAGCGAGTGGGAGCCTGTTAATAAGAGTAATCAAAACAGAGCCTTAGAATCAAATTTTTTCTTCATTGGAAAGGTACCTATATTCTCTACCCAGAAGAAGGAGTGTAACTTTTGATAGGTATCACATATTAATAGCTTCGGCAGATCATGGTTATGTTAATTACGATGGATTTGACGTTTGCGGCTACACCCAAGTATGACAAAACTGTTGACTTTCCTTATTGCGGCCAACTTGCAAAGACTTGGGCTGCTCCAATAAATCCGGGTGAACCGTTCCATCCCATTAGGCCATACCCATGGCTTGATGAGTGGCTGCAGACCATGGTCTGCTTCTTGATGGTGACCAAAGCCGATGATATGCCAACTCTAACTACGATGCTCAGCTGGGTAAAGTTTGCTGTAAGGGAAAGAACCGAACAATGGTATGACAACCCCCAGGAAAGCGACCTTTTTATTAGGAATTTCTGTCAGACGGTGATGCTCACTCCAGGACGAGTGGAATCCCCCATGGGGATGCCAACAGAAACCCCAACTCCAACAGAAAGTACAGCAACAGGAACTACGACAAGTAATCCAAGCCCAGCTTAAAGGGATAGACTGCAATTGGATATTACGTCAATCCGATGACGTGATCGTTGTGTCACGGTCTTCTTCACCCCTTTTCGACAGAGCACAGGACCGACAAATTGCCTTGCTAAACATTTCCTGTAAGTACATACAGCCAGGCAGAACCCTAATTCTTTAAACTAAGCCTGACATCCGCGTCTCGAGCAAAGGAGGTATCACCCTCAAGGCTTGGTGAACGTTATATTATAAATTTATCTTTCTGCGACAGGCAGGCCTGGTGTGATGGCACGATAATCTGAACATGTGTTAGCCCCACTATTACTCTGGGCTACTCAGGGGCATTTCAGGAGAGCCGTCTTGCGCCTACCTACATTACCCCCCCTTTCTACTAGTTAATACTAGTATCTCAACATAGAAAGCACCCAGATCGCGTTGCCAAGTTTCCGAGTTTCCGCCTGCTGCTCCTCTATGTATGTGTATATAACGGTTCTCACCTATCTGCACCGCTCTCATTCTCCCCTTCCATACACACATACCCTTACTATTCTTGCAACATTTTCTAGCGATACTCTCTACTCTTCTTCCTTTGATCTACCAAGACAACGCGCGTCGCTCCTCGTATGGATCCAATATAGCCAAAGCAGCTTTTCTTGACGAGGCTTGCAACAGTCCTAGAGGGCATCGACTTACCAGCGAATTTTGGACAGCGTGTCAAGTAGGTAGTCATTCAATGGACACTATGTCGTAGCTCGAAGACCAGCTTCAGTTGAGATCAGAGACATTGATTCAATCCTTCGATTAGGTCTCTACACTGTAGTCAATCCCTACAAGTAAGGCCCGTTTGCTGCAGCCCAACAGCCTTGGTCAGTTGCTGCAACAGGGCTGCAGCCAATTAGGTCAATTCGTCATATCCTATTTAGGAATCTATGTACAATACCTACGCAGGGAGCCAGTGGGGTCTTGAGTTGTCAATGGGAATCAAAGCCAATAGAGGTAGATGTGTTGTTAGGAGGCGCCCAATCATATTGCGAATTGTATTTTACTAACCTAGCATAGTAGCCTTGCACGAAGGTCGTGACTCATATCTCGTTAATACCTAACTAACTACGGCATCGCGGATGAGTTACCGATCCAACAAACATGCCTACCTCATAGGAGTAGACATCCGACATTGTGGCATTGCTACTTATAGTAGGTATGGTCGTGCTAATAGAGGAGGTAGGTAGGTAGGTAGGTAGGTAGGTTAGCTAATACATGTCATTGTAGGTACTAGTAGTATAATATTTTCGAGAATGTTTCCTATTCGTGTTTGTGGGCGTTTAACTAATTATCCCGTTCAAATATTTGGAGAAGATGCAGACTAGAAGAAGCATCGCGTCTGTTTCGTGTTAAACTCGCGTCTATAGGACAAAATAGAATATTAGTGAAAGAGCCAAGCGCGATGAAAGCCACGGTCCGGGATGGTAAACAGGCATTCTACCGGGATTATACAGGGTTCCATGTTATACGGCATAGTACAAGACTCATCTACAAAAAACACCAGCCACTGATTTTTAAGAAACAATAGATCCTATTGGTTGCCACAGACTTTAACATCCCCGCCTGTCGTTCCGTTTCCTAAGCTTCCCTTCAAGGTGGGAACCCCTTGTCGTACCTAATCGGACCTTGTCACCCGGCGCTTCTGTTCTGCACTAATGTACAATACTGTACCCTACCCTAGGCCCTAGGGTAGTTGTATGGTAGTGCATAGTAGTGCAGTCTGCACATTTCCGCACCTTTTTCTTCCACTTTTCCGCTTTTTCTGCTTTTTCTGCTTTTTTCCCCACAACCTTCGAAAATCTTCACATTGTTTCAACGTTTCAACTTCTCTCACTGGCTGAGAAACCTGGACGGTGAGACGGTTACAGCTAGTGTGCATCTAGTGTACATGTAGCACCATGCAGGTCACACGGATTCCGACCACTCACCTTTCACATCGCGCTCTATAAACACTTTCGCGTCCCTCTATTTGCTGTCTTCTAGACTTCTCTCTGCTGCGTGGCCGCATGGCGACTTGCAGATACTCAGCTGCACTATAATCGTGAGAATGACTCACTCACCAACCATTCTCGATTTGTCCAACCTTTTTGATATCCAGCAGTGATCTAGGATACACTTGCACCGTAGATCGCGGGAGGTGGGTTTATGGGTATGCAGAAATGCTAAGTAGGTGATTGTGCATGGCCCAGTATGGCTGAAAGGGTTATAACATGCGTCGCCGGCCTTCGCGGGCCTATTTGGCCTGCAACCGGTTTCCTTCTTTCCAAATTATTCAGGCGTCAAGGTTGATTTTGTCGAATCAACTCGAGTCGCATTATTGTCGCACATTATTGTATTGTATTGTCGCATTATTCTTTGTTATACCACTAGGAAAACCTGCAGGCCTCGGAGCATCTCACGACGGGCTGCGAATAACCTCACATTAGCGTCTTTCTCATCTTGCAGTGAGGCTCTACCATCCATAAATCAATCTATCTTTTTTCCGTATTATTTGTCTCTCGCATCTTGCTAGTCACCAATCAATACGGACACCCTGTGAACATACATTGTTAGCAGAACAAACTAATTATCATTCATCTCAGTACCACCGTGACCAGTTGGTAGCTTTGAGATCTTCGCCCCCCCCCCCAAAACACTTATCTTATTAAGATCTACTTCACGATATGCAAGAGCTATGGCAACAGGACCGCAACCGTTCTACTGCCTATGGCAGAAGGAGCGCATCCGTGAAAAGCTCTTCGATTTACTATCCAAGGAGGACATCTGCAATGTTCGACTCGCATCTTCAGCCTGCTGTAACCTGGTTACCAAACGGCTATTCCTACGAACCCACTTGACCTTCACCGCACACACCTTCACTCGGCAAAGCAGAATAGAGGCATTGTCGAGGATAGGCCAACATATAGAACATCTCACCTTTTATTTTGCACACTCAGATGCTACCTTCTTACCTCCTCTCATCCACCCCGAGACTGGGCGAGAGATCAGCTTCTTATACAAGCCACATACCTCCATGGCATCAGTCTTGGAGAGACCCAAGTTCGCCAACGAGGGGCTCGGCGAGATTCTCACGGCGCAGTATCCACCTCTATTTCATGCCGCATCCAATGTGCCCTCTTTCATCAATGCTATGAAGCATCTACCAAACATGAGACATCTCACCATCAAGACTCCGGGCCAAGATCCCCGGGAGAGATATCGGAGGGATATAGTTGACTACGCACTCATTAGCCTCCGTATATCTCTCGAGAGGGCACCGATAAAGAAGCTCTCGAAGCTTTCTTTATCTTCCATGCACCCTTCGGCGTTCATCTACCTACGACACGTTATGGGCTTCGGTTGTCTGCCATCAGCGACTCGCCGGTGGAAGCAAATCCGGAAGTTGCATATCTCTGTCGAGTCATGGGACTTCTATGGGACATCGCCGGGGCTCGATCATCTCAAGATGATCGATGATTATATCCGCGACTTCTCCTCAAACCTGGAGAAGTTGAAGTTCACTTGGATTGGCCAGAAGGGACCAAACCCACTGTCACTCGCAGCTGATCCGTTATTTGCGCCTCCTCGGAGCTCGCAGAAGTTGTTCAACGAGGTCACCTCCCCAATGTCACCCCTCCCCCCGGCGCCGTCAAGGAAGCCTGTTGTCTTCCGCAAGTTGCGTTACATGGCAATTCGGAACGCGACCATGAACGCACCTCAAGTAGCTGCCATGGTTGCGGCGCATCAACACAGCGTTCGGGAGTTCGACTTTGAGAACGTCGTTCTAATTAATGAGGACAGCTGGGACGAAGCTCTCTCGCCGTTAATGAACAAGAAGTCACGTGGCAACAAGTGGACTCGACACTCAGCCGCGACCATTAATGAAGTCGCGAGTATCCATGTCCGGGATCTGGAAGACGACATCCCTGATTATTTCCCTGCTGATTTCCCTGACCATTTCCTCGATGATCTACCAGAGGAATCACCAGCCGTCTCTGCAGTATCCCAGGAGCTTCTGCACCTTGACTTAAATGGTAGCGATTACGAAAATGATGATATCCCTGAAGAAGTTGAGGACCTTGAATTATCTCCAGAATTAGAAGCTGCCCGAATAGCCAGCATTTCCTTCCCGCACAGCCTCAAGAAACGCCGCGTTACGAAGCAGCATCAAACAAAGAAGTCTAAACACGACCACGACAAAGACAACAAGCAGGGACATCATCGTCAAAAACGGGAGCATCACCGGCAGCATTCCAAGGATTCGATCGAGCAATCAAAGGACAAGCCTCGCCGCCATCGCCATCAGCGTCACCAGAAGACCAAGAAACCCGTGGAGGACCCGCCGCAGACCCCTACTCCTCGTTCCAAGCACAGCCGCCAGCCCTCCAACGAGTCGCTCCATTATCGCCCCCAGGAACCACCTCAGCTATCCATCTCACCCCAGGGCTCTCCCGGTCATCTATTCGGCGAAGTCAGCAGCATCTACTCCACCCTCTCACGCCGCCTCTTCGGCGAGGTCTCCAACAACAACCACTCAGGCTCCGAGCCAGAGCTCTCACACTCGCCCATCGACGAGTCCGACTCCATCGTAGACGAGTACTACCGGCCCAGCACGCCCACCAACACCACCAGCACGCCCATGATGAACATCTCGGCGCCCATCTTCTGCACGGCGCCCAGCATGCCCGCGCTCCTCGAGCCCACCATCTACGACCCCACGGCGGAGCTGTGCTCCGAGATCTCCGCCGTGCAGCGCGACATCGCGGCCGAGGAGGCGCAGCGCCTCGTCGCCGAGGACACCGACGTCCAGACTAGCGCACTGCGACGGGCTAGGGAGCTTGTGCTCAGTCGCTTGGGGCGCGAGTTCTCTTCTTCTTCCTCTGCTTATTCTACGGATACCAAAAATCATTACAATGGCAGCGGTAGTGGTGGTGCGGGCCTTGTAAAAAAGCCCAGCAACGCGGGCAGCTTCCTCAGCAGCTCGCGGTTCCGCGAGGGCCTGTTTGGCAGGAGCACGGCGACGGTGAATAGCTCGCTGCTGGGACAACAGGACCACAGGAGTATGGATGTGCCGATATTGTTTAGTCGGGCCTGATTCTTTTTTTTTTCTTTTTTGGTGGTTGGTGTTACTGGTTTGATGATGATGATGATGATGGTTGGAGTGAAAAAAGGAAGACGATGTGATGTGATGTGATACGATATTATGAAACTGACACCTTATCTTATGACTTGTAATGATGAACTACCATGACTGACTAACTTACTACTTACTATACCCACTATGTACCTATCCAGATACCATTTTTCTATGTCTGATAATACCACGTTCTTTTGCTGGTTATGTAGATTTACTTAACCTACCTGCACATCTTGTTACGTGTATATATTTAGTTAGAATCTAACATTGAACTCCCCTCTACAACTGATGAAGTTGGTTGTTATATGTGTATGAGATGTTTTCGCCGAGTTGCAAGAAGCTCGAAGCTAAATCGGCTGCTGTTTCACCAGAACATCTTAAAAGTCGTCTATGCCTTCGGTGTAGAACATGCCCTACACCCTACCCTGTGTACGAGCAAGTCGAAGCAATGTTCCATACTACAGCCCAAGTGAGCCACCTCCACGAGGGAGCAAAGAAGCGCATCCCCATTCTTCTCCGTAGGAAAATCCCAACTCTCGTGATTCCAAACTTAGGTCCTTAGGTACCTTCCCCCATTTACTACATACCTACTTACCTTAGTAGGTAGACCTCGAGGTTTACTTTTCTCTACCTACCCAGTCTTCCCGTCTTTCATCAACTAACCGGGTACCTACCAACAAAACACCACAAAAAAAAAAGTCTCATCAACTTCCATCTCCCCCCCCAAGCAACAACAAAAAGAAGTAATAACAATAAAAAAAAATGTCCCCCCTCATCCTCCCCCTCCTCCTCACCCTTCTCAAACTCCTCGCCGCCATCACCGCTCTCTACACCGTCCACCTCATCCTCGCCTTCCTGCACCCGTACCTGTACCCGCGCATCTCCGGGGCCGAAGCCCTGTCGCTGAACCGGTACCTGCACGCGACGAAGGGGAAGCCGGCGTGGGCTTTTGTGTCGCACGTCGCCACTTCCCCCTCCCACTCCCACTCAGAACTCGAAAATGAGCATGGGGAAGGAACGATAGGCCAAGCCCTCGCCTTCGAGCTCGCGTCGCGGGGCTTCAACGTCGTGCTGCACGGCTCGGACCTCGGCGCGCTGCGCGCGGTGCGGGACGCGCTGCTGCGGCGGTATCCCGATGGCAGGTATCGGGTCGTGGTCGCCGCGAGCACGGACACGACGAGCGTGAGCGCAGCCGCAGACAGAGACGGAGACGGAGACGGAGACGGAGGGGCAGATGCGTTTGTGCGACGGGTCGTGAGCTCGCTCGAGGACGTGAATCTTACTGTTCTTCTCGTCACTGCTGCCGCTACCACCACCACTAAGATTAGCGACAGCGACGACGGTCACGACAACACCACCACCACCTCGACCCCAGCACCAACCCTAACCGCAGCCCTATCGCCCCTCCTAGCGCGCAACGCGCCCGCCCTCATCATCCATCTCTCCTCTCTCCCTTCCCCCCCATCCCCATCCCCATCCACAACCCCTACCCACAGCGTCATCAAAACCCCCACAAGCAATATCACCACCCTCCACTACAAACTCCTCCCCCTCCCCCTCCCCATCCCCATTCCCAAACCGCGACAGCAAGAACAAAGCCCGTCCCTCCTCCACCCTCCACCCTCGGTCCTGGCGCGCGCCATCCTAGCACGCGCGGGCTGCCATGACGGCGACGAGGGCGAGGGCAAGGGCAGCAACGTGGTATACCCCTATCTCCCGCACGCGGTGGTGCAGAAGCTGCGAGGGGTGTTGCCGGTGTGGGTTGTGGATTGGGTTGTGGGAGATATGTATAGTACCGCCATGCAGTTTTAGGTAGGTAGGTAGATAGATACCTAGTGGGAAAAGAGGGGGCAAGAGACTTACTTCAATGTTGGGAAAAGAAAAAGAGAAAAAAAAAAGGGGGGGGGGGGGGTTGATGGATTTCGAGGTCCCGCGTCAAGATAAAGTACGGATACAGTTGACCCAGCTTACCACCACCGCTACTACAACATTCACACGCAAACATCACATCACATCATTATCATCATTTTCCTATATTAAGTAGATAATTTTGCTTCTCTTGTTCAATGTTATCTTTACTTTAGTAGCATCTTCATAAAACCGTTACAAGTTACAAATGCGAAACCCGTCTTCTTGTCTCTGGGTATCTGGTTGAAAGAATAAGAGAGCGAGAAGGGAGAGATAAGGGGGGAAAAGTTCAGTTCGCCATCCTCCGTCTAATTCCCCATATCCCCATATCCTCAGCGAACATCTCGTTCGGAACAGTCCGCCTCCTTTCTCACGGGAAAGCAAAAAACGAGTAACAAGAAACATTAGAATCTGAGATTCCTTATTCTGGGGGGGGGAAAGGGGGGGCTATGCTTTTGTGTCCATCCTATGCAGTGTATTTTGAGTTGGCGCCTTTGGCTGCCGTAATGCCCCTTCTTGGAAAATATAGAAAGAAGAAAACCTCCCGTGAGAATCATTCTTTCTGAACTTTGGAAAATCAAATGTCCCAAATGATGCCTTACAAGCCGGTCGAAATAGTCGAGGATTTGCGACCTGCTATCGAAGGCTTTGCCCTAGAGTACGCCACTGCTGGAAAGTAAAAATCCAACGCCAAACAAAAAGCTCCTGTAATGCTCATGCCATGCCCGCTCAATATACAGAATCACCTCAAGTTACAAAGAAAAGTACCTGGATAGGTAGGCCGGTAGGTAGTGGGCTACAGAGTAGTATAATAGCCCATGTCGTGGATATATCATCCAATTGCGATCTCTGTCTCATTAGGTCGTAGAGACGGATTATTCGCGGAATTGGATTTAACGAGCGTCTTGCCGGAGATGGCCACATTTCTAACCCTCTGACTAAGGGGTAATGTGTATTTCAAAACACCCTTGACAATCAAGGTGAACTCGTCTGCGATGATGCGCTCCCATCGCTGGGTGCCACTGTCGGTGCCATTTCCGGGCCGGCTTAAACGAAGCGAGCCAGTAGAGGTGGAAATGCCAGACTGGAAAAACGACCCTTCGTAAGTTAAAGGGCTGTCGAAAGTGATGACATTTCCGAGACGCATATTCGGCGAATTATCTTCGGGGGGTTCGTCATCGTCGTCATCGCCTGGCAACTTAACAACCGGTGGATCATTTTTAGGATCATCGAGAATGCCAAACTCATCCCCATTAGGATGCCGCCACCATTCCGAATCGGTACCGGCGTGTGGGGATTTCGCAAATATCTCGAGGTCGGCCGAATCGATCATCACAACGACAACGTTCGGATTGTGTGCTTTCACGGTGATGTCCATCATTAATTCCTGTTCGCTGGCTAGAACATTGTCAATCTTCACCAGCTCAACCGCACTGAGCGGTTGGGATGTCGCAAACATGAACCCGAGCGCTCCTGAGAGGACAACTAGTAGCATTATAGTAAGAACCAAGCAGCTTGCAAATCGGTTGAGGAATGATGGATTCTGTTGATAATTTTGGGCCTCGAGATTTCTTGGGTACGGATTGCGTCGACTCCGGGTGGATCGGATAGATCTGGTGGTGCCGCTCAAGAGGAGCGGAGTCCTCTCGTCATCGGCGCCAGTAGTTGTATCGTCAATTTCATAGCCGCCAGGCAACGTCAGTTGTCTTTTGTTGGATGCCCATCCTCGAGCTGTACCAAATCTCGGACTTGTGGGATTAGATGACTGTCTAGGATTATTATTAGGTAACTTGGACCTGGCGGCGTTAGGGAATGGAGATTCATTGTCGAATAGCGAAAGGTGATTGTTGCCATTATTCCTTCCCCAACGACCAGGGTGATGATGCCGGGTGGTTCCTCGTGCAGAGCCAACGTTACTCCGGCCTGTGCCTCGGCCATCGTCGTCATACGAGGCCTCATTCCCACTACCAGTGTAAGTATTCACAAATTTCATGTTCTTCTTAACCGGTAAAGTAGGTTGGCTGCTGTCTATCATGCCTGTCATCGAACGCAAGCCATTGCGATCGACCTGACTGGCCATAGAAGTTGCACTGGGGGTGCGTGAGTGATACCGACGAGGGCGGTCGGCCACTTCTGGTGGGTTAGAATCGTAAACGAAAGTCTCGTCCGAGTCTGAAGAGTTAGCCTCCTCCACCGCGCTAGCAACTTTGGCTTCGAAGATATCTGCCTTGGAGGATGCTATAGAAGATCCTCTGGTTAGCAAACTTGACATTTGGCTTGTCACACTCATAGCCATTTGCAGCACTGGCCGCTGCTGATTAATCGAACTAATTTCATCCACATACGATCCTTGACCGTACGCTTTGCCTGGGGAGCGGCGAGATACAATAGATCTCCTCGAGCAGCTATGTCGGAGCTTGTGGGGAGGGTTCTCACCATTTCCAGAAGCAACAGAGGTGGCTTTTCTGGGATGCTTCTTCTTCTCCTTCCTAGGTTTGATGGTCTCAGAGCTTGGCTTTGTTCTGAGACTGCCATTTGTTCCCTGGCCTCTCGCATTTGGGGCAATTGACAAGCCTGGGAGGTTACTGATCTGCTCTGTTTCGACTGTCATATTCCGGGACGAACTCTCGGCGGTAGTTGGTCCCTTGCCGCTAAATTTGAGGGCCGTGCTAGAATGTCGGCTATGGAGCGAGGGTGTGGGAGCTGTACTGCTCGTCCTTCTAGGATTTCGCCTTACATTTCCACCATCACTACCGCTTTCGCCACTATTCGTTGCGGTATGGCTAATGCTGGGTTTCTTGGTAATTGCTCCGGATCCTTTGGTTTGAGTAGACGACTGGGATTCGGCGGTTTCGGCAAGCTTTTCAATAGCAAGGTCCAGGCCTGGTCGCGGAGTATTCGGTTGGCTGATCTCCTGGACCGTCTCTAGAGTTGACGAGCCATTGCTAGGCCCACGAGCAGGAGTTCTCATACCAGATGACAGATATTGTTCTTCAACCTCGTTGTCGGACGTAGATTGCGAAGCGGATTCCACATGAGGCGAAGGGGTTGCTCGCTGAACATTGATGAGAGGTGCTTCTTGATCGCTTCTTCGTGACGACGAACTACCTCCTACTACTGGTCGGCCGATGTTAGGGGGCGGGGATCTCAGTCGAGGAGATATGGGCCACCGGGGTGAATCTTTGGATAACTCTGATGGAGCAGGCGCCTTCTGCGGAACAGGTGTTCGTAATATAGGCTCGGAGTTTGAAGGAGGCGGGAGCGAAGGGGTCGTGGCTGAGGAAATTTGTCGTGGGGTCGTAGACGGTGTAGGGATGTTAGATCTAGATCTAGAGGGGCTTGGGTCCTGAAAACTATTCTTGCGTGACCTCGCGGGAGTTGTCGAACCGCGGTTCATCCGTCCCGTTTTAACCGTAAGACGTGCTGGTGACGGGTCTCTAGACTGCGTAGGTGATGCTGTTAGCGAAGTAGATGCTGAAGTCCATTTGGATGCTTGGGAATCTACGTGTGCGCTGGATGTTGCGGATGTGTCATTGTCGACAGAGTTCAGGCTGGACAGGCTGGCGTCCATAGCAACGGGATTGTTTGCCATATTGCTCGGCTGGTTGGCTGGTGGACTAGTTTCTATGGAAAAGAGATCGGATTCGGCGCACAAACAATGGAACCACGTCTATGGGGTCGTGCCACGAAACTCGACGAAATGGGGAATTAGCTCGGAAAAATGACGGTGGTGTTTCGATAGAGGTTGATCATCGTTGATGTGGCAGCAGCTTCGCATGCGACTCACTTCCCACACAGGATAGACTACTAGAGAGGTCGTACAATCTGCAAGTCGTTGGATCCTTGGCTGTTGTAATGAAGGTCCCGTCCCCTAACGGTTTTTCCCCCCCACCGTTTTCTTCACCCGTCACAACGTTAACCGGGTCTATTTGGTGTGTGTGTGCTTGGTGTGTGCTTAAATTCCCCCGGTCAAAAAAAATGAATGAGGTGCTGCAAGAATTGACGAATGGAGCCTGAATCTATGGATGTATTGTTTGTGTGATTTTTGTCGGATGCAAAAAGTCTGCAGACGCGGGATTGGACGCGGAACCAAAAACGTCTAAATGACACAATAATGTGGAGAGTTGCGGGTTGTTTAAGGTGTACTGCAGAAATCCTGGGGGGCGATGGGGGGAGGGGAATTGGGGGGGTATATGGTATCGTATGTGCGTTGTTATGTTTGATCCAAGTGAAATGAATGAATTGGAATTATTAGGGTAGCAGAGAAAGGCAAGGTCAGCCGAAAACCAGTCTTTGGGAAGAGATTAAAATTGTGGAAAGTGAGGCGTTAAGTGAGAGAAGAGGGTTGATTTGTTGATGAAGAGAGACGGGGATTTGATTGTATGTACGCATAGTACGGTGCTATGTAAAATAAAGTAAAATAAAGTAAAATAAAGTAAATGATGTATTCAAGTTGCGAACGTTGTACAGTTGTATAATGCAGTTGTATAAGACAGGTGTATACACGTATCTTTATTATGGGTACAACCTTTTTGTGCACCAATCCATGCAAGCCATGTACGTATATACTTGGTACATATTACATCCATGTATGACATTGAATTTGGATGTATGTAAATACACACTGAATGTACATAGTACAGTAGTCTACTTCAAGTTGTGTACCTCCAGCTAGGTACTAGGTACAAATGAGCTTAGCATGAATGGAGACACCTACATGGTATTATGTAGTAGTATGTAGTGACATTTGTATCTACATGCAACCACACCAACACCAGCAGCCAGGCATCCAAGATGTCGAGACCGTTTATAGATCTGAATTGTTTCAATGTCTAATGTTCAATGTTGGTGAATATCCTGGATACATGTGGTATACACAGGGTAGTCAACGGTATTTGCTAGTTATATTTATGCAACCACTTAGATCCTCTTAGCGCTGGGTGTGGGTTTAAGGACATTGGCATAACTCCCAACGTTGAAGCTCGAAGCTTGTTAGGCTGATAGGTTATAGTTAGGTTATTGCATATTCCATAAAGATAGAAGCAGCCCTCGCCCGTTTAACAAGATAATCCTTCGAGAGCATTCAAAGTTCAAAGTTCAAAGTTCAAAGTCAATTAGCAATCACAAAAATCGGCAGCTGTACCGAAGAGCGACGGTATTAAACCGGGACTGTCCCTGCTTGAAAGCTAATAGATTAGTCCGCTTAATAAATTTAGATCCGGCATGAGAGCGGTGACGGGGGCAATTACCAAACATTCGGTCTCACTTTAGTTAGTTATTCAATATTATCACCCGTCCATCAAGCCTCGGTACACAACTTATATACTATGTACCTACATATGTACATATGTCTATAGTTACATACTACCTAGTTAGTAGGTATAGTAGTACATAGATCTCCGTCACTCCGTGTTATGGCAACTTGTAAGTATACCCAACTTGTACAACGTCGGGTTAAAGTTCCCAGGTTGGGCTTGAGAATAGATCTAAAGTAGTGACGTTGGACTTGAATGTTATTACACGTTCATAAGACCGGGGCTGTGCGACGATGAATCCTAATAGAATTGGATGTTGCTCTTTATTAGTGCTCTTCAGTAGGTACATACGTAATGGGTACATCAATAAGCATATTACGCCGTGCGGCAATGCGGTATTAAGTTAAGGACATCTGGAAGCCTCGGGTCAGGAACGTCCAGGAACGCCAACTGCCCGCTACTTACGAATCCTTGAGAAAGTACTTGAAACTACAAGAAGACAAGCCTCCACCTCAACAGTTTCGGAAGTCGATATTAGGTAACTTCCGAATTGACCGCAAGTTACTTTTATATTTTGACGGACATTTTAACATTCGATGTTTTCCCTCAGCTTCTAGTTAATATGTACATAACTATATGTACATATACTATGTAGGTAACTACATGTACCAAGTAGTAAGTACCTCACGCCGTAAGTAGTAAATTCCAACTCATTCCACCTGGGCAGCTTTTTATTTTTATTTTTATTTTTTTCTATTTGCCTTCTAGACGAACTCTTTTTCTCCATTCTCCATTCTCCACTCTCCACTTTGCCCTTTCGCCTTAATATGTTTGCATTGAATGTCTTGCATATTATTTCCTTCACGTACATAATACATGCATAATACCTATAACATGCGTAAGTATGCATAATTTCCCTCTGTCTACCGCCTATTATTCGAACACATGAGGATATCCGAGCGAGTAAGCAAGCAGTCTATTGTACCACACACACAATATCATCTTTCTACTTGGGAGAACCGAACAATAATAACATTGAATATGTGACAGCTGATGAACCGTAAGCCTGTGGGGTGCATCGACACCCATTTTCGTCTAAAAAGCAAAAGATAGGTTGAATAAAAAAGTGATGATGACGGGCTTTCCTCAATACAGACGTGGGCTGCGTGGGATGCCATGCCATGCCTAGAAGCGGTTGAATCAAGAAAAAAGTCGCCATCAGATTAGGAACGACGGACGAAAAGAGGCCTTTTTGGATTCCTACTATACAGTCTACTACTACTATTGCTGCTAGTAACCCCTACTCAGCCTTGCATCCGCCTATGGCAACCTCGCTTCTCAATAAGAACCCGGCAAATTTGGACCTCTCAGAGATCGACATGTGGACGATTTCTTTGCTACGCAAGCAAAATGAGTTTCTTTTTCTTTTTTCTCTCTTTTTTGGCTGATGCGTGTCTGACGAACGTGACCCTGACAGCTCAATCCTTCTCTCCTACGGATTCTTTAATGATAGGCACCAACCCACGGGGACGTTCGTCGAGGGAGCATTGCATATGCACAATTTTTCAATTTGGAGTTCCAGGAATGGTAACCATACAAGAAAAAATGTGGCAATATCGTACTATCATTGCGCGTAGTGTAGATACATGTAGTGACATATATCGCTCTCCTTTTTTTTTCAAGAATACTCAAGTTCACCCAGTCACCTTCCTTCTAACACATGCCCTCATTCAAGTGAGTCAAAGTAACCGGTCAGTAACCGGTCGGCTAGTGATGATTGTGACGATTGGATAAACCAGCAAGAGGATAAACCAGCAAGAGGGGAATATTAGTAAGGTTGAATCCTTTCAAATCAAAGGCAGAATCCGACGGGAAGATCCGGTTAGCTATTCAGAGATCTAAATTGGTACCTTTGGTATTTTAGATGTTGGAAGAGGCAGTAAGAGTCTAGTACTACGTATTGTCTATTATTAATAAATGGCGTAGGCTTACTTTCAGATATGTATTGTACATACGTACATGTGATTCGATAGCGATGCGAGTTTCTACATGCCAATCCCCCATGTCTAACCCACCGCCGCCCCAAGTCTCAAGGAGGGAAGAAAGGGGGGTAGGTAATATCGACAACGACTCTAATGACGCTTACTCCTTTTCAACCCTTTCCTCCTTTTCCAAACTTCTTCTTTTCATTACCCTTCTACATTAGAGCAACACTAAATGTCAAGTAAAATAGACAGAAATACGGCAAGTGAATCAATCGGCTTAGCTATATGTATAACCTATGTACCTATAAACCAACTTTTCGTAGATTTCTCCAACAAGATGTGGCTGATTGGGCTGTAACAGAATATTGAATGCATCTCACGTCTCACGTACATATACCTAAAGATAACTTCAACTCGTAGACTTCAATAAAGGGAGTATTCGTGATAATCTTCCACGTGTAGTTACCCATTGTACACGCCAGACCAACCCAACGTATTCCGAATCTACAGCACAGCCGGCAATGTGTCCCACAAACCCAGGAGCCACGCCGTCCCCAAGCGGACCAGCAAGGAGCAGCAGCAGCAGCAGCAGCAGCAAGCCGCCCCAGCTGTCCGCCGGCCCCCCCTATTCTTCTTCCGCGCCCGCGACCTGTAGGGCGAGTTCTGCCAATAGCCACCGGGCCGCCTTCACCGTCCACAAAGCTGACATATCCGCCGTCGTCGGACATCCCGTCGGCAACGACCACGAACCCCCCCGGTCGCCACAGGTAGCCCCTCATCCCAACCCCAATCACCACCACCGTTTTTCTTCAGCACTTCCCTTCACCAGCGCCCCGCAATCCACGGCATTCCTCAAAGCCGCCCTCTTCCTCTTCCTCTCCTCTCCTCTCCCCACACAACCCTGCTCACCAAAGTCCCTCGGGCGGCTCGTGCGCGACTTCGATCCCTCCGGGTCGTCGTGCTGGGTAACCACGCCTGCGCTCTTTACTGCTGTCGACGGGCGACGGCGCAGGGTCGCGTTTGGGGTTTGAGACATTGTGTTTGATGCGACGCAGGCGATGGTGTGTGTGTGTGTGTGGGGGGGGAGTGATGGATGGCGTTTGAAATTGGAAGTCGGTGGTATTCTTGGGCTGGCTGGCCTTGCCATCTATGCATGTATGGACACCACATCGTTCCTCGAATTTGTGGCTTTGGCCCTTTTGGTAGGTAGGTATTGTAGTGTGGTTTCCTGGGTAAATATTATACACTACCTACTTACCGTATCTGTCATAAATACTAATACAAATGACTAACCTACCAAAATGAATCAATACATCTAGGTTAAGGGCTTCGTGCAAATAATGCTACGTAGATAGATTTAACCTACTTCAGTTGAATGGCTCAGCATGAAGCACGCGCTCATCAGTCACGTCCTTCTACTTCCCCTAGTTCCGATTAGTCCATTATGAGCGACGCTCATGATGATAAGGAGGGCATCGCGATATGCTCGTCGCGGCTTGGGAAGAGACTGAGCCATCTCAGAGCTGCTTCCAGTATACCCCCCCCTATTTGCAGTTCTTCCACGTTGTCTAGGTATAGCTTCCTATGTACATGGGTTAAAACTACCTAGTAGGCAATAGCAACACCGGCCACCACACCGTTCTAGAGCGAAGCTTTCACCATCATCGACTCGAAAAAAGCCACCATGCTGAACGATACGGATGAACGTCCCGAACCCGACAAACCCCAGCAGCGCCTTTGATGTATCCCGTAATGGGTAGGTAGGTACCTACCTACCTAGTGTATACAACAACGAGACTATCCTCCTCCACCAACTCACATCAATAGCCTCTAAAGAGCTCTCAACACACAATCACGAAGTAACTTTCGTAGCAAGAACAAACTCTCCTCAAGCGCCTGGCATGCATATATAGATGCCCGATGGCATGTCAACGCTCATCCAGCGATCCCAAGCCCTCGCGCCAGCACATTGACCTAGGTGAATGGGTACCTATAACACTTGACAGCAAGCCCCTTTCCATTCATCATGTACTAGGTTAGGTAGGTAGGTACTCGGTAAGCAGGCAAATATCACCTCAATTTTTCATGTCAATCAGAACAGCAGAGGGTCGCCTATCTAACTATTAACGGCCAGCTGATGAGCATAACTTATAAGTTGAGAGCAGAACATGGGTAGGCACTTACATACAGTACCTAGGTTAGTAGTTACCAGGTAGGTAGTCTCAGAATCAAACAACTCAAGTATCCAGCCCTACCATCCAAGAACGTAAGCCAACCACGGGCACCCTTTTCCTGAGCGAGTATGCACGGTATATGTACTTCCTTACCGATCTGAGTAGGTTAGATAAGTAGATATGCACTTATGATATAATACTGCATACCTATCTACCCACCTACCTACCTACCTACCTACATGGCAAGCTCAGCTCACGATTAGGAAGAAGCCAATGAAGAACCAGCCTCACATCTCATATTCCACATCCCACCTCGCATGCCTAGCTGCCTAGGTTAGGTCGGTAGGTATCATGATATATCTCCAAGGCCAAGAAAATGCCAAAAAAACAAGAATAGAAAAGAGAGAAACTAAAAAAGCAAATGTCTACCTAGTAACTTAGTACGTAGGTACTATCTACCTACCTAGTAGACAGAAGAAGAGTGTGCCGACCGAATATCTTAGGTACATAGGTTAAACAAGGAGCCAACCTGATGTATGTACCTCCGAACCGGAACCCCCCTAAACAGACAAAGAAAGGCTCAACTAACGTTCGAGTCCGAGTCATTTCATCCACGACACTGACTCTGACTTTCACTTACCAACTTACCAATTTACAAACCTGCCTAGGTACTTACCTAAATGCCTAGGTAGGTACTCACTTCAATGTTAGGTAGGATTACTCCTCCTACCTTCATATCCAACATCCAACATCCAACATCTCACCTCACCTCAAACCTCATGAAAACTCATAAATAGGCATCTCATCTCATCTCATTATGCTCTAAATCCCCGATTGTTATCACGACATAACCAGGACGACACAAAGACACAACTTTAAATCGAGGGCGCGAAGGCCCGTGTAGATAAATGGGTAGATAGTCCAAAGATAAAAGGTGATGGAATATACTTATGTGTGGCTCACCGATACCAACACGGGAACCTCGAGGCAGGATAGACACTCATCAAAGGGAGAGAGATATATGGATGAGAGAGAGATTCGGAGAGAGATGAGAGATGAGAGATGGGAGACGAGAGAGTTAACATAAAGAAGGCGACGCAAACGCTAATATATCACCAACCCAACCAACCAACCAAACCGATCGGCCAATGGACCGAAACGCCGTTTGCCAAATGCCGCTTGTCACTAATAAACGCCCCGTCTTTGTAAGGCTTGAAAAGATATCTCGCACCATACTTACATAAGAGTTTATACGCCTTGGACAAGTTAAACAAAGATAGATAAACCAAAAGTCTCTAAATGCAACGATATGTCTGTGTGGAATATATCAAACCATCATTTCCCCACGCCCACGGTACCAATTATTGGAACACCATCTTCGTATACCTGGAAGCCTCCTTCCTCAGCACCTGTCCACGCCCGCTGAGTACTTGGATACTCGCTGGGAACGCTTGACTTCTGGCTATCGTTTTCGAAGTCGTCTGCGTCCGTCATGGCGTCATCATCAATGTGGATTGAGATGCCGAGGTCAGGGTCTCGGTTCTCTGCGTCTTCTATGCCCGGCCATGGCTCGTCTTCCGGACCAGGCAATTGGCCATCTTGCCATGATTCCTGAGAGTTCCCTGGATGAGTCATGTCAATCATAGGGCTGTCATTGTTCTCCGAGGTATCATCTGCATCTTCATCTTCATCTTCATCCATATATCCATCGCCTCCATCTTCGTGATCAGTGCCGCTGCCACTTTCGCCCATGTCGTCGTCAACGTCGTCAATAATAACTACGCTACGGCCAGGCCGCGTTTCATAAACCGGGGCATTGCTATAAGGCGTAGCATAGAAAGGCGTGGTGCCACGAGCGACAAATGCCTCGCCCATTGGACTAGGCGATGCTGTGCTCCAGCGTGGTGTATTTCGCGGTCGAGCAGATGGGGATCGCGTGTTTCGACGTTTCGCATGGGTTGCAGCATATGCAGTTGTTGGGGCTACTCGAATGATTTGCGGCGAAGGGCGACGGTCAAAGGGATACACGTAAGATGGAACCTTACGCTTCGTTTGCGCTGGCGACACGAGTGGCACGGCAGCTGGAGGCATAGATGTCGTGCGGATATAGGGTGGCTTAGAGGTATGCCGTTCTTTAAGCAAAGCTGGGGATTTAGTGCGCGAAACGGAACGGCGAGTGCCAAGGGAGGGTGAGAGACCTATAGTGCCTGCGCGAAGACCTTGAGAACATACGGACGCCCGCCAATTGCGTTGCGCCGCATGTCGGAGGCTAAGCGACTGAGAGGTGCGGGTACTTGTGGCATGTTCATCGAGAGTGTCGTTCCATGCCCAGCAATCTTCCATTGCATCTGCTTCGGGGACTTCTTGGCTGCTTTGAGAGTCGGCGTAGACTCGACTGAGTTCGCGGAGGCGCTGCCAGTTCCAGCCATTATCATACGCATCTTGGTCTTGAAGGTATGCTTCAGGATGGGTGATGAACAGGCGCTGGATGCCGGTTGCTTTCATAACCACACTGGAGCGTAGGAAAGCAACGTCCCAAGTTGCTGGTGTGACCATCTCGGGCGGCGATAGAAAACGTAGTCTCGAATCCTTATGGATCTTACGCAGCGGTATCCATGGTGACTGGAGACCGAGGAACTTAGAAACGCGATGATGTTCAGTGGAGCCATGATACACGTTCGCTTGCATTCGAGAAAATGTACGAAACAAAGTCCCGAATGCCTCCGACATGGCTTGCTGGACGCTTCTAGCATCTGAGCCGCGGATAGTCACGTTCTTGACGAGACCCCGACTCTTAAGCCTCTGTTCGATGGTACGGCCAGGTGCACAAGCTCGAGGGAGCAGCCAATCTGACTCGAGCTCAGGCCCTGCCCAATCGCTTATATCGGGCGACTCGAAATCGAAAGAAGCACTATTAGGGAGTTGTGTCCAGTGATCAGGCTCGACACTGCCTCCGTTTGAAGGATGTTGACTCGCAAAGTCGTGAGTCTCCATCCATACACTCTTAAGTGGAAAGGGCAGGAAAACAACTTCGACTTCCCACGGTCGCGCGTGGGATGGAAATGATGAGAGACCCTGCAGTTGGCCTAGCTGGGACCTCAAGACTTGAAGTTGACTGAAGAGCTCCGCGCGGCTCGCGATGTACTCGCTTCCCACAGTGGAAACAGATGCCACGCTACTCGTAGATACACCAAACCCAACGGGCCGGGGGCGATGACTTGAAATCTGGCTGCTGTTATCATTAATCATCTTCTCAACCTCTTCGACGCGCGTCTCAAGCTCCGTGATTTTGAGGTCAGTTTGATCATGTTTCTCATCACAGACGTCATGGCCGATAACTGAGATGGAGGGGTTCTCAAGCCGGTCCAATCGCCGTTCATGCCCTTGAACAGCATCGGACAACTCCCTTAGCGGTCCTCGATCGGGTCCAAAGGGTGATAGGTCATGTGTTTCGGTTATATCTGCGTGGTCACAAGGCCTCGGCGTGTTCGCGACTGTCTGTCCATCATCGTCATCATCCACGGAGTGGTCCACGCTATGCGCAACGATTTCTTCCTCCTGCGGCTGGGTTTCATCATCATCTTGTTCCAATGGAGGCTCGCCTAACCTAGATTTGACACCACTAAGTGTCTGTAATCCTTTCCCGGCAAACGGTCGAAGGTATCCGATACGGGCAGAGGACGTGGTAGAACTCGGTTGGGATGACATCAGGCACTGGCTTGGTATGGGAGGAAGCAAACCTCCTTCATCTGGTCCGGATTGGATGAGATCGGCCCAACTCATAGTATCGGGGATAGATGGTTCTGGTGCGGTTGCGACCATCTCATTTGGAAGCGCATTTCCCATCCCGAGTGGACAGCTGGAGAGAGATGCAGCATCATTAAACGTATACAAGTCCATGTTTGGATCCAATGGCGACGGCGCCGGCATCTTGAATGATGGCAAATCCGACACTACGGGTGTGAGCGGCCCCCTACTAGGACGCTCATTCTCCTGTCCATTGTTTACGACGTCGGTATTGGCCGGAATTGCGACAGGTGGCTGGGTATCGCGAATATCATCATGGAAGCAAGCGTGATGCGAACACATACACCAAGCTGTTTCGTCAACCAGGCCGTTGATATTTCCACTGGAGAACCTATTGGAAAATGCTAGGGAAGTTCCGGTTGGGCTTCCTGCGCCTGATCTGGATATGGTGGCGCGACTCCAGAAGCGACGGCATCCGCATTTAGGTCCATTGGCGCCGTGGGTTAAATCAACAAAGTTGCATGGTCCGCTTGGGAGGTTTGGCGAATTTTGTGTTGTTGGCGCGTCATTATAAATATTGAAAAAAGGACTGTTTGGAAATGTGAGTTCGGGGATGGATCCTGCCATTGAGCTGAGCGCTTCTCGATACAGGGCATTGGAAGTTGGAAAATGGAAAAATAAAAAACGGCGGGAGAAATTGATGGGGGGATGGTTCCGGTATTTATTGTCGAGAGGGATAGGGATGTCGGGATCCTAGGCGACCTCGCCAGACGCAGCTGGGTCGCGATCCGAGATATCTAGTACATGGCACTGTTCTTATCGTTAGTAAGTAGCTCTGGATGGCATCATGGCCCAGCTATTCCCAAAATCCTTGGATATATACTAACCGTAGGGAGTACTAAGGGGGAAAGAGGACGGGCTGCAGCGGGAGGAACTGGTATTTATGTATAAAAGGCAACCAGAGAGCGCAGGCGTATAATTCCAGGACAATGCGAAGGTTGAAGTTGAGGATGAGAAGCTGTCGTAGACAAAGTGAGGCGTCCGGATGAGATTGGACTAAAGTTGATGGGTGGTGGGGTGTAGAAGACGGTAAATGGAGTCGACTACGGTGCGGGTTGCGATAGCTGTGGAGAAAAGGAACCGACAAGGTACGGGATATGTAGCGTATGTACAACTGTATACGTATCATGTATGTATGTAGGAGTGATACAATAATAAATTATGACTCGACGCTAATGTAAAGCTCACAGTTCTTGATGAAGCGGAATGTACAAAAAAAAAAAGATATCATGGATAGATGGATGTGGTGTGTGTGGATGGATGAGATGAAGTTGGAGTACCTAGGTAGACATCATAATCAAGGCAACATTGAACTCCTTCCCCCCAAGTCCCAAGGTCTTGATAGGAAGGGTGGACTAAAAGTGGGCGAGTTTGGATCCATAAAGGTACGTATCTGGTACCTAATAGGGTCCAGATGTCCCTCCTACCCACTTAACGCGTCCACCCGAAGGAGAAAAGGACGAATGAGAATGGCCGAGTGAGGCGCGAGCGTCGCGTGTTGGGTGAAGCGAGGACATTCTTATTGGACCAGAACCTCTCGAGGTCCCTGCCAACCCTGGAAAATAAATGTTCGCCTAAGCAGAAAAGTGAAGTAGCGGAGAGCAATCATGTATCTAGTAAGTACATATTCTGCTTCCACCACAGAAAATATATGGCTGAATTCTGTATTAGACACAACTTGCGACTTTGTCCTTTCTATACATTAGCTATGGATTTCGAAACTCGACCGCCTCGCCGGAGCTCAAGAGGGTAGTATCCAAGCTGTAAGCAACTCGTCATGCATGCTCGCCCCGCGAACAACGTGCTCCCATCCCTGAAGGCAGACGGAATATCTACCTACCCTACGCACGGAGTCATGTACAGTAGCTCATGAAGCACATGCAGCTACCTGATGAGCAATGCTAACAAATATATCTCAGAGTCACTAACTATGTTACCAGGTGCGGTTCAATTCTCATATTTGATTGGTCAATGGACTATTGAAAATCTCCATCTTCATATTTTCTTCTCTTAAGATGAAGACTGACGGTTGGGTATATAAATGTAAATGTAATGCGTGAGATTGTATAATATGCTCGTGATTTAGTCCGATTGCAAATATCGCCTCATTATTTACCAACCCATCACCACCCTGACCCTGGGTAGACCCAATAATATGTATACATCATTTCGTTGCTCATGCTTGCTCATGCCTGCTTATGCGGACTTGGACCGTCTATCCCGTCATATTAAACCTCGCCCCAACTTCCCATAGGACCTGTCGTGGCAATCATCGATCCTGTGCCAACAGAACCGCCAATATCCCAATAATGGCGGGATGATGAGCTACTCTTTTTTATTGATCTCCGTGTGCTTTGACTAGCGCAGCTAGACGCATGCTTGAACACGGGACTCGAGGGTATGGTTGCCTTGGACTTGCGCCTCTCGGCAGGCCGCGGTCGTGACACCAATGGATGGTGCTGACGCACTCTTGCAGCCTTAGCAGCCATGTCTTGCGTGCTCGACGAGGCGAGGCTAGAATTTCCAGCGACCCCGCCGCTACTGCTCGATCGTGATATGAAACGTGATCGTAGGTACCTGAAGACAAGTCTCACATCAAGCTCCTGTTCCCACTCGTCCTGTGTGAAGGCTGACCCGGGATTTTCTGCATGGGTGGAGCTAGCCGGCTGTGCGACATGAGGTACATCAATTGGCTGTGTCCGCTTACCGATTGTAGGTTGAAATTCGGGAATAGTGGGTGCCTTATCCGTCTTCACCGTAGTTGCCGTATCATTTGCCCCCTCCGGAATGGGAGGAAGACCCGCGTACGGAATAGGCATTTGCTGCACTCGACTAAATGTCGAGAAGGCTCCGGGATGTTCAGATAGCCGATGAATGAGCACGCCTAGTTCTTTAGCCACTCGCTCTAGCATCTTAAGCTGCCAGCCCGAGTCCGTCGCATTTTCCATTGGGGCGTTCGTGCATTGTTGAGGCACAGGGATGGCCGATGCCTTTGGTGTCGAAGAAAGATCCTCCTCATCTGGAAGCGCTTCCCCAAATAGCACAGAGAGCAACTTATCATCGATTCCCATGAGGTCCCGGATAACTTTTCGAGTAATGCGTCCCCAGATGCTTTCCTGACCCGCCTCCGGATCTGTTTCGTCTTGATCGTGCCAATCTTGACTTTGATCAGCTTTTTTACTCGAAGCATCACCGATCCCACTCATGGATGCTACATCTTCGGCTTCTCTTTCCATATGACTTGATTTTGGCATGCTGGCGGCAGACCTTCGTCTTCTGCGAGTTTCTTTTTTAATCTCCTCTAGAAGATAACGGCTATGCTCTAGCCGCCAAGATTCTATTCTCTGCATCTTTTCCAATTCCTGTGCCCTATCAACGTCAAGTTCAACTTGACCTAGACCGACACCTTCCTGTCTCCTCAAACGGTTAGGGTTATACTGCTCGAAGGCATAAAGTTGCTCTTGTATGTCAAACCCCATAACTTCCTGCTCCAATCGAAACAGGCCGAGGCCATCGTGGGCAGGAACTACGGGTGTCGTATGAGCGAGAGCATGCGATGCGTCGTAAAAGGTCGGCATAGAACGAAACTCGGGAAGATGGCTATCCAGGCTATCTAACTCGGCATCGTCCTCGTCCTCTTCCCGGGGTACTTCAACAAAGCTTGTAGATTGTTGTTGCACAGCACTAGCGTCTGATCGCGCAGCTGTACCGAGACTCCCAATCTCACTTAGTCTTGAACGACCCGGAGTACTATTGGTTTGATGCGTCGAGGTTAGGTAAGATGTCGAGGTGCCCGTATCGGTAGGAGGCGAAAAGAGAACCCAGGTTTGGGGGTCTTCAACATCTCGAGGCGCAGGTTGAGGTACCTGTTGCAACTCATCGTCTTCGGATGCGGGACGAAAGACTCGCGGAGCGGACTGGCGGGTTGGTTGTTGGAATGCCATTGTGAGGAGATGGGATACTTATTCCTGATATTGATAGTGGTGATGCTGGTAGTGGATCAAGATAGTATGACGAAAGCTACCCAACTGGGGGGTGTCCCAGTGGGAGTGTTAAATAACACACAGACCAAGTTGCACAATACTGAACCAGATTTTTCGAAAGTGAGGCAAGGTGAGTAGAGGGCAAGAAAGTACCGGATTTTGTCTGGAGATGAAGGTTGTTGTTAATTATAGGTGGCGGCTGACTGCATGTAAGATAAGGTGGGTGAGCTGTCTCGCTGGCTGGTAGGTTACGTTCTATGTATGTATGTCTGTTGGTATATGTTTCAAGATGGAGAACAAGTCAGAGCAGGCTGACCAAAAACCCTCCCAAAAGCAGCTGAGAGGGGCTGAAGACGTGGGTGAACAGAGGTTACACGTAGAGAGTCGGTAGGCCCTGCAAATATCCTGCAATCTATAGATAAGTAGGCGGTGTCTTACTTGGGAATTTGAAATAGTAGATCATGGGAAATCGTAGGAAACTGAAAACAGGATGCAGTGTGACCTGTCCGATTGGCGCCGTAAGAAAATGTACCCTAGGTATGCTAGGTATGTTATAAGGGACCTAGACCAAGGGACCAACATGCAGTCGATGATCCCAAGTCGCGTGGGACGTGGGACAATGGCGGGTTTGTGCAATTGGAGGTAACAAGTTCGCCAACAGCCCACCACAAATCGTACCTAATCGTACCTAGTACGACTTATTCCTAGTAGACCAAGCAACGGACCCTCCCACCCTTGTGCTCTTGTGGTGTTCCAGTACTGCCAATTAGATGATTCAATGTGGTGGTCTAAAACAACAAAGCGAACTAGCGGGTTAGTTAGGCAAAGATGATGCTATAAGTTGGGGAGCTAGATGTGTATTTGCCGAAACACAGACTCAGTTACGTAGGGAGGTAAGTATATTCTGAAGATAGGTACTACATGTAGGTAGATATTGGAGGATAAGAAAATGTAGTTTCTTGTCGGGTAGATGTAGCCTAGTAGAGACTTTGTTGAAGTTCAATGTTGAAGTTCAATGTTCCAACGTTGAACAGTTGAAGGTTAAATAAAGTACAGAGCTAAAAATGCAATCGAAACCTTGCTGAGAGCTCAGCTGTCAAGTCAAGTGTTATCGTATTGAGTAGGTACAAACGATACAAGCAAACATACATAGTGGGGTTCAGCATCATTATCAAGCGCTTTCAAATCTACATACTACTAGGTAGGTAATATGTACTCAGTACATGTTACCGTCACTTACACCAGCTTCTTAAGGTATGAGCGGGCTCGGCCTGCTTCTATCACTGATGTACATATGCATTCATGTTACATATTACATTATTACTAGCTATCAATACGATATACAGTAGCATACAGATTACACGATAATCAGATTGCCCCCTCAACCTCAACCTTACGCGATATCTTCTACCAACCTCGTCAGTTATAAGCCATGGCAAGTGTGTGTAACTAACGACCACCTGGGAGTAGTACATATTGTAGTACATAGTAGGTACTATATACATTAATAGGTAGTACATGAAAGACGAAGACAAAGACTAAAAGCCAATGATGAAGGCTGGTGACCGGTTCCGATGACGTGATGAACCTAAATATATGTGGTTTGCCCCCCCTCACCTTTTTTTTGGTGTGTGACATGAGGCTGTGACCGCCGTGACGGTCAACTGTATGTACATCAGCTACATCTACATACAACATTGAATCAGCCTTTGTTTCTTTTATGCCCGTGCAGCTGCCGCCGTTGCAAGGAGGAAACCCATCGACTCAGGTACCCGCAAGTGTTCGATCGCAGGGCCATAACGTAAACAAACGGTCTGATCATCTGTGATTATGCCAATAAAAATGCCGGTAACCATGTTGGCAAGGGTAAGGAGAAAGAGAGAGAATGCTGGCGATACCGCCTAGGGGACCACTGGGCATGCATCTAGAAGGAATGAATACCCTAGGTACACCTACATACATACATAGAATCACGCCATGCCAATAGATCATTAATGTCTGAATGGCAGCCCTGCCTCCCAACTTACGTATCGTGTCGGCAGCTTCGTGGAGCCCATCTGTGGCTCTTCTTCTTACATACCACATCTGAATCCACGCTTCGAAGAAAATACCGCGCAGCATTTCTTTTGCTTTGATGGAGTTTTGGAGAAATTTCCATTTTCCCACCTGAACGTCCAATATTACCCATGAAAAGCCCCCCCCCTTTCCCGAAGAACGCTAGAATTAAAATCGGTCTGTATACAAAAAACCCCGACCAGCGCCAGAAAGCGGAGTACATAGCAGAGAGTTGTTGCAGGCCGCTCCAGCAGCAACAAACCGGCACTGCTGCGCTTGCTGCAACTAATGCTGGACAGAATCCTCCGGTGGAGGCTCGTTCGTGTTGGCAGTCCTCCGTACTGGTTGGGCATGGTCAACCTCAAGAGGTGATCCAGTACTCTGCCGATGATCCGTAAGTGGACGAAATTTCCCAAGAGCTTTGCCCGTACACCACAAAACAATGCACATCCCTGACATCACCCCGAATAGAAGGTAGGCAAAAGTGCTGTCCTTCGTTCAGTTGGCTACCTACTTGAATAGCATACGCAGTGGCTGGCTTTGCGAAGCCCGCTACATCCTACAACTTTCCTATGCAGATGAACGCCTAGATCCCACAGAGTATCCAGAACTACTGACCGTACTTATCAAGTAGCTTGGTACAATACATAGGAAGCCTACAGCCCTCCGATTATCATCCGGGCCTTCACTAGAGTCAACACGCTTCTCAAAAGTGGATGCCTCTACTACTGTGTATGTAGAAACAAGGTGTGAGGACAATAGCCTTCTCATTTCTTTTCATAACACCAATCAAGAGTACGTAACTTCTATAATATATTTAGCATGCATATGATGTCGATCTTGTGATAATGCCGCAACGTTGAGGAACTTGGCACCTTAGCTTCAACTAATGGCATGGGAGTCTCAAGTTTGCTCGTTCAAATGCTCAAAAGACATCCATACGGATAATCTTTTACCCAAGAAGTTTATCAGGGACCCAATAGATTCTAGAAGGATTTATATGAAATCATCTCGAATTGGCTGCAAGCAAAACTACGGTAAATGCCAGCCTCAGCCGTTTAGGCGGGACCGGTCAAACTAATTGAACATCATCCTCACCGTGATTTGAAATTCACATCACTGGACAACGATTCATAGGGTGCAAATGCAATATCCGAATTGACTGTCATGTAGCAGTGCTATGGTAACCATTATACGCCTGTCCCCTCAACCCGAATCTGCTTATCTCCGTAACAAATCACTTAAGCCTCAGCAGAGAACGCCTCAGGGAAGCGCTTGATGTTCTGCTTGAGGCTACCGTGGTTAGTAAGGAACTGGACGTAAGCACCATCGACCTTGACACGGCCAGCAGCCTTCTTCTCGAGGTACTCGTCACGGCGGAGAGGGGTGAAGCCCCAGTTCTTGGAAACGATGATCTTTTGTCGGCCAGGGAACTTGTACTGGGATCGTCGGAGGGCCTCAAGAGCAACAGCACGGTCTGTTGAATTTTAGTTAATAAACGTCATTCTACATAAAACTGAGTATTTGTGATGCTTACTAGAGTCACGAGTGCGGACGCTTAGGATGATCTGGCCAATGTTGACACGGGCGACGGTTCCATTGGGCTTGCCCCAGGCACCACGCATTCCAGTCTGCAGTCTATCGGCACCAGCGCACGACAACATCTTGTTGATGCGGACGACGTGGTAAGGGTGGGCACGGACGCGCAAGTGGAAGCTGTCCTTTCCGGAGGTCTTGACCATGTACTTGTTGCAGCAAATACGGGCGGCTTCAAGGGCTTCGGAACTCAGCTGCTCGTACTCGTTGGAAACGAGGTGGATGCATAGAGGGAAGTCATCGACGGTAGCGCGCTTTCGGCCAAGATCGAAAATGCGGATCTTAGGGTCGGGTACACCACGGTTGAAGCGGGACTTGGGATACGGCTATTGATTGCTATTATTAGTATTTCCATTCTGTAGAACAATTTTGTGTTGAAAAAGCTTGGGTTTGTATGTTTGATTCGTGATGAAGAGGTATGATATATGTTGCGATATGATGACGAGTTTGAATGGAGGGGAATCGATCGCCTGCGATCGGAATGCGAATATCGTGAACGATGAGGGTTGCTATAGGTATTTTAATTAAATATTCAATAGGCTTACCTTGTTCTTGCAGTATCGGTAGCATCTTGCCGGACGACGCGCCATCTTGATTGATTTATCTTGATGATGTCGTTAGTTGGATGTGTTGTATGGGTGTTGTTGAGGGAAAGATGATAAATATCCGGCAAGGGAATTTGAGGTTCGGGGCCACTTGACTGGAAATTTCCTGGCTTGATTTCAAAGCAATAACGAGTCACATAAGCAGTTTCGGGTGGGCAAAGTGGATCTGTGGCGGGGTATTTCATTGGTTCATCCATTTCATTCTTCGCCTGTGGTAAAAGTGGGGTTAGGGCTACAACCACCGACCACTAAACTAACTGCGAGCCCTAGGCTTATTGGTGTATTAGCGTTATTCTTTATCCCACCTTATCTACATCGAACTTTTCGCAACCATAATTAATTCCTTCTGCAAGTGCATCTTCCTCGAGACTTGATTTCCTTCATCATCCAACTTCGACAATCACCTCATATCAACAGTCAAGTCAATCGACATCAATAAATCAAGATGGCCCCCAAGAAGAACAAGAAGGATGCCAACAGCATCAACTCGCGTCTTGCGCTTGTTATGAAGTCCGGCAAAGGTGCGAACTTCGAAAATCGAAAACACGGCTGAGATATTTGTTCACTAACATTCTCGCAGTCACTCTCGGCTACAAGTCTACCCTCAAGAGTTTGCGATCTGGCAAGGCTAAGCTCGTTATCATCTCCGGCAACACCCCTCCCCTTCGCAAGTCCGAGCTGGAGTACTACTCCATGTTGTCTAAGGCCCCCGTTCACCACTTCTCTGGCACCAACGTAAGTACCATATCTCTCCCTTTGCACATGTAGAAGATACGCAACTATTTTGTGATATTTTTCCTTTTCTCGACTTTATGGTCGATAGGCAAGTCATCTTGTCTATTGATCCTACCCAGAGAAGAAGCCATCCCAAGGCTTTGGAGGGTAATTCAATTGGCTTACTTTTTTCCTTCCATACAGATCGAGCTTGGCACTGCCTGCGGTAAACTGTTCCGTTGCTCCACCATGGCTGTCCTGGATGCTGGTGACTCCGATATCCTCACAGACCAACAGGCTTAGATTATGAGTGTTATGATATCCTCGGACGGCGTTGGGGTTCATTGGCTAGGGGAACAGGTCCTCGTTATTCGTGCTGCGCGTACGAGACTGGCCAGCATATATTCCACATATCCTAACGGATACAGAACTCCATGTTGAGTTCCTTGGTAGCTGCTTAGACCAATATCGAGTCTCAATCCAGAAAAAGTTTATATCAGTAAAAGAAAAAAAATACAAGTGATACCCAATAACTGTGCAATCTGTTGATATTCATCACTGATTTGGTGCCCTGGTATCCCATTTTGCTATCGTTGGCAATCAAAGCGAGTGGTCAAAGGCTGTGGGATACACCTATCATGGACATATCCTGAACCTGTATGTGTGGCTTTCCTAGTTTGCTTCTTTCAACCTCATGATCGTAAGCAGCCTCCTTACATGAGCTCTAGCAATGTAGGCCGGGTACGAATTAGGCTTTGACAATTTTCAACTGCTGTTAAATGCCGTAGAAATCCTCAGTGATGCGTGATTCTGCTAAGCTTGTAAGTTATTCAAGATCACAACACATAGTCACATCGTAAGTCTAAATATGTATTTAGAACCAACGTCATCCTAGTAGCTTGGTAGACACACGTGAGTAGAGTCAGTAGACATCAAACCCAAGGAACCAAATAATACGACGAAGCCGAGATTAGGCTTGCGTCATCCCGCTTTGTTCTTTACAGAGAGATGACAGTCATGTGACAATTTTGATGGATTGAACTCCATTTCTAGACATCAGTTAGATAGAATAGAGACATTACGGGACTCTTGTCACAATCCCAACCAGGCTTCAAGAGGCATTTTAGGTCAACCCCTACAAGACTTTCTGATACTGACCTAATTATCCAGGGAAAAAAAAAGAAAAAAAAACCAAGAAACAATTGGGACCACTACCTCTTGGAAACAAAACCATCCTAGGAGCGATAGGTGGAGCAGGCAACTCAACTGATGTTCGGATCCTAAATAAGGGCTTGCTTGTCTTCAGGATTGGGTTATTAAGGCTGGTGAGTTGCGTAACCTAGTAGAGATATATGTACTGGTCGTAATCTACGTCAAGTTATCAGGGCTATTAGGTGAACATTGTGTTCTTGCGAGGCCTACCCACCTTGGAGTCCGAAGATGTTTGCCGCAAGATCCTGATGGAGAAGTGGGAATGGGAAGAAAGAATAACCCACTCAGCTGCTTGCGCTGTACTCAGGGTAACGGATTACCAATGCACGGAATGCTGCAACCAATCTAGCATCGTACCATGTTACTGGAAGTTGCATCGGTCCTATCATTTAGGCTTCTGTTCCTCTGAAACCCAGGTCCGCAAGAGGGGGGATATTGTCATCAGTATTCCCGTGTTAGAGAGGTCTACAGGACAAATTCTGACGGCATGTTCGAGAACATATTATTGTAAAACCAATCAAATAGAAAATCGGAATAAAAGTCGATGGTAGTACTAACAAACATCGAACATACATAAACTGTTTCACGGGAAGTAGCATCATGGCGTGGGTAAGGAACATAAGCGGTAAACCTTATTACGTACTACTAGATGCATTTACAGAAGCCTTGAAGGTGCCTACATAGTACATATGTACCTACTAGCGTGACATGATGGATATGTACATAATACATACATACATAGTACATACATCACGATTGTGTTTATTTGACCCCTTTATGACATTCAATGTTTGTCACTTCGAACGCGCCTTTCAAGGCTACTTTAATCGCCAATAAACACCAAGGATATCTGTAACAGAATCACAGTTCGTTCTTCAAGCATTAGTTATTGCGACACTGTTGTTTTCTACCATGCTGCTACATAACTATGTACATAAAATTATGAATCACGCTCTAACAAGCCCTTGAACCGAGCGTTAGCTAGTGTACTATTTTGCAGGTACTTACCAGAAGGAGAAAACGCATGAACTAATTAAATGAATGACGAACCGAAAAGGGGCAAGGGGGTGAGAGAGAGAGAGAGAGGAAGAGAGAGAAGGAACGTCAGAACTTCCTACAACCAATTCAATCTCAAGATCGATACAGACTGACTGGCTGACTGGCTATTCTTTATTGTAAAACAATCCTAGAAATAAGCTGTGAATTAACAAGCTGACTGGATTTAAATAATCGAAGTTTCGAAGTTTCGAAGGAGCGGCGATCCCGTGTGGCTGAGTCTCGTTGTTGTTCCAGAAATAACAAGCGGTGATAGGGTAACTGGGTACTGGGTTCAGGGTACTATTCAGGGTACTAGGTACTAGCCCTGGAGCAGTTTAGCAGAGTACCTAGTAACCTAGTTGAAGCTAGTACCATGTAACATTAGAAAAGCGCTAAACCTTGAAACTCCAGTTGCCCGTTTTACCGTTTTACTATGGTAAAGGTGCCCGCTGTCACACGCTGCAAGCCCTGTAAGCCTGTACAATACGTACATAGTAGCAAGGTCTGTGACACTGACAGAACTGACCTGAACCTGACTGACTTGACTGACAGGTGTGTGCCAACCTTGAATTGTGAACCCGAACAGTTCCAGTTCTTGTTCACAACATTGAACTTGAAGTTCCCCCTTTCTCCAAAGTTCAAGCCCCGAGGTGCGGATTCCTTCTCATGCACGAGCGCCACGAACTAGGACCCAAATAGCAAATAGACCCCAAATACTTTTTTTTTACCAGTGACAAGTTTTAGAACTTTGAACCTTGGGAAAGACACTGAAGCCACTTTGACCCCGAAACAACAACAATAACAGCAGAGGGGATCAAATTTCACACCAGAACAATAAGTGGCTGTCTACTGGCCAACGTATTGAATTTATTCTCGAAATCACTTTTCGGAGTATTTCATTCTTTACGATTGACCTAGCAACCAACAGCCGATGATCATATCAATCATACATATCATTATACCTATTACTTCCATACCGACTACTCTTTTAATCGGTCCCTAATACCTATTCTATTTGTATTGATTGTATCTATTGCCTTCCTTTTAGCTCTAGATCTGGAATATAACCACAGAATTCTCCTGTATATATATATTCTTTATATCACTGTATCGTCACTCAACCAGAACAAATGTCTGCCACACCCAAGAGGCCGCTGTCGGCCGCGCAGGGTCGGTCTTCGTCGAACGATAGCTCTTCACCATCGTCGAGACAACCTCGGGCATCCACACCGACTTCTACCAATGGTGCGGGTACCAACAGCACCCCGCAAAGAACACGATCCAGCCGAGGTGGCACACCAGTTTCAGCGCGAGCCGCTGCCACTCACCGAACAACCTCATCACTAAGCATTACCAGCAATGCTGAGAATGCTGAGGCGCGCGCCGAAACTGTTGCATTAATTGAGGATTTGAAAGAAAGACTGCAAAAGGCCGACGCTGGATCTGAGGAGTACAGAAAGAAAGCCGAGGTTCTTCAAGCACGACTCGACGATGCTCTTAAGGAGCAGGCCAAGTTAGAAGAAAGGGTGCATGAGGGCGATGAGCAGATTGAAACTCTGAGAAATGAAAAGCGGGAGGCCGCAAGGCAGATGCGCGAGATGGAAGCCATCTACGAAGCGGAGAGAAGCTCTATGATGAAGGAGAAGGAAGAGATGGCTAACCGAGAGGAGGAGATGCAGTCAGTCATTAATAGGCTCAAGGAGACACTGAATCAGCGGAACGCAGATGACGAACATCGCCCAACTAGGCAATGTGAGCCCCCAAATTGGAGCCCTAGTTGGAAGATATTTGTACAATTGCTAACTTAGATATTGTAGCAAGCAATTCTTCTCCCAGCGTAGACAACGGCAACTTCGCCCCGCCCTCTTCCGTCCAGCGCAGCGATTCTAGGAACAACTCCAAGTTGCTGCTACAGAAAGACAAGCTCATCGAGTCACTACGTCTGGAGCTTGCAGAGGCCCAGATCAAGCTTGTCGAGACCGAGAACCAAGGTGGCGGGAGAGTGCATGAGGTTGAACGCTTGCTCATGGAGGCACGCATGGCCAACGCACGGCTGATGGAAGATAACGAGTCTTATCAGCTACTACTTCAGGAGAAGACGCTTCATGGCGACTTCGGTAAGGGCGATTTCAACTACATGAACGTGAACGCCAACCAAGATGCATTGAACGCCCTAGAAGGACGATCCAATGCTGGTGATAACCCAACCACACCGATAACCAGCCTAGCTGATGAATTGGGCGCTCTTGGCGAATCTCCCAAGGCCGTCGATGATGAGCTCACGCGGCGTCTTGAGACCGAACTACGTGCTGCAAAGGATCAAAACAAGGCCCTCACATTGTATATTAACAAGATCATTGAGCGGCTCCTACAGCACCAAGAGTTCGAGCACATCCTCGATCAATCCTCTGACTCCAAGCCTGGCGCCAATGTGCACAAGGACCTTCCACCGCCTCCATCGGAATCCAATGGCGCAGCCTCATTCTTACAACGAGCCAAATCTATCGCTATTGGCAACCCTGGCCCGATTCGACCCAAGCCAAGGCCCATGACTATGTCACCCAAAGCCCATTCCCATTTCGCATCCGCGCATCACAACCCAGAGACGGCGCCTAGCATTCCTATCTCGGGTCTTGGGCGCTCGCACAGCACTCGCCGCCTTGGTCGGCCCATGAGTGAGCAGCTCACTGGCGCGGCCGGCATTGTGAATGCCATGTATAAGGGCCCAGATGGTCCCCTTTCCCCCACTCTCAGCACGACATCGTCGTCAGCGGCACGTCACTCCCAGACGTTCTTCTCAAATAGAACCTCGTCTTCCATGGCTAATGGCTCTGCGGGTAACTTCCCGGGGATGCGCAGCGAGACCAGCAGCGTCAGCGGGGACTCAGCTGCAGATGGTACTACGGGCACTATGACGACGGCAAGCCAGAGCCCTCCTAGGACTGTGGGTGGCTATGAGAAGAGCACCTTAGCTGGAAACAAACCTCGTCCTTTGAGATTAGTCCAGGAGAAGGATGAAAAGGAGAGGATTGAGAATAAGCGTGCCAGCTGGATGGGTTGGGCGTTTGGAAAGAAGGAAGAGTTCGAGGCGTTGCGATGAGCTACCCATATATAGACGTAGCGGCAAAGGGTCTGTTTCATGACTTGAGAGAACTGAGGGAAGGGGGAAAGAGGAAGATGCGGTGTGGTAATCTGAGAATGAGAAAAGAAGTGACCTCGACAGAACGTTAAAGGGCATGAATTGGAAGGGAGAAGAGAAGAGAGATTTGAAGAAGAAGAGGAAAAGAAAAAGATTTAATAGCTACCTAGGTAGCCAGCTTGAGAACGAAATTTCCTTTTAAATTTTTGTTCGCTCGCTCGCTTGCCTTAGTCTGCTCGCTTGCGTGCCTATACTCTAGGTAATAGGTACCAAACACAACAACAACTTCAACTTACCTACCTAGCTTAACACCTATACCCTCGTCGGAAAGAGAATAGGGATAGGGATAGGAATTTAGGGGGTTAGAGGGGTGAAAAAAGGGGAGAGGCGTGTGAGAGGGAGGGAGGGAGAGAGAGGGGGAGGGGTTATAGACGTGAAGAGAAAAAAAGAAGAAGAGGGAGGAAAACAAACCAGACGAGAGAAATTAGCATATCATCTTCCCCCTTTTTCACGTTTTTCTATTTTACTTTTTACTGTTACGTTTTTTTTTTTTTTTTTTTTTTTTACTACTTACGATTATTCTTGTTGTTCGTTCTCATCTTCTAATTTACTTTAGTATTTTAGTTGGTCCCCCCCTTTTTTTTTTCTATGACTCTTTTTTTTTTTCTGATGGATGTTTCTCTGTTTTGGTTTTGGCTTTGGCTTTGGCTTTGGCTCATGCATGTTACATACCAGCTTAACGAAACGACAGAACAACAACAACAACAAGAAACTTGAACGAACCTTCAATGTTACTAACCTCCGGGTTTATCTACCTACATAACCTGCATAACGGGGTCGGTCGATTGATTGATTGATTGATTGATGGATTGAGATGATTTTCTTTTATTTTACTTATTTATTCTGGACAGATTCATTACTTCATGATCATTTACGTACCTACGTTTTACCTACATCTACATATTTATACTGGGGGGAATATCACATCATATCATACCATATATATACCTAGGTATATACCTACATTATATTGATTTAGTTTTTATTTTCTATTTTTAATGAATGTCTTTAACTATGTCTATGCCTATGCCTGCAGGTGCTTGGTTGTGAATGTGTCTAGATTTAAGCAAGCGCAGCATAACGCTCCTAAACGTGGGAAATCTTTATTAACACCTTTGGTTGGGTTTATACCTAACCTAGTTATGTAGACTACAACATAAGTCGTACCGCCGCTGAGTTAGCCATGGTACAAATGCCCAACAATTTTTATACCAGAAGAGCCCCATATATTGAATCTGCAACCCCAATAGACTTGGTCACCAGTAACTCTTGTCAAGGGGGAGTGTAGGAATTCCCAATATCTCCCCGAAGAGCACGGAGCCAACGTACGTATACATGAAGCCGTCTTTATTCTAACTCACTCCCAGGTAGGACCTTGATACCTCTCGCACAGAATGACATATGCTCTTTTTGACTTCGTGTATGGGTTCGATCTAGGCTCTCCTTCTATCATTGGAGTCTCTTGCTTGCTGAGCAGTCACTATCAGATCCTTGCCGGCGAACGTCTGTAAGAGTTCCTGGGGCGACATCTCCGGATGTGCCATTTGCTGAATGAATCGAATATGCTACACCAGACACTGGGGTAGCGTGTGGGTATTAACCGCGGCTTGTCATTAGAGAAGCGCGCATGCTTTTGGGAGCGTGGTCTAGACTCGGATTTGTCATTCTCTTTATTGAAGGGCTGCTTTTTGGCGTCCCCGGGTGACGAGTTGTGCCGAATGCCGGTTCCATGCCCTGCGAATTCGGGCCATGAGCTGGTCCAGTAACGACGGTTCGTCGGTATCTGTTGGTAGGCCACCATATTGGCTCTCGCTCCATAGATCTGTGCGCCTCGCTAGCTCTTTGCGGGCGCGGCTCTCGCGATGTGAAAAGGTAGATTGAGGGCTTCATCGTCATGCGGCCAAACGAGGAGAAAATCCAGCCCACCCCCTGCGAAGAGACTCCGAGCACCTAACCATGGTACCTAGCCATGGCCCTTTGGCGATTATTCGCCCTCCGGGGCTATATTCGGCGCAAGTGTTGGCGAATGTTCGACGTTTCTGTTGTATTTTCGTGTAATGTATAAGTTTGTCGTGAGAAAGCCGTGAGAAATGCGTTCATCTACCAAGAACCGAGAACCACGGCTGTAGCGAGCTTCGTATAGTTGGATGCTTTTAGTTGAATATTGAAAGAGAATAAAGGTCTGGCCGTAATGAGAACCGACCACAGCGGATTCCCTAATCGGGACGTTTAACCATCGATACCATAACATAAAAAGATCTCATACCACGGTATTTTGCTTGGTAGAGTTGTCCTCGGTCTTCCGCGCGGGCTTATCTTGTTGCTAGCCCGCTGGTGGCTGGGATGGTGTCGCTGTTATATGCATTGGCCTTGGTCTCTGGAGAGGAAAAGCATACAAGGAACTTGAGCTTTGCTCGGGTAGCTTCAAATGACTGCCAGCAGGATGATGGGGTTGTAAAATACTGGCCACCCGTGCAGTGTTCAAGGTCTTGCTTAGGTTTAGGATGATGCTGACTTTGGATAGGTACCTTGAAGGCCAGTGAAAAGATGATGACCATCCTATCTTAGTATAAGTACCACACATGTAGTTGATGAAAGAGCATAGAGTCAATGCTCTCGACCCATGCGGGCGCCGTTTATGTTGCCCCACGAGATGAAAACAGAATAGTATTAGGATGTTGGGTCATTCATCCATTCGACTTTGCCATGCCTCTGCATGCCATTAAGGACCTGGTTAACCATCTTCTGGTCTTCAGTCTAAAGGGTGTAGGATGAATTGATGAATTGATGAATTGATGAATTGATGAATTGATGAATTGATGAATTGATGAAAGGAAGAGAGAAGAAACAGAAATTTGGGAGAAGGGCTTGGCCATTTATTGCGAGGGACACAGGAATTCAGTTGACTCTAGAGCACCTGCCCAGAGCCTAGAGCCCAGAGTTCAGGTAGGTGCCTACTATGTAGAACCCAAACCATACACAGTGGAAGGTAGGATCATGTAAGAATGTTGAACATGATCAGGTACGGCTTTCATCGAGTATTGTATGCACTACCCTGATACATAATACTGGGTAGCACATACCATACCTAGGAAACTGACTTCAAGTTGAATCCACCTATGGAGAGAAGTAGGAAAGAGTAATCAGAGGAATACAATTAGGTAGGTAGGTAGGTACACAGGTAGGTACGCATCTGTAATGTTTAAACATGACGACGAGACCGGCCATGGATCTTGACTTATCCGAGTGTTGTTGCCGAAAGGGGCACCCAGAGGAACACACCATCGGATAACTCGACAATAGGCTTTATCAAGGAGTCCATATTGCGTTTAAGCTAAAAGAAAAAACTGCCTCGGCCGATGTTTGCCACCCCCTTTCTTTAAAGGGGGCTCAATATTCCTGCGCTGTTCAACCATTTCTTTAAGTTGACTGATGCCCTTGCCTATAACTATATACATGCCTACATGTAGGTAGCTATGTGGCTAGCAACTCTCTCCATCACAATCTAAGATTGCCCTCGGTATTGGAAGGTGCAGTATCTTTGGGACCGCCATGAACGTAGGTATGACGTGCTATACATGAGCCTTCGCTACACTCCTCTCTGGCTTCGCTTTGATGCAGACAACACTCACCTGAATGCATTCGGATTCGCCCTGGATATCTTTGGGCTAGAAGCCTAACGGTGACGATGAGAATTCACACTATCGAACTGCAAACGTCGCAGCCAAAGATGAAAAACACTTTCTGACCAGTCACACTCCAATATTGTGTGACCAAACGAAGAAAAGCCAGCGATGGTGGCAGAGGCAAACGCTGATTTGTGTCAAATACGCCTCTCGCACGCATCATATCGCGTTACTTTCCTTAACCTCGTAACATCATAGTTTCAGTATATCGAGTGAGCATAATACGACACGATGCTATTCCGACGGCTTGTATCTTGCCTAACCACACTGCCAGCACCACGTCGCAGGGTCTTGACTCGCTTCGCTCGCTTGCAAACTGTCCGTCCATCAAGATTGTTTCACCAAGGTGTATACCTACGCAGAAATTGCGACTTCAACACACCTTGTGATTGCAAAGAGTGCAAGGAAGACAACAAAAAATCAATTTGTCAGCAATGCAAAGCTAGTCCCGCCACCGAACACATATACTGGTCCGATTGGGATGCTGATTGTGGGTTTTATTACATGTTTGAGTCCTTCTGTGCCGCATGCTGCCCACGAAGCGACGACAGGGACGTGTGTAGGAATGAAGCGCTGGAACGGATATATGTTGAGCGGGAGCAGAAACTGCAGAGAGACAAGCGACAGGAGATGATGAACAAGGTGCGAGGAATTACGTCAGTCCGGGAGGTTTCCATTGATTATGCAGTGGACAAGATGATGGAAGCTACAAATCCTCAAGGTGCGCGACGGTTACCAATGCAACAAGTCTCGCGTTGACTGTTTCGACTTTAAACTATGGTTTTGCTGAGTGAAGGGCAACCTGAGTTCGTTCCTCCTTTTTCACATACCTAACCTAGGTAGCTATGATACTGATGAGAATTACAGGAAGCAGATCCTATAGACCTACCCAACTAATGCCTAGTCGGTAGGTAGGTAGGTAGTGATGCGCGGCGGCTACATCTAGCGTCTTATAATCCGAGCTGAGAGGCAAGAGATTGCGATCGATAAATAGAAGCATCTCAACAATTATAAAAGAGTTAGTCATACTATACTATAGCTCTGCGTATGACTAGTGAGAATTTATAGAAATCTCATCTTACCTTCTGAAACTTTCATTACGATTTTTTATTCAATTTTAGTGTGAAGCAGAACATTGAGGACACATACCTATAGATTGCGAGAGGGACTAAATAAAAGGAGTTGGAGATTTTGAACTACCTCAAGCTATCCTTCTACACATCCGTATTTTCTCTGAGTCACAACTGTACCTAAATATAAAAACACCAAACTGCCCCAATCTACCACCTTCACAATGGACGCAGACGCAGACGCCTTCCTAAAAGAATGGTACACCCGCATCCGGGCCCTCACCACCACCACCCCCGCGCCACCTCTCCCGACCGCCACCGCCCTAACCACCGCCCGCTCCTCCCTTCCCCCCTCCTCCTCCCTCCTCACCCCCCTCGGCCCTACCGCAACCCTATCCCACCTCCTCACCACCATCGCGCCCGCGCTCTCCGGCCACAACCTCAGCGCGCACTACTACGGCTTCGTGACCGGCGCCACCCTCCCCGTCGCCGAGGCCGCCGACAACCTCGTCTCCGCCCTCGACAACAGCGTGCAGGTGCACCTCCCCACGCAGTCCATCGCCACCGAGGTCGAGGACGCCGCGCTGCGTCTGCTGCTGCGTCTGCTGGGGTTGGGCGAGGGTGAGGGCGAGGGCGAGGAGTGGACGGGGCGGACGTTCACGACGGGCGCGACGGCGAGCAACGTGCTCGGGCTGGCGTGTGGGCGGGAGGCGGTGGTGGGGAGGCGGTTGAAAGGGGATGATGGCGCACCAACCAGCACAGGCGAGCACGGCCTCCTCGCCGCCTGCGCCGCGGCCGGCATCCGCGAGATCCAGGTGCTGACGAGCATGGGCCACAGCTCTCTCAGCAAAGCCGCGTCCGTCGTCGGGCTGGGCCGGCGCGCCGTCAAGGAGCTGCCGCTCAGCGCGGCGGAGCCGTGGCGGCTGGACCTCGACGCCGTGGAGCGCGCGCTGGCGCAGGGCGAAGCCCAGGGCGTCGCGAGCATCGTCGCCGTCAGCGCCGGCGAGGTCAACACCGGGCGCTTTGCGGTGCGCGGCGTCGAGGAGATGGGGAGGCTGAGGGGGCTGGCGGATCGGTACGGGGCGTGGGTTCATGTCGACGGCGCGTTTGGCATCTTCGCGCGCGCGCTGCCCGAGACGGCGGAGTTTGCGGCGCTGAGGGGGATGGCGGAGGGCCTGGAGATGGCGGATAGCATCACGGTGGATGGGCACAAGTTGCTTAATGTCGTGAGTCCTCCTCCCTCCCTAACCCCCCTTTTCTTTTCTTTTCTTTTTTCTTTTCTCTTCCCCTTTTTCTCCCCCCCCCCCCCCCTCAAGTCTGTTTGCACCTTGCAAACATCCAAAGTTCCTACTAAAACCTCCCATCTAATCTTATCTAGCCCTACGACACCGGCATCTTCTTCACCCGGCTCTCCTCGACCCTGCACTCCGTCTTCCAGAACCCCAACGCCGCCTACCTCTCCACCTCCTCCTCATCCATCCCCAGCCCGCTAAACATCGGCCTCGAAAACTCCCGGCGCTTCCGCGCCCTCCCCGTGTACGCCGTCCTCCTCAGCGAGGGGCGCGCGGGGATCGCCGAGATGCTCGCGCGCATGGTGAGGCTCGCGCGGGGGATCGCTGCCGCGCTCGTCTCGGGGCTGAGCGCGGATTACGAGTTACTGCCACCCCCTCCCCCTCCTCCTCCTCCTACTACTACTACTCATTCAACGGAAGGAGAGGGGGGGGCGTTGGCGCGGAGGGATGGCACTGATTGCATACACATGGTAGTCCTGTTCCGCGCGCGCGACGCCGGCCTCAACGAGGCGCTGGTCGCGAAGATCCAGGGGTCGGGCGAGTGGTACGTCAGCGGGACGAGGTGGGAAGGGAGGCCGGCGTGCAGGATCGCGGTGGCGAGCTGGAGGGTTAGGGTTGAGGAGGACTTGGAGTTTGTGACGACGAGGTTGGCGAGGATTGCGAGGGAGTGGAAGGAGGGGGGGGAGTAGGTAGGTAGGTAGGTAGAGAAACGGTCACCATAGCGAGACGGAAGAAAAGGGGTAGATAAAAAGAGGATTATGGGTTCATGGTTTATATTTTAAAAAACTTTCATTAGATATGACACAGGCTCTCTCTGCAACGATATATATGTCTAGGTAGTATCTAGCCCTCCTTTCAATGCATTGTCGCCTTCTATGACGCGGGATCTATGCTCTTTCCCCGCGGCTATTCTTGCTCCTCTCCGTTTCGAGGAAACTAACAAAACTTTTCCAGAAGTCCAGAATTTAGATGTGAACCTATTTGAGGAGCCCATTGTCTCCTCGATGGAGTTCAGCTCTTCTAAATATCAAGCCTTGGAAAATAGAGCAAACGAACCGGCCCGTAGCCTAAGTCTCTTGATGAGCCTAACCGAGCACTAGAGGATAGAAGAGAAGAGCATAGCTTCTTCTGTTCTGCTCAGCTTTCGTAGCGGCGAAATTAGAAGCCACAGGGGCAGTAAGTAATGGATCTTTAGTGCCTCATCGTGATATCGTAATTCATCCAAGCCCTAGCCCTTTCCTTTCCTTTAATAAGTAGGCAATAACCCCCCCAACCTTAGATACCTCCCCAGCGAATGCATCTTAACACACCTCTTCAGGCAGGCACTCAACCAAACTTCCGCGTCCCCCCCTTCTGCGTCTTAACCTCCTTATCCTTATCCTTCCCCTTGGCCCTGCCCTTCCCAATAATCTCCAGATGCCCCGCGCGCTCGCCGAGCAGCTTCTCCGTCTGCGCCACTAGCCCCCCCGCATACTTGCGCTGCAGCTTGTCGGCGGCGGACGCCTTTTTGGCCTTGGCCACGCGCGCGCCTTTTTTGGGTTGTTGGGGTTTGCCTTTCCGGGCGGTCGAGGTCGAGGTGGGCTTGCGCGGTTTGAGGGCGCCTTGGGCCATTGTTGATGGGGTGTCGGGGTAGGTAGGTAAGTAGGTAGGTAGGTAGAGGGTGTGTGTGTGTGTGTGTGCGTGTGTGTATAGGCAGAGGATTCGGGAGTATAGATGCGATCACAGCTTAGAAAATCGGTTGTTGGGCCGACTCGGTAGCTGATGGCGGGAAAACAGCAAAAAAGGGTCGGCTGGTTCGGACGTCTGATGCTCCGTTCTATTCTTGTGATACTTCTCCTCTTCCTCAACTCGGGTGATTTCTCTTCCAGCCTCAGCAAACGCAAGTGCCTATATACAATCAATAGGACTTGGCTTGGAACTTGCAGTGAGGCTCTGCTGCAGAGCGGTATTCTTAGAAATATGCTCGTTGTTTCTGTTCCTATCTCTGTGAGAAAAACTCGTTGGTGGTGGTGGTGGTGGTGGCGGTGCTTGTTCGGATATCTTTCCGCTGCATATATGTGTATCTTGTTGAGCTGAGATGTGTGTTGCACTGCAGCAGAACAGATGTAACTGTGTTGCACTGCAGATAAAAAAAAATCCAATTACTAGTGGGGATGGTCTTGGTCTTAGTCAGCTCTTTAGCTATTTTAGTGGCCGAGCTAAGCCCCACTACGAGTTCCCCGGCCCGCTGCCGGATGTGCAATACATGTACCTATCCTTGTAGTATCCAGGTAATAGGGCTGTGATTGATGCACCCCATACAATACACCCCATATGGATATCACCCATGCACATCTAGATCTAAATGTGTACGAGCACATCAATGGTACATTTGTAAGTATATGCGTAATAGATCATTTGATATCTTTTTCATATTGCTATCTAGGTAGGTAGGTAATCTAGATACTTCCAAGGCTCCTGTTCCTATAGTTACAAATCTGTGTGAAATGAATTGCTTTTACCCCCTAACTCCTTTCCCCCCCCTACATCTTTCTCATTGGCCCATAGTTCCTACAACCACTCTTGGTTTTACCTATTCAAAGATGAACGCCATTTCCTACAATCCCAAACCTGTACCCTATGGAGGTAGGAGGTAAGTGGAAGACAACCATGCCCCTTTGTCTAAACGCCGTAAACCCAAGTATAATATATACAAAATGTTTGAAGAGAATAAAAAAGATCGTAGATGATTAAAATCGTAGATAACATACACATGACACTTACTTCTACTGCACGTTCAAGTACAAGTCGCCCCCCTTTCTCGTCGGCGTGAGTTTCGGCTGCCATATGGGCGTTTGTGGCAGCGTGCCACTCCCCGCCATCTCAGCGGGATCAGGGGGAGGCGGATGAGGAAAGGAAGCAAGTATCGAGCTCTGGCTTACGCGCTGTGCCTTCCGTTTTCTAGAGGTAGGGGAGAAGGCCAGAGCCGCGGCTTTGGCGTTTCCGATTCGCTTCGCTAATAGCGAACTCGTTCCTGATGCTCCCGTGGTCGGTAAGTCACCCACCTGCTCGCCACTTGAGCTCATCGTTGCCATGCTCAAGGGCGAGTGCCTATGTCCAGGAGCAGGGCGCACACCTAATCCTATTGTCTCGTCGGTCGGCAGTTGGTAAGGCGTAGTAACCAGGTCACTGGACTGTGATCCATATTCCGAGGACCGCGTTCGTAATGCGGGGTGTCCTTCGAGATGAGGCGGTAGAGCCTGACTGCTGGATGTTCGCAGTGGGAGATACACCTCGGAATTGCGGGCCCCAGCTTCTGACTGACTTTCGTAGTGGGATGAGCCGGCTTCAAGGGCTGGACCAATAACCCATTTGGATACATAAGACATCTGTGATCGTTTCGTGTCTAAGGGTTCCGGATACAGCCCGCTATTGCTGTTCGTGGGAGTGGCAGCACTCCTTAGTGCTGGACTGGAATGGTTCGAGGACGAATTTGTGAGGCTTTCTCTGGCTCGGAGCGACGTTTGACTTCTGCGCCCTGGAATCTCCGGATATGTGACGGGGGACCGCCCTTGGATAGGAGGCGAAGGATGTCTTTCCATAACCGTCGAGAGATGCGACTTACGAACATTATCCGGATCGCAAGGAGATTCAGTGTCATACTCAGTTGACGCACAAGTGTTGATTGTAGTAACAGTATCGTGAGACTTGCTCGTGCCCGTTCGAGTAAGCTTGAAACCGTTGTTCTTCCAGTGCCGAAGACTATTATGTGTGGATGCACCTCTAGAACCGCGGCGAACAATGCTGGCTTGTGAATATATGCTCGAGGAACGACTGCGAGTCCTGTTTGCACGGGCTTTATACACGAACGGTGAACGCAGCCCCTCTGGCAACGCAGAAGCTGCTGAAATCGCTGCTGCCATTGCCAACGCTTCTTCTTCCTCTCTTCTCTCTATGGGGGACTTCGTCAATGGCGTATATGTATCGAGTTCCGCGGGGTTTGGAACCTGCTTTCTCCCAGACTGGGGCTTGTACTGGCTTACCACCCGACTCTTCAATCTTTTAGCCATGAATATATTTGTCGCCTCCTGAGCATCGATGCGCGGTGGTAGCAAAACCGGAACACCTTCCCCAACTTCGGCGTCCAAATCCGCAAAAGCTGTGTTATTTGTAAGAGTGCTTGCCCTGTCAGGTGATATTGGTGTGCGCGTTGCAGCTGCTTGTGAGTGTGATACGGGTTCAATATCATGAATGGGGCCCCGAGGATGTAAAGCTGAAACTGGTTGGCCCCGGAGTTGTGGTTGTGATGTGCTTCTTCCAATTATCGACGATCTCGGAGGTATTAGATTTCGAGGAGGCGATATAGCCAATCCAATAGATCTCTTGTTAGAATTTTTCAAGGGATGGGAGTTTGGTGGAGGACTGGGATTGGAAATATCATGATGGTGTACTGGAAGAATGGGGACATTTGGTAGTGGCGCATCGAATCGCGGAGGCCGCGGCGGAGGCCGGGGCTCTGCCTGAGGGTATTGAAAATTTCTAAACGGAGGCGATATAACTAAACCACGAGGTATATCCGACGTGGAAGGATCATCATGTCTGCCCTCATCAGACGATGTGCTATATCCCTCCTCGACCCCTAGGTACTTCCGTCGACGTGTACGTTTTATAAGTAAAATAGCAAATAATACAATCATGACAGAGCCGACAGCGCCAACGACGATCCCAGAAATTTGGCCAGCAGAAAGAGAAGAAGGAGCCACATCTTGTGTACCTGCTGTATCCGCCTCTGTTGTTGTCGGACTCGTTTCCGTTTGAGTAGCTGTGGTTGTGCCCAAAGAAGGCGTCATGACGATTGAAAGTGCTCCACTATCTGAGCCACTTGCGATAGTAGCTGTTAGGGTGTCATGTGTATTGGGTAACGTGTCTGGCACGTTAGAACACATGAGGTAGGCACTACGTCTAACAGAACCTAGTTATCATAAACATGGATGCTCATCATGGGAAGAAGAGCTCTGTACTTACTGCTCGCGTCATTTGCGTCACACAATCCCAGGTCTGCCTCTATGCTAATGCACTCAAGTGCACCTTCTCCGATGGTATAACCAGAGTTGGTCTTCTCTGAGCATAGACATTGAAGGGTCGGGTTTGATTTGCAATCTGACGACGGGTAACTGTCCTCTATGAAGGACTCCAAGCATGACTGGGCACATGTCGGTACGAAAGCCTTGGTCCCGTCATCGAGCTGGATACAGGCAGCAAGGCTGGATAATATTGTAATCCATATGAAAAGGCAGCGAGTAGAAGACTCGAAGGCCATCCTACTCCAAATTGTCTTTCATGAAATGTCAGTATCAGATGTTGTACTACATCCAGAACCAACTAGTATTCTGGTTTTCATCTTATGAGGAAGGAATATGAATTCATTGAGGGTTGGAAATTATTGATGACGTCTAGAGGCCTCCTCAAAGAAATCATAAGGACGATGTGAATAACATGTTTCAAGAGAGGCCATTTGTGATGTGATGGCCTTGACCAGGGCTATATGGTAGGGGAAATATGAGCTGACTAACCTATGAGAGAAGCGCTTAACAAGGCCAATACCCTAGCATGATGCTTCCACGCAGCCCTACTGAGGACGAAAGAGACTAGGTTAGTGAATAGGAAGTAGGTAGGAAGTAGGAAGTAGGAATAGAGAAACAGGGTAGGGAGCAATGCGGGATGAAGTATCCGTAAGTACTTAGAAAGAAAGAAATACCACCAAAAAAGACAGGAAACGAACATGGAGATCATATGAAGGAGACTAGGTGGCATGGAACAAACCCCATTGGGGGCTCGTAACATACATATATGACGGCCTTCATAACGGTCACCATGCATGTTTGATGGCCTTATCAGCTATTAGCTAGGTAAATTGGCAACAATAAAAGGTAGCATTCTGCAGTTAAGCCCAACAAGACTGGAAAGATTAATCCCGAGCGAGGATAGAAGCGAACCGAGGGGATGGGCCGCGGGGACGACCATGGCGATGCTTGCATGTATGTATGTAGACATTAGAATGCGAGTCATAAAGTACCTGGTTGCATTTGCATTTGCATAGGTAGGTAAATATGTATGTAAGGTACTGCGCCTATGATTGTAAGCTATGGATAGCTACCAGGTATGTAGCTGTGTATGTAGAAGAGGTGTGAGTGGTGCAAGTAGGATGTGGTGAAAGGAAAGAGGAAGGATCAACAAACCAAATTCTTATTGGACAATGAGTTTCTCCTTCGGGCTTCCGGGTGTATGGTGGTACTGGCCCAACCTTAGTATAGACATCATCTTCAGGGGCTAAGCCTTGGAGCTGTTGGAGGAGTTGGGGAGGAGGGTGGTGTTGTAGAACGTGGGCTGTGCCAGATAGTGCTACCGCGCGCCTAACCAACAACCCCTGGCGGCTCAGATCCAGGTACCTACCTATATGTACCTAGGTAGTTATGGCTTACACACATAATCACACATTACTACTTACATACACAAGGCAGTATGTATATGCAATTCATTCTTGCTGCGCCATAAACTTCAATGTTGTGTACTCTCCAGGTTCGCGATTGATCTGAATGTTATTTATGTCACGCCTCTTCCGTACGCCATGGGCAATCCTAACGTCTGCAAGCTAGACAATTGAAGGCCGAGATTCCTCTGCTTCTTAATTGATCCATATATAGCTCAGATACATACATCATTACCCTACCCATTTGTAGTACCTATCGACATATAAGCTTGATTATTGATATTCTAACCTCATCAACTTACATGCCTGCCTAGGTAAATACCTCAGAGCTTGTAGTAGATTCGTAGATACTAGATAGGGGACCTGCTGTAGCTATACCAATTCAACCTCACCATCACCGTGGCGTGCAGCATCATGCCACGCCGCTGTTGTCCAACCCCAATATGCTAGAATAAGCTGCACTCGCCTAAGCTGCGACAAAAAAGCTTTCACATAAAGGTCTAATAGTTTCAGACATACTTGACCTACTGTAGAGCCATCTCCTGACATTTGGTACTTAGGTAGGTAGACAGTTGGTTCCCCTCGCTAAGAGTCTGTATACGACGATAGATGTATTCGTGGACGGCGCATCCCTTTCATCAGCCTGTTTCCAACGTTTTCTCAACACCCTTGGCCCCTCCTGTTAACATCAGCAAGCAGTGATTTCTTATCGTACGATTTACGGGATGTTAGGTAATAAGAAATCGCAACACGTTATCTGTTAAATTTCACACTTGAGAATAATGTTATGTTCATTTACCTGCTTTCTATCGGCCCAGCAAGTCGGTTCCCCCAAATCCTAATAATACTAGGTAGTATGGATTATACCCGGGTGTCTTGGTACGAATCCAGCACGTGCCCGACGGAAAAGGAATCCTCTCACGATATCCTTCTAACTGTGCTTAGCATCATGGTGTGCTATACTTTTTTTTGGCACACTCTGAAGCATCCATGTTCGCTCTGTAGGCTTAGGCTGCATCCTGGACTAGACTCTCGTCAAAGGGATAGGAAGATAACATGGAAGAAAACCCACAGAAATGATGTTGTTTAAAATATTGTGATTCTTTTACTTTGCGTGTTGGTATCTTGCTCGTCTCCTTCGCTACCTAGTAACTAACATCTCCTTTTGTTAAAAGGGAAAATCGTTGGTTGCCTTTTTAGAAAAACAGGCAATGCTAACAAAGCAATAGTTCCGCTCAGTCGGTACATTTTCTTATAACCTGTGCCTCAATCCTCACAAATTTCGTAGGCCCTGATGTCGCATAGCTCAATATGAGAAACCTAATGTGCTCTGTGTTTACCTGGTAGGTTCCAGGCTAGAATCTCGTCTCTTAGCCACTCGGAACGAACTCAGCTTGGGCTCGACTCGACTTGATAATTCTTTGGACCTGCAGCTCCGTCTCATCCCAGTCATCGGGGGCCAGTGCCACCAAATCAATTCCGAGATCTACGGCAATAGCGTTGAGAGCATCGTAACTCTTCTTGTCGGAGATGAAGGTGATACTGACACCGACCCGGCCGAAACGGCCGGTTCGTCCAATACGGTGAAGATATGTTTCGGTGTCATGCATGCGGTCTCCCGCCCCTTTCATTGGAATATCATAATTGATCACCATTGACACCGTTGATACGTCGATTCCTCGGGCAAGCACATTGGTAGTAATAAGGACCTTGGATCTACCAGATCTAAATTCTTCCAGCAGTGCATCTCTCTCGCTACCTTCGTAGGCACCGTGCAAGACGGAAACCTTGTGACCATCGTTCGTCATTCTCTGCTGAATTTGTGAGGCACTCTCTCGGGTCTGGAAAGATTAGCATACGCCGCACACATCAACTGTTTGGGTAGAATGTGCATACCTTGACAAAGATGATAGACGAGCCAACATTCATTAGTCCGTATAGCTTACATAGAATGTCGTACTTGTCAGCTTCCGAAGGGCAATCCATGTACATTTGGGAAATGCCCTTGACTGTGAGTTCTTGCGTCTTAAGTTTGATGACATTTGCGTTGGGTGCGAATTGAGTTGCATATTTCATGACCTTTTCAGGGAACGTAGCAGAGAACAAAAGAACTTGAACATCCTTAGGCAACATCCTGAGAAAGATGATTAGTTCCCAAGACCACGCAACTTGCTGTCATGAGGCTGAATAATGGCACTCACTTCTTTACTCTGGTACATTGGTCGCCTAGGCCTTGCTGGTCCAACATGTTATCAGCCTCGTCGATAACGAGAACTCGTAACTGGGATACATCGAACTGGCGTCTCTTGATTAGGTCGCTAACAGTTCCTGGAGTACCGACGACGATGCTCTTATCAACGCGGCCAGTATCACGTGGAATGGCACCTGGAATGGCAGCTACCACTGGTAGATCTGGTATAAATTGTCCAATCTGTCCAATGACCGTCTGTATCTGACGAGCCAACTCGCGGCTAGGAGCGAGAAGTAGAGCCTGGGGTTGACTTGGCTTGGTGGCATCGACTCGAGATAGGACTGTGGTAACGAAAGCGGCTGTTTTGCCTGTTCCTGATTGTGACTGGGCAATCATATTGCGCGGAGGGTCGGAGAGCATAAGTGGTAGAGCCTTTTCTTGGACCTTGGACGGTTTCTGAAAGCCTAGTGCCCGGAGCCCCTTAAGAACATTTTCAGGCCTACCAAATAATAATTAGTATGCCATGTTATTCCTCTACCCTACTTTGCTTCTGTAATGCTATACTCACAATCCTAGCTCGTCGAACGTGTGAACAGATCCTAGTGGGTTGTCGGTATTGTTTTGGATATCGCTAAGCTGAACCTCGACATCGTAGTTGTTCTCCAGAAGCTTGGAAGCCTCTTCGGCAGGCTTCTCAGCTTCCACAGCCACAGGTTCACTCGCTTGAACACCTGGTTGGGTGATGCGACTCGCGAGATCAGCCATGGTGAAAGAAGAGGATATGAATGTTCGCGATGATGTTGACTTCTTTTAACGAGGGTATTCGTTGGCCTAGGTGATTGCGAAAATGCTGCTAGGTAGGGTAAATTGTAAGAAGGGTGTCGAGTCGGTCGATACGAAGTTTGTAAAGTAACGAGAGGGGCGATTGCGCACAATGAATGAAGCGCAAGGGAAAACCCACTAAGGCGTCTAGATACCTAACCTTAACTAGTGGGTTACTGCCTAGTATAAGACAACAATCTTGTGAAAAAGGAATCTTTTTATAGTGGTTTTAGGTAGGCAGATGTTAAGCCAGTAACCTACAGTAGTGCGATGAGTTGGTTAGTAAGAGAGTTTGTCGCATATAGCCTGCGCTTTTAATATTTCTATTTTTTTTAAAAAAGTTCTGGTTTGATATTTGAATTGGTTGGTGGGGTCACAACCTGTTAATTGACGTACTTGCTTCTTCAGACAATGAAGCTTCAAAAAGTTATGTTTGAGGAAGGCGGGGTTACGCGTGCTAGGATGTACATAACTAATGTACAATACTAGTAGTAGTAACTACATAGGTAACATAGCATTTAGTACCTATTTGTAGGTAACTTTACATGTACACGCATATGACATCTACATTGATGATATTTGCACGTACAAATAACTACATATGAATTCAAGTTATAGGCACCCATGAATTATACACTTTATGCTTTAATATTAAAGAGATGGAGCAATAACATCGCATATGTCCAATGTTTACGTAAGTGTATATTATGTGCATAAGTACTTTGAAGGTACTCAAGGTTTAATTCTGTACCGAATAACCGTACATGTAACTTCAAGATTAACATTGAAGGTCCGTCCCTGTTCTTGGTGGCCTTGGGTACTTCGTAGTTAACTGGGCGCAAAGTGGGCTGTGCTAATAATTCGTCGCTCTTCATTTCTCCAGTCTCGTGCTGTCTCCAACTCTCTTTTTTTTATTTGCATCATTCTCCATCTTCATCCCTCCCCGGGACCGCAACAATAACGAACAGCGACTCTAGTTCCATACCTTACGTACTCATGTAATGGCCTGTTTATACGGCACCTGCGCAACTAGTTCATCCCGCATATCCAACAACTCACACACACCCGCTGCTCTTGTACCTGCATGCTTGACGCCATTGCTTCTCCATTGCAATGGCTGAGGTGGATGTTGCACCGACATTTGGCTCTGAGTTAAAGGTATCTATGCCTCTCTTCTCCAGCCTATTATCTTCTTTTTCATGGAGCCACTAAACTAATTCTCTCCTCGTTCTATGTAGGATGGCTTCAAACCTGCTAGTGCCTGGGTTGCCAATGGCATCACCTGGCTCGACGATATCCAAAGCTTCTACCGAGAACGTAGTGCCATCGAGAAAGAGCACAGCGCAAAGCTCAATGCCTTGGCTAAAAAGTATTTCGAGAAAAAGAACAAGAAGTCGACTAGCGTGAGCGTTGGCGACACGCCTGCTATGACACCTGGCTCCCTCGAGAATGCTTCCCTAACCATATGGACCACCCATTTAACCACCCTCGAATCGATAGCCAGCGAACACGAGAAATACGCAAACGATCTTGTTCAAAAAGTGGCCGAACCATTAAAACACTATTCTGGGAGGTTCGAAGAGCTCCGTAAGCGTCATGTTGAATATGCCGCAAAATTAGAAGCCGAGAGGGATGCTTCCTATGCTGACCTTCGGAAGGCGAAGACCAAGTATGACGCTGCATGCCAAGAGGTGGAGAGTAAAAGAAAGAAGACAGAGTCCTCCTTCGATAAAACCAAGGCGCAGAGCCAATATCAGCAACAGCTGCATGACATGAACAATGTCAAGAACACGTACTTGATAGCTATCAACGTTACCAATAAGCAAAAGGAGAAGTATTATCACGAATACGTTCCTGAAGTGCTAGACAGTTTGCAAGATCTCTCGGAATTCCGGACTATTAAGCTGAATTCGCTGTGGTCTACTGCGGCGAGTCTGGAAATGACAATGCTTCAGCAAAGCAACACCCTCGTTGACCACTTAGCCCAAGAAGTCACGCGCAACCAGCCACACCTAGATTCTATGATGTACATCCGACATAACATGGGTTCGTGGCAAGAGCCGGCCGACAAGATATTCGAACCTAGCCCCGTATGGCACGATGATGACCTTATGGTCACTGACGAAGCAGCTAAAGTTTTTCTACGCAATGTATTAAACAAGTCGAAAGGCCAGTTGGGAGAGCTTCGACGAGAGGTTGACAAGAAAAAGAGGGAAATCGAGGGCATTAAACGCACCAAACAGAGGATACGCGAGGGAACGGAAAATAAGGACGAAGTACTTGTCGTATCTCAACTTTTCACCATGCAGGAAGAGCTACATCAAGTCGACTGCAAACGACTGACGGCCGAAGTAGAGACTTCAACCATCACAACGACAGTCGGTGATGTCACACTTGGGGCCAAAAACCACAATTTCAAGTCCCAAACGTTCAAAATACCAACTAATTGTGACCTATGTGGCGAAAGGATATGGGGGCTGTCTGCCAAAGGTTTCGACTGCAGAGATTGCGGCTACACATGCCACAACAAGTGCGAAATGAAGGTACCTGCCGAATGCCCTGGCGAGCTGTCTAAAGAGGAGCGTAAGAAATATAAGGCGGAGAGACAGGCAGCAGCCGGAGCTCTGCTAAAACCCCCAACCGGTCCACCGGAGCACGTCGCAGAGTTACCTGTTCTGAGTCGATCTAATACAATGAACTCTCTAAGCTCCGGATATGCAGCCAGTGCGAATCGATCAATCAGCGGCCCGGTGGGAAGCCCGCGTTCTCCTCCTGAAGAGGCACCGCCAGAACCTTCTGGTCCAAGACCCCCTGTAAAAAAGAGTCGCCTTGTCGCTCCACCACCTACCGCTTATATTAGTGAGCTACCTGGTAGTTCGGTTCCGACTAATAAGACACCTGAACGAAAGGGTAAAATGTTGTATGCGTTCGAAGCGAGTGGAGATGGTGAGATTTCTGTTCCTGGAGGACGTGAAGTTGTCGTCCTTGAACCAGACGGTAGGCATCCTATATTTACATTCCATTTTCGTTGGTTTTTGCTCACAAATTATCACAGATGGAATGGGCTGGGTGAAAGTCCGTGCTGGATATAAAGAAGGGATAGTTCCCGCGACCTATCTCGAGGTTTTCCCTGAGCCTATTGCCCCTCAAGATACTGGTTCCTCGTTGAACAATCGTCCGGCATCCACCTATTCGAACTCGGGCTCATCCATCGGCACGGCCGGCCCAACGGTCAAAAAGAAGGGGCCGGCAGTTGCGCCGCGTCGGGGCGCCAAAAAATTAAAATACGTTGTAGCTCTGTATGCCTACACAGCACAGAGTGATGTTGAACATAGTATGTCTGAGGGCGAGCGATTTGTGCTGATTAAGGAAGACCCTGGCGATGGCTGGGCCGAAGTGGAAAAGGGGGGCGTGACCAAGAGTGTACCGGCAAGCTACGTACAAGTAGCAAACTAACCGAGCTCAGCAATTGGTTTACGACTTGAAGCTGGCACATGCTTCACTATTGAAATACTAGGTGTAGCCTCGATTCAAGGTCCACAAGCCATCAAGTACCTGGGTAGACAGGAGGTCAAGGCACTTGGATTGGCGTTGGATACTTGCAAGTCGACATACCTTACATATGTAGAAAGCAATGCTAATGTAGTGAAAATATTCTAATCCTACAGCACCGGTACCAGTACCATGCGTGATTGTTATTGAGGACCTAATGTGTAATGTCTAGAATAATGAAACGGACTGCTAGATATCTAGGTAGGTTCACCAGAGCTGTCGAAGTAGGGGGTTTGGAAACTTCAACTACCTAGCTACCTCCTTCCTACCTCCCATTTGTACCTAGGTACCTAGGTGCTTTGCAAGGTGTGTATAGATTTCTTTACCGAGTTCATGCGCACCTACATGTGTCATGAATAAAACCAATCTTCTAAAAATAGCCTCGGAGACGAGGAGTTAGGTACATAAGCTTCTCTTCTATGGATAAATACGGTTATAAAGCAATGGGCTTAGGTACCTAGTCTAGCGGTTCTTCGCATGCATGAGAATCAGCATAACTAGGTACCTAGGTAGCTTGCATATGCGGGATATCACGTTGGGTATAGTCGCGGAGGGAGATGTGTAAAAGAAAAAGAGAAAAAAATAAAGGATACAGCGCATACCAGATTATGGGTATAGGTATGTATGTACATAGGTGGTATCAATGGCCTTGGGAATTCCAGGCAGACGCTTATTTCTTACGGGCATGCGATGGAGGTACATAGCCCACTGGTTCCACTTTCGCCCCCCCCTCCCCCCTGAAACTTGAGTATGCATAGGTATGTATAAGCACCTAAGTAGTCAGGTAAGTAAGTAGGTAGCGAGATGATAGTTCAGCACCTCCAGGCTGGGCATATTCCTATACTTCTATCAACGATACTATCTATCATCTTCCTGGATCTTCTTATTCTTTCCAGGATGGAAGGGTGCCAGGGGAGCAAGCTCAGCAAACCAAGTCTAACAAGACGTCCTATCAAGATCAAAGACTTCACCTACCAGCACCTCGCGGACGGCGAGTTCCGCCTCCTGGCCATCGAGCCGGCAGACAACCTACAGTCGCCATTAAAGGCCAGACTTACCCACGCGTCGATGACGGCTCCGCCCAGCTACCACGCGCTGTCGTATACCTGGGGCCCGCCCGACCCCGCCTTGTACATGCTCTGCGAGGGGAGCCAGATGCGCATCACGAAGAGCCTGCACGACGCGCTCTGCCAGCTGCGGCGCCGGGATGAGGCGATCACGGTGTGGGCGGACGCGGTGTGCATCAACCAGGCAGACGACGCGGAGAAGTCGAGGCAGGTGGCGCTGATGCGGGAGATCTACGCGCGGGCCTCGTTCCTCTTCATCTGGTTCGGGCACCCGGCCGAGCCTGACGACGCGGGCTTGGCATTCGAAGCGCTGGGGACCCTCGAGGAGATATTTCTGAGGCACGCGGGCGCGGATCACCTGCGCCTGCCCTGGCCCGAGGAGCACGGCGCGAGATATGCGGAGTGGGGATTGAAAGCAGACGAAGACATAATCGGATCCCCCGATATCCGCGCCGAGCATTGGGAAGCCCTCGGGAGGTTTTACCTAGCGCCGTGGTTCAGCCGCGTCTGGATCTTCCAGGAAGCCGTCTCCTTCGGCGGCGACCCGGCGTCGCACATGACGGTAGCGTACGGGGCGCGCAGACTGTCGTGGGATACGTTCGCCAAGGTGACGGGCGGGCTGTCCATCTTCAGCGGTGTGCTCCGTCGGTTGACTACCGCAGCGGGTCTCGCGACGCAGGATAAATTCCCCTGGTTCATCGTGCGGGCGATACAGCTGGATCGCAATAGCTACACGGTGACGGTCCCCGTGCGCGATGGGGTTGGCGTCGGCGAAGAGGAGGTCGTGGCGCTCCTGAAGCCAGGGCAAGGCGCTAAGCTGTGCGCGCTGGTTAGCGTTGAGTTCATTCACGGCGAGGAGGGAGGAGAGCCTGAGACTGGAGCTGCGCGACAAGGAAGCATGCGCCGAGTAATTGAACTTGTTCGCGATTCGGCCGCGAAACTAGACCTGGCGCCGGTCAGATGCACGATCAAATTCACATCCGACTGTTTCCGCACCACGGGCGGGATCAACAGCTTCCTGTTCCACCACCTCAATCTCGGGCGCCGGCTGTTCAGCACGGATCCCCGGGACAAGCTGTTTGCGTTTTACGGCATCTTGCAGGATGATGTAGGGGCCAATGCTTTCCTGGTGCCCAACTACGGCAAGAGCGTGGTGGACGTGTATATCGACATCACGCTCTACTTTATCCAGCGCGAATCATGTCTCGATATATTCGAGCTTCTCTACGACCAGCCTCGCGGCGGCTCTATGATGGCGATCGCTGGCCTGCCGTCCTGGGCAAACGACTGGACGCAGACGGCGGAGCTGGAAAAGTTCCACACGACGGATTTTTCGGCCGGGGGCTCCAATTACCTAGGCATGAGTTTTCACGCGCAAAACCTCAGACTGTCGGATGACAGGAGGAGGCTAGGTCTACAAGTGTATCCCGTCGGGACGATATACTACCACGTCCCGCCGCAGGACGAATACACATACGAGTACATCCGCTCGATGACCGAGTCGGGCAACTGGCCGTACGAGCACCGGCAGCTCGCCGCGGACATGGCGAAAGAGGCGGGGATTCTAGAGCCGATGTTGGACTACTTCCAGTACATCGACTGCCTGGGCCGCATCAAGCTGCTGGAATCCACGTTCACGTCGGCGTTCGACAGCAGCGAAGACATGGCAGGGCTGCCGCCGCCAAGCAAGATAATCGAGTACTACACGGGCGAGACGCTCTACGAGACGTTCTGGCGCACGCTGGTCTGCAACCTCGATAAGGAGGGCGCGCGGGCAGGCGACTGGGTCGCGGAGGCGTTCCAGGCGTACCACGACGCGTACGAGCACCTGTTCCAATCGGACCGGACCGTGGATATCAGCAAGGAACAGAGCGAGCTGAGCCGGAAGTTCCAGATGGAGCGCGATAGGTATACGCGGCGGCGGCGGTTCTGCGTCGCGAATACTGGGTTCATCGGGTGGGCGCCGCGGCGGGCCGCGGTGGGGGACACGATATGCGTGATCCCGGGGGCGAGGACGCCGTATGTGATTAGGGAATCTTGCGAGGAGAAAAATGAGTGGGAGATTATTGGCCATGCGTATGTGCATGGGCTGATGGAGAATGTTGTGGAAGATAAGGATGTTGGGCTCACGGAGAAAGGCAGGGAGTACTTGGGGCAAGACACGCTTCCTATTGATATTTGGCTAGTTTGATGGGAATGGGGAATTGGTGCTACCTACTGCCTTCTTTAGGTTGTGTCCCTTCTTAGATAAACTGAGGTATTTGACCTTAGGCGGTGGCCCTGACATCGCATATTCTACTTAAGGCATGCCTACGCCTCAGGATTTCGTGCCTAGATTTTAGGCCCAGCTGTCTTACATAACATCAATGATGATTATAACAGTCAAGGAGTCCAGTCGGATTTTTTGACGCATGATGAAAGCTGTTGACGTAGTTTAGTTGAAGACCCTTTGCGAATTTGAGCAAGTCAAGTAAATAAATAGATGTGCCAAACAGCTTCGGCTACAATCGGGCGAATCTAATTTAGCTGCATGATAATAGGTGCATACTATGATATCATAAGGTCTAGTCTAGGCACCTAGCAAGTAGGGCCGACTATGAGCATATATACGCCAATGGTGTGTCAAACTTTCAATCAAGTCTGAGTCATCATGCAACTCACCTCTGAAGAGGCACTTTGGCGGAGTGGTTAACGCGATGCCCTGCTATTGCCAAGATAGCCGGTAGGCATTCCCTTCGGGGGCGTGTGTTCGAATCACACAGGTGTCGATCTCTATTTTCATTTTTTTTTAAACGATTTCTCTTCTAGATATTTTGTCTACTTACTTTTCTCATTCTTCAATGTTTGTCCATGCATCCCGAATTATTTGTTAAAAATCAAAATCAATTAGCAGATATTTCTACCTGAACTACTTTTTGGCCTGTAGGTATTCAGCGATCGACAATTATGAAGCTGAATTAAGTAACGGACACCCCCAGAATATCTAACTCCTAGCTACCTATCTAGAATTGGTTCCCGACCAGACTCGCGATGATAATATTATAGAGGGGAGATAAATACTGCAAAACATTGTCTTACCTCCACCCGTCTCTTAGGATGTAGGTTCATCCATACCCGGACACTTCCAATTAACCTAGCTCGGAACATCACAGCACTTATCCACCTTGATAAAATCCCACCTCGTCCCATTCCCACTCGTCTCGACCAGCGTCGGCCCACTATCACTAATCGCCATCTTCATCAGCGTATCCTCGTGCGGCATGAGCAGCACGTACCCGCCCTCGTGATGCCGCCTGACACAGAACGACTCGTGCGCGAGGTGGTGGTTGCAGACGGCCCAGAAGTTGCCGTTGGCGTCGTGCCCGATGTAGGTGGCGGACACGGGGCTGCGGAAGCCGAACCAGCCTTTCGCCTCCGCGCAGATCCAGTGCCAGCCCCCGCGCTCCCCCACGTTCTCGTGCACCACCAGCTTCCCCTCCATCAGCGTGATGTACCGGGTGCCCTCGTGCTCCCGGATCGCGAACGCCTGCCCCGCGTGCGGAGACGTCTCGGCGGCGGAGGAGGACGAGGGCACGGTCCGCTGCGAGGTGGAGCCGCGCGAGCAGAGGCTGCGCGCGGAGCTGTCGCGCGACAGGGCCGTGGGCGTCGGCGTGCGTGTCGGCGTCGCGATCCCGTGGGTTGTCGGCGTGAAGCAGTCGACCTCCGTGTTGACCGATGGGTACTGGCGGGGCATTGGACTCCCCCAAAGGTCCTTTGCACTCTGCCAGGAGTCCTTTGTATTCGTCGACGAGTCCTTAGACATGATTGATGTGGAGCTGTACAATGACCACGGTTCGTGATTTGTCTCTTGAGTTTGCGTAGGTATATAGGCCAGCCTATAGGTAGGTAGTAGGTATGTGGGTGGTTTTCTCTTTTGGTAGAAAGTGCAGTGGCGGTTACAATACAACAACTTGAATATGTGCTTAATACCTATGTACCACTACTCGGGTGCTGCAAACCACAAGAGAATTCAATCGAGTCTATGTAGGTACCTTCAATGTTTCCTTTACCACATATATGTACATTTACTGCCGTGGCCCAACTGATACATAACCTGTGCCTCCCCTCGGACCAACCATCAGCAAAGTCACATTGCATCCGTCAAACGGTGGCGCTGGCTTTCAGTGGCCCACGTACAGGTACATGTGTGCCGGCCTGCTTCCGTTTATCTGCAGGTGGGCGCGGGTTGCGTAAAAATTGCATCACCGAACAATCACTGAAGCCGATGCAGATATCATATCATCATGGCGCACAACGCTGCTGCACCTCCTCCGATATATGTATGTCTTAACTACATACACATATATCAAAGCACCTACATAAATAGTGCGGATGCAGCCGGCCTTCATATTAGATAGAGTCTGTGACCGTGTGGCCTCGGCACATGCTTAGGTAGCATTGGCCTTTTGAATTGCCGTTTCTTGCCAAACGAGATCCGTACATATGTAGGTAGGTAGTACTAGTAGTAGATGCATGTAACATTCCTGTCTTAGAATTATGATAGGTACATATTTTTTATTTTCATCCAACTATCTGGATACCGTACCATGCCTCTATACAGGTGTAAAACACTACGCTTGCACCTCTATCCATAACCCCCGTGACCCTCCTCCATACTAGGTACCTTTGCAATTTCCGAATCATTATCATACACCCACAACACTCTTCGCAGCCTCCGCTCCCGCGATCCTCCCAAACACAGCACACTCCAGCAGCGACGACCCGCCCAGCCTATTCGCGCCATGTATACCCCCCGTGATCTCACCCGCAGCCCACAACCCAGCTATCGGCGTCGTCTCGCCCCCCTCCTTCGACCGTAGAACTCTTGCCTGCGTATCGAACGCCACGCCGCCCATCGTGAAATGCACCACCGGTGTCACGGTACCCACGCACACCTCCTCGTCGCGGTTCGCCTCGCCAGGGGGTAATCTCCAGTGCCCGAACGCTTTCCGGCCCAACGGATCGACGCTTTCGGATTTAGAAGACGATGCAACTAGGGCCGCGTACTTATCCACAGACGCGATGATTTCGGGCGACAGGTCCTTGACTTTCTTCTTCTGCACGAGCCCTTTCCAGACGTAGAACCCGATGTGCGACGCCGCGACCTCGCATGCGCCGGGGTCGAGGAGCAGCGTGACGTCCCACTGCCGCGTCGAGCCTACAGTCGAGTGCTGCATCGCCATGATCGCGTCGCTGACGACGTCCCGCGTGTTCAGCTCGTTGATGAAGCGCTCGCCGGTGCTCGAGAGCAGTATCCCGCCTTCGCCGCGCAGCGCCTCCGCGGCAAGGAACTTGTACGCGGAGCCCGGGTCCTTGGGGTCCACGAACCCCGTCGGGTGGATCTGCACGCTGTCCATGTCGACGAACGCGGCGCCGAGGGAGGCGAGCAAGCCGTGCGAAGCGGGCCGCGCCTCGTTCGTCGACGGCATGCCCGCTAGATCGGGCCGGTGCTTCGACAGCAGCCCGTGCGCGTCGCCGGCGAATCCGCCCGCCGCAAACACCACCGCCCCCTCGAGCTCCTGTGCCTCGCCTTCGGAAACGTGGTAGCCCACCCCCTTTACCGCGTCATCGCTGCCGGTAAGCAGCTCGTCGACTTCCGCCGAGTTTTCTAGCGAGAAGTTCGGGTTCGCCTTCAGCTTCTCGAGCAGCGCCGACACTATCGCCGCGCCGGGCGGCAGCTTCCCGCCGCCGCGATGCGTCCGTGGGACGGAGTGGCCGCCCAGCTGTGCGACGACGCTAAGGTCGACACTGACCTCGTCCGCGAGCCAGTTCACGGCGCTCTCGGACCGGCCCGTCAGCAGCTCCACCAGGGCCTTGCGATCGACGCCCGCGGGGCTGGCCTCGGTGAATCTGCGGCCGGCGGAGCGCACGGTGTCGGCGTAGAAAGTGTCGTCCTGGGAAATGCCCTGCGCGTGCTGGAACCGGGTCCCGGCGCCGTTGATCCCGGACGAGGCTTTGATGCTGTTCCCGCCCGGCTTGGGCGCGCGGTCGAGCATGCGCACCGATGCCCCTGCTTTGAGCGCCTCGTAGGCGGCGGAGAGCCCGGCAAGGCCCGAGCCGACCACTATAACTGGTTTCTTGGAACCTGACGCCATTCCGGTGGTTGAGAAAGGGTTGTGGTTGAGTTTACCGAATATTATGGGGATGCGACTTAGTCTTAGTCCGGTAGCGAAGCTCGGTCGGAAGAAGACCATGCACAGGATTGCGGTAATGAAGCCGATGGTGAAAGATATCAATATAAGATGCAAGCGACTTCGTCGTATTCTCATGTTTCATTCGGGGAGAATGAGTGGAGGAGAAGGCGAGTGAATGGATGGTAGATTGGCCATTTTAACGAGTTGGGATACCTTTTGGTAAGGTGGTTTACTTAGGTTTGGCGGCGGGCTTGACGGAGGTGCTGATGACCGATGTTGTCGTATGATTCTGATGCCATCGTATGATGTGTGGAATGAATATCGAAAAGCATCGAAAAGCACCGCATTTAGTAATTGCCGGATTGTGGTGAATGTGTAACTAACTTAATAACTCAACTTATAACTAGGTCATTTTACCACGTTCTCAGTTCTCATCTGTAACTAGTTATCGTGATGGGAGGATTATTTCCGTTATGCGAATGATTGTTGCGTTTGTTTGACGTTAAGAAAATCGATAGTCAAACATTTGGGAAATAAGAAAATCAATAGTTAACTAAAACATTTGGGAAATAAACAAAAATAGACAAAAATAGACAAAAATAGACACGGCATGGCACCTTAAGCTGCACCTTCCAATAGGACCAATACACCTTACTACTATGTAGTAAATATGTATTGTACGACGTAGTAGTACCTAGTACCTACTACCTACATGTACTACTAGTACTATTAAGTTATAGCAGGTAGGCACGGCCAACATCGAATACGATCGATCAGAGATAAGCACCAATGAGATCATACTAATTATATCAATTAAGGTTGTTTCCTTCAATTGTTCCCGACTTCTCTTCGTTTTAGATCTCTGCCTTATACTCCACCCCTTCATTTCATATCCTTGACATCCAAGCTAGTTAAGCTGGCAGGTTACATACCTTCCTAGGGTATTTTAGTAGAGTAGTGCCCACTGCCCAGGTGTTCTCGTCTGGTCTTTATGGAAGGTAACTAGTTAACTATAACTATCTAAGAACATTAGCCTGTCCAATAGGTCTCAAATGTCTGTTGTTTCGACCTAACCTTGCCGCGTTCGTTCTCGGCACTTTATCGAATACGACGGCATCGTGTAGTAGAAGACCCGTCATTCTAGGGCGCCTCACCTAGATAAGGCATGCCCCGGATCACCAGCAAGGGGTCGCCCCGCTGTGACAGGAGACGACAGCTACAATGTAGGCCTTCCATGCGACATCATTGCGGCATACTACATATGTACTAAAGGTAATCCACATCCCAGGTAACCTATTATACGGTGTTGTAGTTTGCTGGGTATAACCTCAATGTAACCTGGAAATACGAGATCGCGTCAGGTCTTGGCAGACATGATCTACCTCACTCTATCCTCGCCCTATTCAGCGGAGATATAAGGCTGCCTGTAGTCTTCTCACTCCCATCATGTATCCTCTCAAGCTTCAGGAATACCACTTCCCTTGTGCCACTCAACTATCGACAAGATGCGTGTAAACGCCTCCCTGTTGGCCCTGCTTCTCGGCGCCTCCGACAATGTTTGGGGTGCCCAAGTTCCCTCGCGTCGTGATCTCAATGAGACCGCGAAGCTCGTCGATAACCCCACGCCAAGACGGTTCATCGTCGAGTTGAAGTCGCGCGCTCAGCGCGCCCATATTTCCTCGAAAGTCGCCGGGCTTTCCGGACTCCGTGTTGTCAAGGAATTCGACTCCGACCTCTTCCCAGGAATGAGCATTCAATGCGACAGTCATTGCGATGAAGAGTCGATTACGAGCGCCCTCGACGCGGATGAAGATGGCCCTGTGGTTGCATCAGTGTATAAGTCTTCTATCATGCGTCTCCTGCCGCATGCGATAGAGGGTGAATCTTATAGCGATGATGCGGCCGCTAAGAACTACTCAGTCCATGGCTCAACGGGTGTCGAGAAGCTTCATCTAGCCGGCATTATCGGAGAGGGAGCTACGGTTGCAATTGTTGACAGTGGTATCCAGTACACTCACCCTGCAGTAAGATTACCCGATGGATGATAAAGTAAAGAGTAAACCAGTTTGCTGATAAGACTAACCCCGTGTACAGCTTGGTGGTGGAATCGGACCCAACTATACTGTTATTGGTGGCTATGACCTTGTTGGCAAAGGTTAGTCTCACCCCCCGTTGCTCAATGCCAGTTTCATTACCATTCATGCAAGCACTACTAACCCATCATCTTAATATTAGATTGGCCCGACGTCCCGGCCGAGCCAGACAATGATCCTATGGACGAATACGGCCATGGAACTCATGTTGCTGGAATTATTGCTGGCAAGAGTGACCAGTAAGTGAATCTTTAAGCTGCCTGGTATATTGGCGAAATACTGCTTTCTCGAAACTAACATGGCCTAGATTCGTCGGTGTTGCCCCTGGTGCCAAATTGCTCTCCTTTAAAGTCTTTGGTGATACTGGCTACTCAAATGAGGAAATAGTCATTGAAGCGTTTCTCAAGGCTTTCGATTCAGGGGTAAGCAGATCAACCAATTTTCATGGTGCCCTATGATCCAAGACAGATACGAGTGATAGAAACTAACTTCAATCGTAGGCCGATATCATCAGTGCCAGTCTCGGAGAGACCAGTGGCTTTACTTCCAATGCTTGGGCTGTGCTGGCTTCAAGAATGGTGGAGCAAGGCGTGGTTATTTCTATCGCCGCCGGTAACGATGGCGCAAGTGGTCCATTTGATGCTAGCAACGGGGCGTCAGGCAAGAATGTTATTACCGTAGGAGCTGCTGAGCCGGGTGAGTTTCCTGCCCAAGCTTTCTCGGCCGACTTCAACCTCGACGGCCAGTCAAACAAGACTCAGCTTGCCTACCTACCTACCAGCACCGCTTTCCCCAGTACCGTTTTGGGCTGGCCTATCAGACCAGTGACGCTCAACGCTTCCGTGGAAAATGACGCCTGCCAGCCGCTACCGGCTGATACCGCCAGCTTCAATGGGTCCATCGCACTGGTGAGAATTGGTGGATGTACCGCTACTGTCAAGCACACCAATATTGCGGCCTTCGGCGCTCAGTACATCTTGTTCTATAACGATGACGGATTCTACTCAACATTGTCTAGTGGCAATACTACGGGTCTAATAGCATCCGTAGAAGAACGCGCAGCTGCAGCTATCATTGAGACCATTGTCGCGGGTGGCAACGTTACCGCCTCATTCGATATCACCACTGGCAATTACGTTGGATTATACAATTCTGGAGGTGGGCGCCCGACCAGGTTTACTTCATGGGGAGGTACCTACGATCTTGCGCTTAAGCCCGACGTCGTTGCACCGGGTGACAAGATCCTTTCCACGTATCCGACCAACCAATACCGAGTCCTCAGCGGCTCATCGATGGCAACCCCCTATATTGCTGGAGTCGCAGCCTTGTGGGTTGGCAAGAATGGTGGGCGTGCAGCTCATGCATCGGATCCTGCCTGGGCCAAGCGTCTGACTGCACGCATTATGGGTACAGCACGCGCCGTTGCGTGGGCAGATTGGGCCACGAGCTCTGCCGACTATGGGTTCTGGGCCCCCGCCGGACAAGTGGGTGCTGGCTTTGTCGACGCAGAACGCGTTCTTGGATACACTACTGAGCTCGGCTTCGAGGGTCGTAAGTTCGAGCTCAACGACACGACGCACTTTGCGGGCACGCATTCTGTGGATATCATCAATCTTGGCACTGAGCCTGTCACGTACAACTTCTCGCTGCAAGACGCTGGTGGCTACGATGCTTGGCTTCCTGTTGTGCCGGGCAAGCCGCAGTCATTTGTCCCTGAGATCAAGCTGTACCCTGATGTTTTCCCCGTTAAAATGACTCCTGGAATTACGTTCCCAGAAGGAGTATTTACTGTCGGTCCAGGAGAATCGAAGACAGCTGAGTATGTATCCACTAAAGAATATTTACAAAAGGGGGTGAAGTGGCTGGCTAATAATGAGAATCTAGATTTACTTTCACGGCTCCCACAGGACTTAACGAGAGCAGCCTACCTGTTTACAGCGGCAAGGTCCTGATCAGCGGTAGCAATGGCGAGGAGCTAGGTGTTCCTTACTTTGGTAAGCTATACCCCGTCTAGTCCCAGGCATGGGCATATCTTATTCTTGTACTAACCACGGGAAAATAGGCATTGCATGCGATCTGAACCAGACTATCTCCAACATTTGGGATTACGGTTCCAGCTTCCCATTCCTGAACTCAGGTCTTTCCGACACCAGGATCGCTCAGAAGTCGAAGTAAGTTCCGACCCCTTCTGATACTTGCACTCATCATATGTGCCACTTCCCAAATGGCAACGCTGACATTTAGTTATTAGCTTTACCTTCAACTTCTCTAGCGACTCGCAAGACTTCCCCAAATTTTACAGCCAATTTGCTTGGGGCACGGAGGAGCTCCGCTGGGACGTACGTTTGACCTCCCCATCCAAGCTAGAGTCTTCTGATCATTCGATGATATTGTTCTAACACGCATACAGATTATGGAACCCGGTTATACGGAGGCAGAGTGGTCCTACCCACCTGTCGTCGGCGCCAACAAGTTCCTGGGGGCTGCTACAAGCTGGAACGGCACAGGCGAATCAGCCTATTTCATCGAAGGAAGGGACAACGAGGATGATATCTTCCCGTTCCCGGTCTTTGACCAGGCGCGCGATAAGCGAGGCATATACTTCTGGCTGGGACGATTCGCTAACGGTACCAACATTGTGCCGGGCGTGTATCAGTGCGTTTATCCCCTTATTTTACACCCGTATCCTACTCTTTGCTAACAGTTCTGGTGTTACAGGTTCCGTATCGCTGCCCTAAGAGCCTTTGGCGACCCAAAGAGCTCATATGACTGGGATATCTGGGCGACGCCGTTGGTGACGATACTGCCGAAGAATGGCAGCAATAGCACAGTTGCTTCGCGATAGGTAGTCCACCTCTTTGTATAGATGTTTTTTTCTTCTTCTAGGGATTAGTATGGAGTATGAGGTATGGATGGGTGATATATCGATACGTGGGTACGTAATGAATGAAGTAATTAGTTAAGATGGTTGTGGCATGGCCGTTATCGTCTGGCTGTGGTTTGGAAGTATGAATAGGTATATATAGGTAGAACCTAAATCGGGTTCGAATGGGAGTAAATAGTAAACGAGAATTTATTTTACCTAACTCCCCTTCTCTTCTCTCGGGCTCCCGGCCAGGAGGGAATACAGATGGATACCTGTCATGATCAAACTAAGTACCTAGTTTCACACGTGAAAACATCATCACATGGCTAGCCTTCCCTAAAGCAACTTCTTAGTTGCGAGTAAATCACTATTTCTTACCTAGATAGGTACCTAGGATGGATCGTGTTATTTCCCTCCCCAGTAGTACCTTCAGTACCCTTATTGTACATTTTATCCCGTCTAGCCCTCCGTCCCTATCCCTTCACCAGTAACCTTTTAACCTCATCATACACATTCATACCCTCATACATATGATCGATAGACAGCCTTAGAGCTCCTATATACTTGCCCAGGCACTGTACCTAGCTAGATACTCTAAAACGTGGTCCTCAACCCCAAATGCTCCCCCGCGCACGCCTTTAGATCCGCGAAGATGGCGTCGGCGTCGTCGCCGGGGAGCCCTTGCATCCGGTGCGTGTCCTCGTCTTCTAGCGTTTCTAGTTCTTCTGCTACTGGTTGCTTCCCCCCTCCATCACCGTAGCCTCCTTCTTGGCCCTTTTGCGGTTTGGTGGAGGAGGGTGAGGCGGGGGTGGTGGTGGCTTTCTCGATGCCGCTAGACTCGCCGACGAGCAGGAGCTGGGTGTTGGCGTAGTCGAGGTGTTTCGGTTGCGTGCTGGACCAGCGGAGGGAGCGGAATTCGTCTTGGATGCTGTGGGGGGGAAGGGGTTTTTGGTTAGCTTTTTCGCACTTGGATGTTTTGTTGTAGGGTTCACGGAAATTGGATTGAATGGGGCTTACTCCTTCGGATACTCGGGGCCCTGCGGTAGCGCAGCACCCTTCGGGCCCTCATACTGCGGGTTCCGCGTGCTGATAACGAAGCTGCCCTTCTCCTTGATCCCCAGCTCCTCCTGAACCTCGCCAAGCTCTGGCGGCAGCGTGACCATGTACGCGAGGTGGCTCTCCCGCCCCGTAGTCGTGATCGCGTACACACCCTCGGCCACCGGCGCCGCAGCGGGCGAGTGCCTCACGCCCGCCGTCTCGGTCGTGTAGTCCTCGGCAGACAGGAACTCGTCTTTGAGGACCTGGAACGAGGCATGCGACTTCTCGACGAACGCGACCCATCGATCTCGACCGCTCAGCGGCAGCACCTTCTTGGGGATCGCGATCAGCCGGCTGGTGCCGGCGTCGGCGATGGTCCCCGGGCCGAGCTTCGCGTCTTGGGACAGTGGGCGCAGGACTAGGTAGCTCCGCCGGATGTCGCGTATGCTGTGCGGCTCGTCGATGCCGACGCGGCCGCGGGTGAAGAAGTATATGAGGCCCTTTTCTAGGACGTTGGAGGGGATGGGGATGTTTCGAGCCCCGGTCTGCTCGGCTGTGCCGTTTTGGTTTTGATCTTGATCTGTTGTCTTTTTCTCTGGCTTCGCCCCGATTCCGTTTGCATTGCTCTCGGTTTTCTGCCTGCTAGGTCGTGGGATATGCTTGCCATCGCCGTATGCTTCGGTGGGACTGAAAAGGGGTCAGTTAAGGTTCATGTTCTCTATTGTATGGTAGGTACGTAGGTACCTAGATAGTTGAGGATGTCTAACCTTGGGATAGTATCCCCCTTCTTGCTGCGTTTGGAATTTGGTGATGGTTGTTGTTCTAGCTCATGCTTCGAGCCAGCTGCGGCCCCGTTTTGGCTTTGGGAGCTGGACTCCCTTCTCACACTAGATCTTGTGGTCGTGGTCATGGTTGTTATGATGGATTGGAGAGATGATACGATAAGCACAGATTCACAGATTCACAGATTCACAGATTCACAGATGAACGTATGAGAGTAGATACAAGGTTGAAGTTACATGGGTATATTGATATATGGGTATTTTATATACATTCAAACACTTCAGCGTCAAATAATTACCAACGAATTGATTAACTAGAGGAATGGGTTGGCTACCAAGTGCCATTATTCATTTATTGCACTTTGGTCATTCCGTTTCGCTATGATGTCATTCACCTCATCATGGTACGGGGTAGTGCCAGGAACACAAAAAGGAGCTTGGGCCCATTCATGACGATAGCTGATTACCTATTCTAGTAATTGTCGTCATTATGATGCATCCCGTACGGCATTCGTACGAAGGAACCGGGCGAGAGCAGATTGACTTTATGTACTAGGTACCTACCTAGTTATCTGGGTTTTTATGAATTGGTGAATTTTATGTAGCGGAATAACTAATCAATTTACCGGTTGCATTAATGATTACACAGGTACCCAGGTACCTGGGCTAAGCCACGTGATAAGCGTAGCTTAGTAATGAGCATCACATGATAAGGGATGTAAACTGTAAACTGTCAGTAACAAGTTTTGAAGTTTTGTGTTTTGAATTTCATCTCAACTTTTTTAACCATCGCTAAAAGCGGTATCACCCAAGTACGTGGGTGCCACCATTTATCTGAGATTGGAAAGTCTCAATGACTAGTGTTAATAACGTTGGTGATATAGGTCGTATCTTAGCGACGGCGTCTCCCCTGAAACGCTTGGACTTGAACGATGTACCTCGATCGTGCAGAGATACGAATAGGGGGCTGCATCATTGATTTATGCTGTAAGTACTAAGTTCAATTCAACGTGAAGACTTTCAAAGTTTCAATGTTTGATAAAAACAACCTTGGAACAGATTGGGACGCATACCTTAGACACCTAGCCCTATACACTATTAATTAAAACAGTTCTATTACCCCTTGTAATTGTTATTTATATCTTCTCAACTCTTGCCCACATCCGCAGATTGGATCCTTGTGTCGATGCCCCCACTACTTACGTGCGTCAACGGATCTTGCCACCATCCTTGCTTGAGTAGTGTCCGATATGGAGTTTGATAACCGACGCCATACCATCCTTCTGAGGCTATACGATAGTGGATGGAGCATCATTAAATAAAGGTTCCTTTTAGGAAGGTCATAACCACCGACTAGACTTGTCGCGCGACACAAACCGGTAAATTATCCCGAATTTGCATCGTCTAAGCACCTGGATGGGCACCAGCTATTGTATATGAAATACTCAGTTCCAAGTGATCACGATGTTGAGGTTCTTAACAGGATTTTCGATTGTCCGCCTCGAAGAAAAATATCTATTCGGCCACGAAGTATTCCTAGACTCAGTCTACCACTTTCGTTAATTGCATTCGTGCCCGGCCAAGTCGTTCATTTAATACCTTACCTAATCATATATCCAACCCAGTGTCATTCTCTAACTATAAAGACTTCCAAGTTCCAAAATGAAGCCTTCAACTCTCGCTTTTCTGCTCGGGCCTATGGGCATCGTAGCTCGCCCCTGTGGTGGACATCGCCCTTCATCTACTCTCTCGTCGGTTGGAATTCCTACCACAGTATCTTCAAGCCAATCAGGTGCAACATCTTCAGTGTCTACTACGTCTTCAACGTCTTCAAAGCCTACCGTTGCTTCTACCTCATCCACAGAAGCTACAACAGTGACCCCAACCACCACAGGTTCAACGAGCAAGTCGACGGCTTCTTCTACAACTTCCTCCGCAGCCCCGACTTCAACGCCAGGCAGCGGCGCCTCGTCTGACAGTATCGATGCCCTTTTCAAGGCCAAGGGCAAGCTGTATTTTGGAACCGCAGCAGACTCGGGCACCTTATACAAGGCCCAAAATGCGGCTATCATCAAGAAAGACTTTGGCCAGTTGACGCCGGAGAACAGCATGAAGTGGGATGCTATCGAGCCTAGTCGCGGCGGCTTTAGCTTCGGCGGTGCTGATGCGCTCATCGATTTTTCTGTACAGAATGGCCAGAGCGTTCGTGGCCATACTCTGCTCTGGTACCAGCAATGTATGCCACCCCCTTTTCTTTCCTTTTCTCTTTTTTGATTTCCTAGGCATCAAACGTACTACAAGAGTCCCTAACCCTGTGGCCCGGTACCCCTGCTTTGCTCTGAAAAAATCACTGACCCCTATCAATACAGTGCCCGACTACGTCAAGGCGATCACTGACGCCAAAGAACTCACGAGCGTGTTGGAGAACCACATCAGCACCATCGTTGGAAGGTACAAGGGCAAGGTCCGGTCTTGGGTATGCATCTACCATCCACTAAACTCTCGAGCTATAATAAGCGAGCCTAATGTTGACCAAAAATCCTTTTAGGACGTCGTCAACGAGATCTTCAACGAAGACGGCACCCTCCGGGACTGCGTTTTCACGCAGGTGCTCGGCGAGGACTTCGTCCGCATCGCCTTCGAGGCGGCGCATAAGGCCGACCCCGACGCCCTGCTGTATATCAACGAGTACCACCTCGAGAGCGGCACCTCGGCCAAGACCACCACGGGGATGGTCGATCACGTGACCAAGTGGCTCGCGGCTGGCATCCCCATCGACGGCATCGGCATGCAGGGACACCTCGGCGGCGGCAACCCGAGCGCGGCGGGCATGCAGGCCGGTATGGAGAAGCTGGCGACGACGGGCGTGAAGGAGATTGCGGTCACGGAGCTGGATATTGTCAACGCGCCGGCTGATGAGTATGTCAAGGTTGCTGATGCTTGCCTTGCGGTGGAGAATTGTGTGGGGATCACCGTGTGGGGTGTGAGCGACGCGGTAAGTACCTAGTATCTCGAATACTTGGATTATTGATAATGTATGCTGACATTTGTCTAGAACTCGTGGCAGTCGAAGAGCTCGCCGCTGCTGTTCGATGCTAATTACCAGCCTAAGGCTGCGTACACGGCTCTTGTCGAGGCTCTCTCGTAGGCTACTGCGGATATACGCGTGTAGATAGGTACCTATGGATACGTGGTATACTTACCCGTCTAATTACCTAGGTACCTTGGTGATCTATGTAGCGTGATGAGGACTGATATCCTAATTATAATACCTAACTAGGTTCTTGCCTAATAGGTATGAATGCCTGTCTACCCATCCTGCCTAAGCGTATGAAGGCGCCTATTGTATGGATGCATACAACACCTCATCGTATCACAAGTGGCCTATGATATATGATTCCGACTATGGTACGTGACTTCTACCTCGGTTAAGCTAGACGCGACGCCGGCCATCACGATGTTTTAAAGGCGAAGGACATGAGTTAATAGATACCTCATCACTCATGATGAGGATTGGTACCAAAGAACTCCACAAATCTTCCCCTTTAAGAAACATGTGGGGAACGGGCTTACGTATGTAGGTAGGTAGGTAGGCGCCATATGGCATAGGTAGCCCTGGAGGTATAGAATGTAGGTACTAGGTAGGTGCCTAAGCAATTGGCTAACCTGCTGGTATACGGATTTTGATAGACGATACCTATTAATTGAGCCTTGGTGTGGGATTCTCATAGTACGCATGTACCGGGTACTTGCCCAGTTACACCACTTACATCTCCGTCCAATCAGCGCTTTAAACAGCCCCCAGTCGCATCCAAAAAAGGCAATCCGTATATTTTTAGAGTGTGCCAATACATTGGCGCATTCCTATGTTAGTAGATGCTAAATAATTGAGTAGTAGGTATCAAGGAGTACAACAATAGCACCAGGGAGCGTTGTCGCGTTGTAGTTCTATTACAGTACTCTTTGTCTAACAAAGAATCCTCTTCCATGCAATAACAATATCTTTGACGGGCTCGTTTATATATCAACTAGTGGTGAGCACTTGACGTTGAACGTCGACATTGTTACCCGACGTATCAAGAACAGCCAACGAGTACACATAAATCCCCGAGTATATAGCAGAAAGATCGACACTAGCCCAGTTAAGCGGGCAATATCGGTACAAGAAGAATAATTCTACCAGAGTGCGTAAGCTTCGAAGCTGCTGTTATCACAGTATTGATTAATTACATACCTAGGTACCTATTAGTAACGAATATCCTCAAATATGGCGGCGCCACCCCCATCACCAACCCCCGTGGCGAATTTGGAGTGGCAAGTAAGTCTGCCTACGCGATCCCCAAAGAAGCTGGCCTTTGCAGCGTTTTGAGTGCTAACCAATGACTCTGCATATAGGCACCTTGGCCGTTCCATCAAATAGTCAGAAATGGGCGTAAGTTGATCCTAGGATTTTACCTAATTCCAAGTGTTGAGTAGGTACTAACCTGTGATTTTATACAGCTGGCCCTGGAGTACCCAGCGTTGTCGTCGAAGAACCTAGTCACAGTAGAAGCATATTTGCTACACTCAGAGCGCTTTGCAACATAGGAGGCACAGGGCTGACCGTCAAATCGATGATCAACGAGTCCCACATAGGGGCGGCATTGAGTACGTACCTACCTACCTAATATCCTCCTAACCTGCTCACACAGTGGAGAGTAATACTAACAGCCTGTTCCCTAGACATCCACAACCTTGCCTTGGAAGACTGCATGGAAAATCCCGTAAGTTTACCTCCCTCCCTCCCTCGCTCCTAAACTCCATTTTCCGCATTCCCACCCACCTACCTAGTATACCTAGTACTAACCAACCGATCCGGCAGTGGACGTACGTCAACCCCAATCTCCTCGACGTCCCCGCATTCCCCACCGAAGAGTACGTCTGGGAAAACCTGAACCGCCGAACGAAGGCAAACGCGTACGACGATCGGCTGATACGGGACCTGGAGGCCCCCTGGACGCCGGTATCCAGCAATCCCACCCGGAAAGCCCGCAACGTCAGCCGATACCGCTTCTACGTGTTCATGCACAGACACTTGCCGTCGAACTTCAACCAGCAGCTGGGGAAGAGTAGGGTGAGCATTTACTCGACGACGATATGGGATCGCGAGGTAAGCTTCCCGGTTGCGAGAGACATCTCATAATAATGTTCTTAACCTATCTATTGCATTGAAGGAATTGTTGACTAACACCTGTTGTCCTAGAATCAATCATCGATATGGTACGATTTCTGGAACGAAGGCCATGACCAGAGGCGAGATGCGATTCGGGCTTTTGTACGTACATAACTTTTTCATTCATCACACTCTATCACATCCCCCCCCTACCCCCCTACCCCAACCCCCAGCGCAACAACTAACCCCCCCTCCCATTCTCTCCAGTGGAACAACGTGCCCCTAACCTGGCCCGCCATACTAACCTCGACCATCGGCTCGCGCCTCGCGGTGCGGCACCACATCCTCGCGCTCTCGCAAGGCGGGTACGCGCACGCCAACACGCCGCCGGGGTTCACGCAGTTCAGCATGCTGGGGGTGATCCTGGACCACGTGAACAACGGGCGCACGGCGCCGACGCCGCGGTACGAGACCGCGCACGACGGCGCCGTGCTGTCGGCCATGGACCCGCGCGCCGCGCCGCTGTTCATCAAGGTCCTGATCGAGACGGTGCGCGCCGGCGACTGGCAGACCACGCTCGTCGGCGACGACGACATCGCGAAGGACGCCTGGGAGGAGTTCCGGATCATGAACACGTACCTCCAGCGCGAGGTCAGGGCGCTGCTCGAGGCGAGGTACAATGGCACGGATGATGCGTGGATTGTGGATGCGGTGGCGCCGCCGGTGATGAAGATCTAGTACGTAGTAGGTGCGTGCCGACCTACATACATATGTAGTAGGTATCTGTGAGTTGACCTATTAGTAGGTAGTTGGTAGGTACATAGGTACGTGCAAGGTAGCAATGATCAAGCATCTTCCAATGATGGCCCGAGCGAGGAAGAGTATCTGCTTTATAGCGTAGAGTAGAAATTGATGTTTAATACCTGTTTACTTAGAAGCATGGACAGATGCGTTGCTTCGTAACACCGTGATGAGGTTTGAGCAAGTCCTTCCTATTCGTCTGTGGGGGGATACAACTTAGAAGCATTTGTACCTCCTTATTAATAAAATTCTTCGCGTGACTATGTCAATGAACACCCATTTGTTAGGTTCACGGTTCGCATGGATATGTCGACAACTATATAGTGACCTTCTGCGCAAGAAGCTTAGATCTGTGCGTTGGAACAAGGTGGTTTGGCACCTGCATTTCGACATGATGCGAGCTTGTATCATGGGCTTCTGTTGAACTATACGTAACTTTGCACATGTGTTTATTTCCATAGGTACCTAGTGTTCCACTTAGAATACTCTTCTAGAATAAAAGATCTTCTATTATGAGACTTTAGAACCTCAAGGTTTCGCTACAGCACGTGTTGATCTAGGTGTGTGCGGAAGCCAATCACTACCACTATCGAAGGGAGGTTGCATTCGTTTAGGTAGCTACCCGCGTACCTAGGTACCCAGGGAGAAACCAAGTATAGGCCTCTTCTCATGAACTGAGCGCAAATGATATCTCAGATAACTACTGGGACTTAAGAGGTCTCCGAGCAACTCCGAGCAACTGAAAAGTGCTTAAGTACCTGCATGTTTGAACTCGGGCAAAGTTGAGGGTTTGGATGAGCACTCGTGGACGGCCACCGTAAACAAGCTGCAGTAGGGTTTGAGTAGGTCTGAGATTGTAAGAACATAAATAGATAAAGTGAAGGAACAGCCTTCCTATATGCTGAGTCGTGACAATTCAAGAGTTTCTGAAAATCAAATTAGTAGTCATGGCTATGTTTCGAGAAGTTTCGGCCTTTGGTGCCATGTTGACGTTAACATCACTCTTACTGAGACCTATTAACGCCGAAGCAACAGCAAAGTCAAACGCGGTCTTCGATGAGGCCTCGTACACATACTATGAGCAAGCTTTGCCGGTGTTCACTGCGGCGGCGGAGCCATTTTATGACGATGATTTGAGCCAAATAGCCTCCGTCAGCTTGCCGTTTACACCACGGCCTCAAAGGTACCCTGCAATTCCCAAACGACCAGTCGAGCCAATATGTATTATGGCCCCCGGTGACGTGGTATCGGAGTTTGTACGTAATCTATTATGTGTCTTAAATTTAGAACGGATTGACTAATGGCTTTCAGATTCTCGTGGGAGATAACTACACCACGTTCATTCCCAAAGGCGAGAAGCTCGAGATACTGACCGAAGATGATGTCCCGAAGGATAAGCCGGAAGAGTACCAACTCCAAAGATTTGTATTTGAGAAGCCATCAGGCGGAAATGACCTGTGAGAAAACAACGCCCATTCACCTAGTATTGATACCGAGACACCGCTAACCACAATATCTTCAGTCTTTATGATATCACCTTCACCACGGCGGATGGTAAGTTTTATATTGCACGAGATGAGAATGGCGAGGTCGCGGTATCGAGCATAAGCTCGAACGGCCAAAGCCCGGTAAATTTCAATGGGAAGCAGATCGTTACAAGCCTGTTCTCTGTCGACTGTACTGGCCTGATCCAGATGCATACTCTGGACACCAGTTACATATGGAAAGTTTCTGGCGCGTTCAGTACCGCCGCTGAGGGGAGGGATGAGGAGAGGCACATGATGGCGCTCCCTATTGAAATGTTTCAGATGACGGAAGAAGTTTCTGCTGCAACTCGCACGTCAAGGTTCATGAGGCCACAGAGAAATGAAGCGACGGATGGGCCGCTTCCTCGTTGTCCTGATGAGCCGGCCGGCTTGGCGTGCTTCAAAATAGATCCAAATCTGCCACATCCGCCTGGTGGTTGCGGCGGTGTGTTAACGGCGCCGGTTATAAAGAATAGTGACTTCGAAGGTGAGTGCTATCTGTGACAATGGCCCAATTAACCCCCCCCCCCCCTCCTCCCCCTTTTCTACTACTTTTCTGGAAAACTGACGTTTTGCAAAGCAAATTGCGAAGCTATCGATAACTGCTACCAGGACTGCGTTCTGTCTTACGACCACTGCAACAAGGACTTCTACCATGGCATGAGAAAAGTGTGCCATAACCTGTATCCTTGGGGACACAAGCTGTTCAAGCGCATAGGCTGCGAAATCGCTGCATCCATCTACTTTGCAGCGACATACACATTTGGAGCCTTGGAATTCACCGAGGCCACGGAAGACCTGTAAGTGCCAAGTTTTTGACGAAACATCTGCCGTTTACTTAATGCTAATGAGGCTTGCCACGAACCTAGCTGCTACTGTGATTGCGAAAGGGGACATCTCTGCGGCGATACATGCGTCGACTACATGTCAGACTCGTTGAACTGCGGGGCCTGCGCAACGCAGTGCATGACGCCAAATTTCCAATGCGAGGCAGCTGAATGTGCATGCTCTGCCGACACGGAAACCGATGCGGAGAACTGCGGGTGAGTTTTCTTTCCGGCGATGCCTTGCTTTACTTGCGTTCTTCTCGAAACTAATTTGCATTGTCTAGCATGTGCGGGAGACGTTGTACAGGCTCGAACAAGTGCCAGGCTGGCCAATGCGTATGCCTTGAAGACATCATGAATGACGATCAAAACTGCGGTGCTTGTAACAATGTCTGCCCAGGACAGACACACTGCGTTCAAGGGAAGTGTGCCTGCGCCGGGGATCAATGCGGGTAAGCTATTCAGAACCAGCTCTTAGTCGCACCTGTTCATGGTTACTAACTCGATAATTTCTAGTAATATGTGCTTAGACTTGGCCGACCACCCGCTCAACTGCGGCGTCTGCGGCAATGCCTGCGCATCTGGTGTTTGCAAGGAAGGCCAATGCTATAACCCATAAAGCCCCCTTTCTAACTGTAGAGGGCTGGGCACTTATCGTGATGAGCAATGCTACCACGTGTCTTGTCTGAGATGAAGTTGTCTCTCATAGCGGTGAGCAAAGCAATCATGGAACAATTCGGAAGTTTGGAAGTTTGGAAGTTGGAAGTTGGAAGTTGGAAAGTATGATTTAAAGGATTGTTTGTCTGGCTGTCCCTATTAATTGTATGGGATATTATTTAGTTGATCTTAGTAATCATTAACTACTGCATAGTAGGAGTATTATGCAATTGGTTGAAATATTGAGGTCCGTGCTTTAAACTAAGGTTAGGTTACATAATCGATACGTACCTCTCCATTGATTGACTTTGTTCGTCGCGATTGAATAAAGTAACCAATTTGATATTTACACATTTTACACGTAAAACGTAGATCAGTAACAACCAACACCGCAAAATCAACTAGGCAAGTCAACATGTCTAGAAAACAGGTCAAAGGCGAGTACATCGAGACAGATACCGGAAACAAAGTATCAAGAAAGGCCATCTTAATCGGTACTCAACACATCATGCTAGGCGGCAAGACCGTCATCCAAGCCGAAGCTATGATCCGCGGTGATCTCGCCAGAACTGCTCAACCTACTTCATCTTCAGGTGCTGCTCCAGGTAGCAATACGGCTGTTGCTATTGGTCGATATTGTTATTTGAGCAAAGGGTGCTGTCTACGTCCACCAGGTCGCATCTACAAAGGGTGAGGCGAGCATACTATCTCTACTTTACTACCTACTTATCATCTGTTCACCTACCTATCTACCTTATACTAACCGTAACCTCTGCGTTATAGTTCCTTCACATACCTCCCCCTCCGACTAGGCGATCACGTTTTCATCGGCGAAGGCACTGTTGTACAAGCAGCCACGGTCGGGAGCCATGTCCATATCGGCCAGGCCGTCGTCGTCGGCGAGTTTGCCATCATCAAGGACTACGTCCGCATCCTCGACGGTACCGTCATACCCCCCAACATGGTCATACCTAGCTTCAGCATTGTTGCAGGGCAGCCCGGTCGCGTCATCGGTGAGGTGCCTGAGGGGGGGCACGAGGCATTCGAGCTCAGGGAGATGTACAAGACAGTTGGAAACAATCCATTGCCGATACCTGTTTGAGTTTGATCGGCCCTCCATATTGGAGCTACGTTCTTTTATACTAGGTATGGCTAGCTTTATGCTTTTGCCACTTGACCACTTCCGAGAAGATATGCGAAGTATCCCCTATACCTACCTGCATAAGTGCGGCGTCCGGACCGACTAGATCCCGGCCTACCGAAACCTCGAGGTGCATTACCTGGGTACTCACGTCCACGAGGTTGCGCTCGTCGCGTTTCGTGATAGGTCTAATTCTACATAACTTAGAATAGCCTCGGAAAGTACAGAACCGGATAGGCTAGGAGGTACGAAAAAAAGATCAATGCCGATGACCAGGCTCAGGTTACTCTCCGATTGGCCTATGGTGTTATCACCAAGGACATGGTCTACCCTAGGTCAGCTAGGGAGGGACCTTTGTATTTTATGACATGTACAAAGCGAAAGTAGGATTCTAACTGCCGGTCGTAAAATCTGGGTAATCAAGTTCGAAGTTTACCGAGCGTTAAGGAGTCGCGGGAGCCGCGGGGAGCCGCGAGATAGGGGCACAGCCGAGGCGAATGCTACATATGTACGCGAAGTTTTAACTTATATGCTTGACCACCCATTAGAGGAAATATCTATCCAGTATGTCGGTAGCAAAATTTACCTGTTTTTACGAAGTTTCTGGCTTCATCTTGCGGCCATGTTGTTAGATCAGTCCCTCCGGGGCATGAGCCTCACAGAATGGCTCGTGACATCTTCCCTATTTGCGATTTTTGCGGTATGTATCTGTATGCTGTATATAGAATAATACGCAGATAGAAAACTAACTGAAAACAGCTTTTCGCAAAAGCCATCTATAACCTGTTCTTCCACCCCCTGGCTCATATTCCTGGGCCATTCTTTGCTCGAGCCAGCGGTATCCCCTCTTGGTACTATGCAATCCGCGGCGACCGCCACATCTGGGTAGCGAAGCAGTTCGACCGGTATGGGAAACGAGTCCGCATAGAGCCCAACACGGTGGTGTTCCTCGACCCGCAGGCTGAAACCGAGATCTACGGCATGAAGGCCAACGTGCAGCGAAGCGGCTTCTACTCCTCGTGGAAGACTAGCAAGGAGGACGTCTCAACGATTAACAGCGTCGACTTCGGCGACCACGCACGCATGCGCAAGTTCCTCAACGTCGCCTTCACCGAGCAGTCGACCCGCGCGGCGTCGACGTTTGTTGTTCAGCATATCGACCGCTGGAACGAACTCCAGCTCCAGGCTATCGGCGGTAAAGAAGGATGGAGTGACCCAGTGGATATCTCGCAATCGGTCACCGCGCTTACTTTCGATATCATGGGGGAGTTGGCTTTTGGCGCGTCGTTTAATATCAAGGAGCCCGGAGACAACCCCTTTAGAGTCGTGCCGCACAACATCGAGTCGTTACTGAAAAGGAATTATGTCGTGAGTTTTCCAATGAAGCCATTCCCTCCCTACCTACCAACCAACCATGCTATGGTGCCCAAATACCTGCCTAGATACCTAGGTAGGCAGTGCTATCAAAACAACTAACCCCTCCAAGATCTCCCGCTCCCCCTTCCTCGACCTCCTCCTCTGGCTCAAGCCCCGCGGCCTCGACAACGTGATCAACAGCCTCGCCCCATCCTCCGTAATCTCCTACTTCCACTTCGTGCGCTCGAGCGTCGAGAACCGCATCGCCCTCTACAAATCCCAAGAATCCAAGCCCGAGCAAGAGCGTCGGCAGGACCTCTTCTACTTCCTCTGCGAGGCCAAAGACCCGAGCACGGGCCTCCCCGCCTACGACGGCATCGGCCTGCTGGGCGAGGCCAACATGCTCATCGTCGCCGGCTCCGACACCACCGCCATCATCCTGTCGGCGCTGTTCTTCTACCTCACCGGCGACGCCGACCGCTACCGCAAGCTCACGTGCGAGATCCGCGGCACCTTTGCCTCGGCGGACGAGATCGTCCCCGGCCCGAAGCTGATGGCCTGCGAGTACCTCCGCGCCTTCATCCAGGAGACCCTGCGCATGTGCCCCGTGCTGCTGAGCGAGATGCCGCGCGAGGTGCGGCCCGGCGGCCAGGTCATCCGCGGCGACTTCTACCCCGCCGGCACCATCGTCGGCGTCCCGGGCTGCCCCAGCAAGCGCAACCCGGACGTCTTCCCGCAGCCCTCGAGGTTCTGGCCCGAGCGGTGGATCGTCGACGAGAAGGCGGGCGTGACGCGGGAAGAGGTCGCGCGCATGCGCAACAGCTTCCACCCCTTCGCGGGCGGCCCCGGAGCGTGCGCGGGCAAGAACATCGCGATGATGGAGATGCTGATGACGGTGGCTCGCACGCTGCATAGGATGGATGTTAGGAGGGCCCCGGGCTCGACGCTGGGGTGTGATCCGAGGAATAGGGACGAGTACCATCTGACGGATGCGTATATCTCGCTGAGGCAGGGCCCGGAGGTGCAGTTTAAGAGGAGGGAGGGAGTGAAGGCTTGAGTGCATTAGGTAGGTACCTAGGTTAGATACGTACGTACCTGCGTATATACAGGTTTTCTTTTGTTCGATGTTGAATTCTATACATTCCACTGTATGCATGGCTGGCCATTTTATACGGGCTAGTTGGAGGAAAAATCCCACTCTATATACTATGATACCTTTGGCGTGGCGGTATGTGCGACACTAGTGATTCTCCCTTTTTCTATCAGGAGAGATGCCTACCTATAGATAGGTGCCTAGGACAGCCAAATTCCCCTATGTGCAGATTGGAAAGGCATCAAGTAGGTACAGATTCTACACCAGAAGGGGAAGGAAATTGTACTTGGATTGAGCTAGGTTAGGTGCTTAGTGTAACGGGTTGGGATAGTTCCAAGCTTGCGAGAAATACATGGCATCCCTCTTCTCTGCAGAAGCACGCATAAGAAAGTGACCAGAAAGCTGCAGCAAAAAATGCATTCCACGAACAGACGACAACAGTGAGAATACCCAAAATAAAACCTAATCCGACTCCGACTCGGAACTTGAACGTGCCTTCTTCTGGGGCCGCTTCTTGGCATGCCCGTGGTTAACGGCGGCGCCATTTTCGTCGCCACTCTCCGCGGGGGATGCCGGCCCGGACGAGACCGAGATAGAGGGCGGCCTGTTGGTATGTAGTTTGGAACCGCCGATGCTGCTAGGATTATTGGCCGCGGGCCGGGCGCTCGGCCCCGACCTCCGCGACGACGACACGCCGGAGCTCACGGGGCCTCTGCCGTCGGTGGCGGGGACCCGTGGCGGCGGCGGCTCTTCCCTGTGCACGCGGACGGTGACGTTGCGGTCGTTGAAGTAGTCGTTGCGGATGTTCTCTTCGAGGGCGCGGTCGAGCTCGCGCTCGCCGTGGACGGCGTACAGGTAGTCCTCGAACTCCTGGGCCGTGTCGGCGATGACCTCGAAGTACTCGGTGCTCAGCTTCAGGCGGCGCCACTTCTTCTTCCCGGTGCGGAGCGCCTCCTCGGACGTGAGGCCCTTCTCCTGCAGGCGCATCGAGCGCTCGTACTGGCCGAGCGCGATGGCGGTCTGGAAGGCGTTGCGGATCTGCCGCCCGTTCCACGTCGACTCGTTCTCCTTGCACTTCTCGAACTGCGACTCGGCATAGTCGAGGATATCCTCCCGGTCGAAGTCGATCTTGATCTCGCGGTTCGCGTTGTCGCGGGCGAGGCGGTCGAGGATGTTCTTCCATATCTTGAGGGTCTGCTTCCGCTCAATCTTGGGGTAGCGGAGCGCGACGTGGATCCGTGAGGTGAACGCCTCGTCGAGAATGCCCACGCGGTTGGTCGTGAGGAAGAGTATCCCGGCGTAGTATTCAAGTTGTCGCAAAAACACTGTCCCTGGAATTAGTATCGAAATGAAACTGGGCGCGAGTGTATCGATGGAAAAAAAGTTACCAGCGACTAAGGCGTTCCTCCCCATTTCCTTCCATCCTCGTTTGACCAAGAACACGTCTGCTTCGTCGAGTAATAGCACGCATCCCCATTTATCGGCACGTCTAGTGTGCAACTCTAGCTGCGCCTCAATATGGTCGATACGTAGACCAAGGTCTCCACAAGTCAGGGCGTACAAGGGCCTTCCAGTATAAGCCGCGATAGTCTCGGCCGTGCTCGTTTTCCCAGATCCGGGGGGGCCATCTGGATACTCGGTTAGTTCTACCATGATGAAATGGGCGAGACGAGATTATAAACAGAGAATGTCATATTACGAAGAAGGATAATGAGACCAAGACCCTTGCCCCTGACCAGGTCGATCTGCCTGATTGGCTCTTCGCTTGTCGCTGTATTCTTATGATCCATCTTCTTCCTGTGCCCCGAGGCGTGGCTTTCGACAAGAGATACCAGCAGCTTGCGGTACTTTTGCGGTATTACAAGCTCGTTAAAGCCCGTCCTTCGAGCTTCGTCACTCTTATCCATCTCGCTTATGCAGTCCAAGTCCAAGTGAACTGATCGCCATTAGCATAGCTCTTACTCGCATTGCACTACAAGGTAACTAAATACATACCCCAGGCTCGCGTTCGAAAAGCAAAGGCAACAACCCAATGAGGAAAGAGGTAGATAATATCAGGGGTATTGAGCGCTTCCGGCGTGGTCAGCAATTCTTTGTTCGGGGTTGTTTCCGCGAGAAACGTCTCCGCCCTGAGCTGATCGATCTGGTAGTCTACGAGTTCAATGAGCTTATTATCATCTAATCCCACCGTGTGGTCAAGCTCGCTGACTTCCGGGCGACTAGTCTCCGACATACGAAGCTTCCCGAGGCGAGGGCGCTCCACTCTCCGTTCTGAGCGATAGTATTCTTCGAAATCGATGTATACATCACCGTGAAGCTCCTCCTTAATATGCTCGTGTCGATGATCATATGCGATCCCAAAGTAACTTCTGTGGCCGCTGCAACGGAGAAAGCTCTTTCCGCGTTCCTCCAGTCGCTTCTTGACTTCTTTTGCTTCGGGATGAAATGCTAATGGGTACACTGGTAATTCCGTAATGCGCTTTTTTCCGATGAATGGTGGTATCTTTTTAACTTCGTCGATGGGCCCGATATAATTGCCATCGCAAGCCATTCGATAACAGTCAATGGTCAGAGGAGCCCATGTCCCCTTGCCTGATGTTTTAATGCGTAACCTCTCTTCATCGTACTCATCGCTGTCATCATTATTGGCATCATGCCAGTTTGTCCGACGATTTAATATGCGACCCAGTTCTCTCCTACGAATATTTTCAAGTTCCCCTAACGTCCGGTTTCGCAGCCGTTGCTTTCCACCTGCTATCATGTAGGTAACATATAGCTGTTCGTGACGGCCCTCGTTTGTGAATATAGTGTCCCCTACGCTGAACAAGTGCCACAGATCCTCGAACGTGATGGACTCCAGTGTCAAATCTGCCACATGTTTCCGGAGCTCTATCAGATGTTGTAGGTCTGTTTGGATGAAATTCAAAAGAAGCTCAAAGTGGTCAATCTTGTTACCAAGTGTTTCGATATCAGAAGCCAAACTGTCAGTTGTAGTGGTGTTATTGTCTTCTGCTCCATCTGGTTGATTGGCTTTAGGTTCGGAGGTATTTTCGGCTCTGCTCTTCCATTTGGATATCTGGGAATCCATAATGTTGCCGAGTTCCGAGTGTTTGGCCTTGAGCTTGGCAAGATACGGTTCAATAAGAGGTAAGGCATGCATGAATAACTAACATCAAGTCAATTGATATATCCAATGGGGCTATAACAGATACTCGATAGGGTCTGTGTTTACCTTATAAGGGGAATTAACCCTATGGCCTGCAAGTTAGAACGCGGGTATTCTGTATGCCAAGGTACGGCGTGGGCTTACACAAGAGGGTGTTCGTCAATCCCAATGCCAGTGATTTCCTCAATGCCTTGAATTAAGAGCTTTGAGTTAACTACAACTCTCAAAGGCCTCTCACTCGCCGGCCTTATCGTTGCTGCTGATTGTACCCCCCTATCCTCATTTACTTGCATATGCGTATGGTCGGGTACAGCGCGGTAGAAAGCCTGGATGGCATGGACCGGCGGATCCTTTTCCTTCCAACCCTTTTTTAACCATGCGTCCATGGGTAAACGAACAACTTTACAGACATATTTGTCTTCTCGATTCCTTCAAAATCGGTGTTAAGTATCTAGGTGCGAGTGTGTGATCCGAATAGGGGGGATAATTTGACTCACCCTTTCTCATTATTAGCAACTTGCGCTGCTCCCTTCCTCAGTCTATCTAATGGATTTCGAATACTGTAAGGGAGTGGCGCGCCAGTTCCCCCGTATATAACTTCGATTTGTTCCCGAAGATTCTTAACCACACTGACGATAGCCGTGCCCACCTTTGAATTTTGCTCGTCCTTGCTTTCATTTCCTTCTGGTGGGTTGAAAGCTGGCACCGCTTCTTGCATGCTTTTCTCTTCCATCGTAGTAGGCCACGAATGATCTCTCGCAGTGAGGGGAATTGTTTGAAAATCAAGATACTATTTGGGTACGTGAGTAAAGATGAAGTTACAGCCATTTGCCCAAACATGAACGGCTCTAGTGAGCCATTTAGTATAACTGTTGGTAACATCGTAGTGATTTCCATGTCCCAACATGCCTTTGATTCCAAGGTTGTCAGCCAATCAGGTTCACAAAATTTCGACTGGCTATTTTTAGTCTTTTCTGCATCGCCTGAATAGGTAGGTAGTTGTTTGATCTTTTGTGCATACTATGGACGCTTGTAGCATGACCGTAGGTGTCAGCCCAGGCAGCCCGAGAGTCATCTTCTATAACCATCTGGGCAGCCTTAAAATAAGAGGGAGGCGCCCTAGTTGCCTTACAGGCAGATTCAAATACTACCCTCCAATACCAACCCGTATTTGAGGGGTCAATGGAGCCTGGTAGCACGACCGACATCACGGCCCTCTACTTTCTATCTCTACAGATTCCCAATTCCAGATAGCAAACTTATTCTCTGTGTTAGATCTGTTGGCTGCTAATGAAGAATGGCGCAAGTTGACCCGAAATCATCCGCTAAACAGAACGAAGTCACAGAGTATATGGTTCGATCGCTTGACGGGTCGGCCCATGAGTCTCTATATGCAACCCCTGGTTCTGGCATAATTTATAGGGGCAGTGAGTGGATAGTTGAGACTGCGGAATCTGACTTGTAATATATGCAGTTCTGCCTCTTGAGTGATTTTCACTAAATATGTCATAGCAACTACGATGAGTTGTACGTTAGTTGCTTTGCCGCTCGCGATGAGCTCATCGAAGCAGCGAATTCATACTGCAAGAAGCGCAAGCTGCCCAATTTAGACATGGAAACAAATGGAAGTTGGAGCACAGTTGAAACCTCACTTATGGCAGCCTGTGATGTGCTCGACGGGCTCGCGACTAGCGAGAAAACGCTTACCGGCATCTCTGGAAGGTTGAAAAGGGCTTACTCGAAGCTCTGCGAATACGCCGGGGTTGGCGCGACGCTTTGTGCTCTTGTGCCTGAAGAGTTCATGTGTGCGGTGACACTGCGTGGAGGCCTCAAGATGGTCTTCACGGCCCTCCAGCAATCGCACATGTACGGAGAAGATGTCTACCGAGCATTAGAAGATATACCGTTCATCATTAATCAACATGCACCGTATATCGACATGTACCGCAAGAACAAGGACCTACACGCATTCAACTCTTCGCTTCACGCAAGTATCTTCCGACTGATGAAACTCCTCTTGTCGTGGTTTTCGGAATCGAGGGCTTGTAAGTCTAAGTGTTATCAAGTCTCATCTCCTTCAGCACTCGTATAATGGGTAACAAGCTGTTGATACCTTTTTTTTTCAGTAACTACCTTGAAGATGGGCTTCAACCCCAAACGCTTCCCAGAGAGACTGAAAGAGCACATTGCTGACGTTAAGATCGCCGAGAGTCGATTCGAGAAGCATGCGTCTCTCATTCGAAATATGGAGACCCGCCAATTCCAACAACAGACGGTCACAGAACTGCAGTTTCTTGAACACAAACTTTCGAAAAGTGGATGGGATAGAGAGAGATATGCAAGAGCCGGTGTGCTCGAGAGCGTAGGGTTGATGCTCGAACAAACCTGTGTGGAGACCCTCTATTTTCGTCATACCTACAACGGCCTTACGAACTAATATTTGAAATAGGGGAAGCAATGCTGAAGACAGGCAGACACGGTACGCCTGATCCGCGACAAGCAATTCTGTATGCGGACAGCGTTCGCGAACAAATTTTGACGCAGTGCAATTATAATCCGTCAGTTGTAGGAGATGACTGCACATCCTTGATGAAAATCCGTGGCCGCTTATTGCGAGATGAGTTGGACCAAGAACGCATCACAGCACTTCTTGGAAACCCGCGTTTGCTTGCCTGGCTCGTACTCGACCAGCCCTCCATAATGTTGCTAGAAGGAGGCGCGGACCGTTCAGCAAACAATGAGACGTCGTTTGTGGCCGCCAAAGTCATACAGAGCGCCCTAGAATTATGTGAACAACCAATCAATGACGCAACTGTGATACCTCTGGCTTTCTTCTGCGCGCGTCATCAGCTGGACGAGTATGGGAACGTAGCGCAGCTTGTGCTGAGCTTGTTCCTAACGCTAGTCGATACTTACACGCAGTTTGATGCTCATACGCTGGAAAAATGTCTGAAGAAAATCAACAGGCAGGACCTTAAGAGTATTTTCGACGCATTTGAGAAGCTTATTCTCAGTCTTCCTAGTAAGGTCATTGTCTTGCTTGTCATCGACGGTCTTCGACGCTTCTCTCAGCCCTCGAGCAGAGCTTATGAGATGGATGAAGTAATATCATGGCTTCTAAACCTTTACAGAAGGAGACCACAGGCGACATTGAAGTTCTTGTTCACAAGCCCGTCAAGGTCTGATCCTCTCTTTGATTCACTTGCCGGGGACGAAATCCTACGTATTTCTCGGGAGTTGCCTCCACGTGGAGGACATGGCGGTACCAAATGGAAGGCCAAAATCGAATTTGGTGGGATATAATTGCTGTCAAAGACGCGTCTATTCGAACAAAGTGGAAATGGAATCAGCCCACGACATCAGATATATCTTGAGATATCCTATAACAACCTCTCATAATTGTTTACGTACCACTTTCACTCAAAGTAATGCCGTGAGAATCTCTTCCTAGGCTAGCGCGCTGTGTACAGAAACACAAGAAGTCCCGCTTAGGCCTGAACTATGGGGGGATTGGGCTTCACGGCTGAAGCGAGTATGCCAAAATCTGGGGCAAAACTTGCCCGCTACACTAATGATTTTGTTCTTTTCTTCTGCCCTGTGGGTTTCTTCTGGGCACTGGATAGAATTTGGACCAGAATTAGCATCAATATGCGAATACCCGTCTTCAGCGGTCTTGATCCATTTTGGAAACCAAGGCGGTGAGCGAAATAAAATAATTGCATCGTAAGAGAATGGATATACCGAGACAAGCATCCTAGCCCCATTAGCGGTAAATTCCGGTAGGCAAACTGACTTGAATGCTTGTGAAGGTTGTAGGGTTCAATGTGTAGTGTGCCCGGCTATTCGTTTTAGGTATACACTACCTAGTACTTACCTACATAGTACCTACCTAGTATGTATCTAGGTTAAGGTAGTATAGACTTCCGTGCTTAAAAGTGCCAGGCGTAATTATTTAAAAGCGAAGCGAGCAAGATGTAGGGGTTTTCTAGAATCCTACTAGTTTCAGATGGTGGAATCTCAGTACGTAGGCTTGGACCTTATCGACATAGTTAGATCTCCCGTTTCTGATCACGAATGAGCATAATAGGGGTATGGTACCTAATAGTGATTATGCCTCAACATGTTATTAGGTACTGTCATAATCTAATTGGCTATCAAGGTTGAACACACTTACAGGGGACCTCATGATTCATGCTGATCTCCAGCGCTACTATGTTTATACGCACTAACACGTGTAATATAGATCGGGTGTATTGCCTATGGTATCATGCATCGAATGGCTCTATTTTAGCACAGTGATTTGCTAGTTGGGCGTTGGAATGACTACCTAGGTAGTCAAGGTATTGTGATTGGTGGCAAAGTATAGATCGGCATGACTTACCTAGCTCTTTTGGTGGTAAGGCAATAGTGATAAGAGATCGACAGGGCAGTGAGATGGGAAATAATTTACATATGATACCAGGCCGTAACAAAAAGGAGCGAGAGTGAAATCTGGGATATTAGAAGAATTGATGTTGATTTAGTTAGGTAAGATAAGAACAAGTAGGCCAATGGAATGAATCGAAAAACATGCTTTGTACCATGTAGATCTCCGTCCGTGCATCTATCGCACTTTCCCATCTATTAATATCAGTAGTTATCGGTTTTGGAAATACACTAGTTACATACATAGGTAATAGGTACAAATCGGGGTCTAGAAAGTGTGTGGACAGTAGATGCATGTCTAGATGTCTAGATACATAGACATTTAAGAGTACATATTATTATGTACCTATGTATGTTGAGCGAAACATGCCATGTGGAAAGGCAAAAAGATTGAAGGTTTGATCTTGCATACCTAGGGTGCCTACCTAAGTAAAGGTTTTAGCTTTATTTTTTGAGTTTTCTAGAAAATCTAGTTTCGTGGTAATTACTACCATAGGATGTAGTTAGTATGTAGTAATAATAATGTTGTTGTTGTAACTTGTCAGGGGCCACCGGTGATATACCCACTCTTATGGTAAGCAACTTTAGTATCATTGGCCAGACTCGTAGTACCATTGTACCTACCTAGGTAGGGTAGGTACTTGCGTTAGTATAGTAAAACAGGGTTGGCTTGTTGAAATCTCCTTGTACCCGAAAAGGAAAGTTATCTGTTTTGGTTTAGTGAGATTGAGTTATCCATAGATGTAAACCAACATTTGAACCGTGCTAGGGGACGAACTAGACTACCCTAGGACCTAGGTACAATACCTAGGTAGGTAAAGACTACTAGGTAGGAAGAGACCCGCTTCCAAGACCCGAACCCCAGGACCCCTATAGTGTTAGAGAAAGTTACAAAGTACCTTTTTGAGAACGTTGAGGCTCTTTTTCTCAACGAAGATGACCATACTATGGGTGTTCCAGACCCCCACGTGTAAATTCGTTAGAGCTATAGTGGAGCGTTGTGAATTTGCTAGGTACCTAGGGTATCAAGCGACCCCTTTTCCCTTTTTTTTCTTTCTCCCTTTTCCTCAAAGGCCCTAGCGTGATTCAGGGTTGAAGGGTAGGTATCTAATAAAACCCCTTCAGATGAAAATTTCTGCTTCTTTTGCAAACGCTGAAAACACTGGGTGTGATTTCGAACTTTGAAGAGAGCTCAAGTGCTTTCGTCCTTTTCTTCGTATTTAAAAATAGGACCTAGAGACAGGTTAGTCTTCCAATTGTAATATTCTGGTTACCTTGGACGTCCTAGATTGCAATCTGTCGTCATGTCGACAGTTACTACCCAGCTCGAGGCACCTACCGCGAGGTCTCGTTCAGTTCATCTGGTGAGTAATGAAAAAAATGAAGAAAAAACTGAGGGGAGAAAAGCTCAATACTTACATACAAACTCAGAAAGTGGAAGCCAAGGAGCCAGTGTTCCCTGATATCAACACCATTCGGAAGACTATCCCACCTCATTGCTTCCAACCGTCAGCATGGAGGTCGATGTCTTACGTTGTACGCGACTTGGCCATGGCTGCCGCCCTCACATATGGGGCATTGACCTACATCCCGTCGGTGGACAACCCAGTCTACCGTACTAGTTTGTGGGTTGTGTACGGCTTCATTCAGGGCCTTGTCGGCGTTGGGATCTGGATCTTGGCGCATGAGTGCGGCCACGGCGCTTTCTCACTCCACCGAAACCTGAATGATGTTGTTGGTTGGGTCTTGCATTCTCTGCTACTTGTGCCGTTCTTCTCCTGGAAGTTCTCTCACGCCCGCCACCACCGCTTCACCGGACACATGCAGAAGGATATGGCCTTCGTGCCCAAGACCAGTCCCTCCTACCTCGTCCGATCAGTAGGCAACGCGCTAAGCTCGTTTGTCGACCTTGATGTCTTTGAAGATGCGCCTATTGTGAATCTTTTTCGCTTGCTAGGCCAGCAACTAGGAGGATGGCAAATTTATCTGCTCTTGAACGCAACTGCTGGCGATGATAGCATGCAGAACAAGAATGCTAAGTGGTGGAGACGCAGCCACTTCGACCCTTGGAGCGGAGTCTTCCGCCCCCAGGAAGCCATCTACATCCTTATTTCCGACATCGGCCTAGGACTTGTGTGCGCCGCTTTGTATTACGCATCGCTCGCTCTCGATTGGCAGACAGTGTTCCTACTGTATGGTGTTCCGTATTTCTGGATCAACCACTGGCTGGGTAAGTGCGGCTTCATATGATCGTATGATTCAGACGACTGACATTGTTGTAGTTGCCATCACGTACCTTCACCATACTCATAAAGATGTCCCTCACTACGATGGCGAGCGCTGGACTTTCGTGGCTGGAGCCCTCGCAACTGTCGACCGTGACTTTGGCTTCATTGGTCGTCACGTCTTCCACGGCATCATCGACACCCACGTTGTTCACCATTTGTTCTCGTAAGTCTAAACGAACTTGGTGTCCCAGATATGGCTTCGTACCCATTATACTAACTTGTTGTTAGCCGCATACCCTTCTACTACGCAGAGGAGGCCACGAATGCTATCAAGCCGCTTCTTGGAGAACTTTACCACTGCGACGAGCGCTCTTTTATGGCCTCGCTGTGGGATACATCCCGCACCTGCCAGTATGTCGAAAACGACCCGGCCAACCCCGGAGTTATGAAGTGGGCCAAATAGATTTAAAGGATAGAGGTTGCGGTTGCTCTCTGAATGCACCAACGGATGGTATTTCCAGCTGTTGAAACCAGGTTCTTCCGGCGATGGGGGTGCGAATCTAAAAAGGCATAGATATCAGGTAGACAGCTAGACATGGTTGATAGAATAGAGCGTTACATGAACGTCACGATGATTTTATCCAACAATTTTTTTTAATGAGCCAACAAGTAACGAGAAGTGTTACTGGAAGAGGTTTCCCAACAGCCTAGTTTTGTCCAGAAAATCTAGGAGAGGAGTTTCAGCGCGGATCTGTCTCAACTTGGGCAACTCCAGACACCTTCAAGAATCTGGCAGTACGCCCCAGTGATGTACACTGGCACGCTGCACGCATGCAAACCCGAACATACACGTACCTAGGTACCTAGTAACCTCAGCATCAGTTTGCTATTTCCTGCCAATCCAACGATGCTCCCCATGACGCGGCCCCTATTACGGCAGAATCAATACTTTGACTTACTTTTTTCAGCTACGGTCGCAACACGGGTCATCTAGCGGCCGGTATCTATCGAGTTATGAGGATTGACACAATCCGGGCTTCACTAATTGGAAAACCGGGCTTCAATAAGCCAAAAAGGGAAGAAAAAAGGAAGAAAAAAAGAATACCGATTAACGTATTAGACCTAGAACTGGACCAGACCCAGATCCGGACCACCTCAAAACAACAGCAATACCAAATCACTTCAAATAATTATTACGCCGCCAAACCTTTATTAAATTTGATATAATTTAATAATATGATATATTATCTCAGTTTAAATATAAATATCATATTAAGAATTAGGTGCATCGGTTGCGCGGTTCGAAATTTGACAATATGTACGTATACATAGTAGGTTTTATGTAACTAAACAGTATAAAAGTCGTATCTCGATGAGTCGGCGTCGGATCTTTTTTTTATTTTTTATATTCGTATATTTCGATATGATAAACGCATTCGTAAAGTTTCGTTTAGTTTAAGGAGAGATTTGTGGCGTTATGAATTTTTGAAGTGATTTGGTATTGTTGTTGTTTAGTGTTGTTTTGGGGAGGTTTTGGGGAGGTTTAGGTATCCTAGGTAACTAAAGAATTAAGGTGGTCCACATCTGAGTCTGGTCCGGTTCCGGGTCTAATACGTTAAATCGTAAATGCGTCGGTGATTAATACTCACACTCATTATTATGCACGCCCTATGCATGGCGTATGGGAAATCATATTCAGCCGTTGTAGGTGGAGTGTAGCATGATAATGCGACTGTCAAAGTGGCTGTTGCGGGCCTGAGGCGTATGTAGGACTTCATCTTCCTCATCTTAATGAAGCTTCCTTCTCCCATCTGTCGTTCATTGATATGCCAAGCCAGCGTTGAGTCTCTCTTTTATGAACCAATCAGAAAACCAATGTCACTCCCCAAGCTGTACACTGCGAGTAAGTCGTCGGTAGCAAGGGTAGTACAGCTTTGATCGTTCTAGAGTGTGGTTATAGCCGTCGCCGTTTTTAGTACCCCGAAATGAAACGAGCTGACCCGTTGATCATCAGCTGCAACCTACATACCCTTACAGAATCGAACGGCATCATGGAAAGGAGTCCAGGATTCCCCAGCCGAAAGAATGTATGCGGCCATCTCGAATCATGCCGTTAGTGTAAGGTGGCATGGTCTCGAATCTATTCAGCTAGCAACGTGGGCGCCACGTTCTATCGCGGCAGTTGTCTGACTACCAGAATTGGCCATATCTGCCTATGGCGTACGGCCAAGATGTCGAATTGGGATGTCGCCGTGTTGCTAGTGATATCATAAAGAAACATTCACAGCCCTGTCGGACGTGCCGGCGCTGCCACGGCGACAGTTGATACTTTACAATCGCCGTCCTTGAGCCCATGCTGTCTGTGGAAATTAGCAACTGAGTTTCATATGACCTTACAGACTCTATAGCAGATATTGAGACGGGATCCCTGACCTTCGGCGGATGGTATGTTGGATTAGCTGAGTACTAGATTCTATCTGTGACAGCCTTGAAGGGGGTTGTTCCAAGTTTTTAAGAGGACAGCCCATCCCGCAAAAGCATCTTGTAAATCCCCTATGTTAGATGTAGGAAGACAACTCATGTTTCGTAAACTGCCGCAAAGTAAGCCTCGAGAAAAGCATACTCATACTCAACTTGACTATTTACTGACGACGTGTAGGTCTGCGGAATCGCAGGTCTCTTTCCTCTGCTCACTCACATCTCTCCGCGGAAGAATCAAAGACAGACTTGACCATGCCTTCTCTAGTGAATGGCAACCATGCGGCTTTGGAGCCAGTGAAGCAAACTACCGTGACCTCTTCAAACGAGGTCAACACTAGCAGTTCAGTCGTCCGCACTACCAACCACTCCGAATCCAGATCATCTACAGGTATCCAAGTTACTCGTACAATCGAGACTGCTAAAAGGGTTAGGTCAAGACTAGTCCATGAGCTGGACGACGTAGACGATGCCTACCTCAAGCGGATTGATCTCCAAGCCTACTTGGGGTACATCGCTGACGAGCGTATCATCCACATGCCCAAAAGAGGGAGTGTGTGGGATCTAGTGTTGAAGGAGGCCGAGTTCTTCGGCCTCCAGATCGACGAGTTTACGACTGCTGTGAAAGATTTCGTCGTCGACAGCATAACGATCCGAGACACGGCATTGGCAAGCTGCTATCTTCTCCTTGAGGTAAGACCAGCCTGAGATCTCCTGGTATATCATCACTAATGTTCCTACCTAGCTTGGCTGTGAGCAAGCTCAAGCTCTAGAACCAACATTCAACGCTCTGTACGAGCTCGGCCAACTTCTCGCGAATACCCTAGAGCTTCGGTCCTTGTTCATACTAAGCGAGGGTACTGCGTCCGCCCTAGGTGAAGTCATCATTGACCTCGTCCACCTCCTAGGAGACATTACAGTATTCTACTACCAACGTATCAGCCGTCTCTCCAAGAACTCCGTGACCATTGACTTTGACCGAGAGTTCGGAAGCCAATTAGACGAAATATGCGTCAAGCGAGAGCGACTTGTGTCCACGATATGGGGTTATAAGCTCGGCAAAAACTATTCCGCAAACGATGTCGCATCGCTGCACCGAGAACTGAACGCGACTCAGACCTTCGCCAAGTCATACCTGTACGGACGCATCGAGGATAAGAAGCGTCGTGTTGAAGGAACCTGTGAGTGGCTAGAAGATGACTTGGTGGACTTTCTGGAAAGGGGCGAGAAGGTCCTCGCTGTCACAGGAAACCCCGGCTGTGGCAAGAGTATGCTGGCAGCCTGGGCGAGAGATCAATTAGAGAGACCGATTGGCCATTTCGACCAAAAGCACCGGACTCTTTCATACACATTTGGTGAGTGTTTCTGTTATTGCCTTTTCTATGGTAGTAGTACTAGCTGGCTGGTCTAAGCTAACATGTTACAGATGTTGATTACCCAGAGAAATCAACTACCGTCGCCTTGCTGAAGAGCCTGCTCTCCCAACTTCTCGATATTAACATTGGTGACACCCGCCTATTCGAGCAGTTGTCGTCAATTATTTCCACGCACAAGGGCGGGCTTGAAGAGAAGGAACTTGAATCACATCTATGGTCCGTGTTCGACTCAGGCTTAGCCACAGTCAATGGCAAGGGGATAAGCCTTGCTATCATCGTCGACGGACTAGATGAGGTGGTCGGTGGAGATGTGACTGCTCTTGAGCTATACAAACGCATCCACCAAAGCGTCAAGAACTTGTCCAAGATCCGGGCTATCACATTCTCTCGCCCTCTTTCACACCTCGGCCAGCCTGGCTGCAGACATCTTGTCATCACGCCCGAACATGTGCACGACGATATCCAGCTCTACCTAATACGTGGTCTTGCGAAGCGCAGCGTCTACGCCTCCCAGAGTGAAGCAAAACAACATGAGCTTCTCAGCCTCCTAGTATCTCGCGCGAGAGGCTCGTTCCTGTTTGCCTACTTGTCCCTTCAAATTCTTAACACTGACGTTAAGTTTGATTCGTTCAAGCAGCTGGTCGAGGGCATCAAGCCGGACTCCAACAAGAACCACGAGAGCCTCCTCAAGGAGCTTTTCGGAAAAGTCAACTTGAAGGATGGGCATATTAGCCATCTCTTGACGTTCATGTTGGCAGCTGAGCGGCCGCTGCAAGTCGTGGAAGCTGAATACTTATTGGGCGTCGATGTGACAAAGCGGACAGTTTCAACGAAAGTCAACCTACGCAAAGTGTTGACTGCGGCTAAAGGGCTCCTAGTTGAGCACAAGGGCTACGTCCGCTTCAAACACAGCGTCGTGCGAGGCTATACCCAGGGGCTTTGTGGCTCGTCACTAATATCTCTGAGAGATGCGCATCGACTGCTAGCTATGACACTGCTGTTATTCGCCAGACACACACTGACCCAGCCATGCGAGCCATCGTTTGAAATTATGAGCCCAGAAATCGTTGACCAAGCGTTCGAAACTCATCCTGCCATGCAATACGCTGTACGCTACTGGGTCACTCACATCCAGCATTCCTCCCTCATCAACGCAAAGGGTGATTTGACGCTGTCGCCACATTTCAAGGACATCCTTCCTGATTCCACCTTTTTCGTAATGCTGGAATGGTCCAGCTGGCAGATGCAGCCCCTGACAAAGGCTATCAATCTACACGAACTCGCGCTAAAGGTTCGAACCGCATGCTTTGGAGAGAAGAATCGTACGGTTCTGCAAAGCCTCATCGTCATTGGTACTCTATACAGAACGCAGTCGGAGGTGATCAAAGCCGCCGACTTCTTCTATCGAGCTTCGACTATTGGACAGAAGATTCTCTACAAATTCAGCCCGCTAGTCGTTACCTGCACATCTGTCTTCCTGACCTGCACCCAGGAGATCACCTACACTAAGCGGACCACTATCGTCACCCACCGCGAAGAGATGATCCGCTTCTACATCGAGGTGTGCAAAGGCCAATACGGCGCGCATTCCGACCACGTCATCCGCTGGTATGAAGCACTCGTGAAGCTCTATCGAGACATTCAAGAGGAGCACATGGCCGCCGTCGTTCTCAAGGAATACCACGAGCTGATCATCACCCGCTTCGGCCGCGGATCCAAACAAGAGCGCGGCATCGCCAGGGAACTGGCCGGGATGAAGGTCGTCCTGAAGAAGGGGCAGGTCCAAGAAAGCAAGGACCAGTACGACGAGCTTCTCCTGGAAGCGACCGAGGAAATGGATTTGACTGATGAGTTGCGGTTGACCATTATACTAAGTCTGGCCAAGACGTACGAATCCCGGCACGAGTTCCTCTATGCGGAGAGACTCTACGTTGCCCTTTGGAGCCGTGTCTGCACTGCTTGCCGTCAAAATGCAACTGTGGAGCTGCAGCTCATACTGCTCAATATTGCGCTGGAGTATATCCACTTCTTGCGCCGCCTCAAGCGCGAAAGTGAGGCTTGTAATATCATGGTCTGCGTCTGGGCCGAGTACGAACATCGCTCGTTCGAGTCCAAGGCAGTAGTGCTCCGGCTCAAGGAGTTTTCTGTACTATTCCGACAGTTTGGACTCCTCTGCGTGTCTATCTCGATCCTCAAGCGAGCATGGGGGTGGTTTAAAGAGCACAAGATGATTGAGACTGAAGAGGCATCAGAAACCTCGACTACTATCACTGAGGTCGTGGAGGAAATAACTGAGACGACCACGGAAGTAACCACTACAATGACAGAGACAGAGACCATCACGCGGGAGGTCTATGAGACTACCTACACGCGAGCGAAGTCTGGCAAAGTCGATCACCGCTTCTTCAAGGCTTCCTTAGCCTTGGTCAACCTTCACCTAAAACTCGAGCGGTGGTCCGAAGCCGAAGCCGTCCTTCGACAGTCACTAGAACTCGTGTGGAAGGGTGTTCTCACCGTCGACAGCAAACTTACGCTTGAAGGCAGCTACATCTCCGAGACTGTAACGACTGCCACCCGCCTTGCCCTATGCTACCACCGCCAGAGGAAATTCGACCGGGCAGAGCAGATTTACGTTCGCGTCTGGGGGGCCTGCCTTTCATCCTTGAAGGCGGATGACTTAGCACTTAGCGAAATCACCGCGAACCTCGTATCATTCTACAGGGAGTACCATCGCCACCAGAAGATTATCGAGATATACGTACAGCTCCTTCAACACTATCGCAAGCACGTTGGGGCAACGCACAAGTTGACCATCGATGTCCTGTACCAACTAGCGTCTACGTATCAGCTCCTCGGTTCCAAAGAGGCGTACGATTACTATGCTGAGATAGTGACTGTCCACACCCGCAGCGGTGTATGCCACCAAGATGCGTTCAACGCCGCGGGCATCGTGATCCAGTTCTACCGCGAAGAAGGGCGCTGGTCCGATCTCCAGAAGCTCTGCGTCGTACTGTGGGAAACCATCACGAAGCACCACCACGAAAGCGCGATCTCGGAAGAGTTCGCGAAGCTAGTGTACGAGAAGTACCGGTACGTCCTCGAGTTCCATGCGAAGGCGGGGTTCTCGGTGCTCTACAAGCTCACGGTCGAGTACCGCGAGACGGTCAGGGCGGTCTTCGGGGTCTCGGTTGCCATGTACCTGACGGCCCTAATCGCGCTCGCAGAGATCTGCGAGAAGAGCGAGGAACACCACCTCGAGTCCGTGACGATCTACGAAGAGGTCATCACGAAGGCTAAGACGGTGACGACGCTCACGGAGACAAAGGTCCAGACTTACAAGAAGAGGCTGTCTACGCTCTACGTTACCATCATCACGAGCGGTAAGAAGACTGAGACGTCGACGGTGGAGCGTGCCATCGCCGTATGCTCGGAGACCTACGAGCATTTCAAGCTCCAGGTTGGCTGGTGGCACGAGACGACTCTTCTAAAGCTTCAGGAGTTAGTACTAATACACAGCAAACTCAACACCGAAAAATCACGCACCACCATCGTCAACCTCCTCCGCGATAGCGCCATCAAGATCATCAGCACCGCCACCGTCGCCATGGACCTCTACCAAGCCGCGCTCACCCTCTCCACCCTCTACAAGACCGCGAAGCTCGAGCCCTCGGGCCACGAACTGCTCCGGCAACTCCAAGTCCTGATCCTCTTCCCCGGCTTCGACATCTCCGAGCAACAAATCACCATCAAGCTCGACCCGAAGCTTACCACCAAAGCCTCCCTCGTCTTCCTTGTCGCGCTCGAGGAGGGCCTGCGCCACGCAAACGGGAAACCGAGCCAAAACCAGCTCATGGCGGACCTGCTGCTCGAGACGCTCCTGTACGCGCAGTACGTCTCCGCAACCAGCACCGAGCTCGTCCTCGAGCACACCGCGCGCCTGCGCAGCCTCTGGGTCCTCCGCGGGCGCACCGCCTTCGTCGCCGCGCTCGACCGGAAGATCTTCGCCGTCTTCAGCTCGCGGCACGCCGAGATCCTCGGCTCCTCCGCCAACGACAAGAACGCGGCCTTCGGCTTCTACCTCGCGCTGCTGGCCGAGCTCGCCGGGCCCACGACGGTCGACTTTGCGCTGGCGGCCGTCAGAGCCGTCAACGCCGCCGTGACGGTGGCGGTGAAGAAGAAGGAGGAGGACCTCGCGCGCGCACTCGCCGTCGCCAAGTGCGGCTTCCGCTTCGCGAGCGCGCAGCGCTTCTACCACCACCAGCGGTGCGGCGTCGTGGGGTACAAGCTGGCCGAGCTGCTCGCGGGCCGCGGGGTCCCCGGCTGGAAAGCGGCGGACGCGGCGGCGAGGGAGGCGATGCTGGCGACGAGCCGGGTGGTGTTGGAGACGGTGTTCGCGGCGTTCCGCGAGGCGGGGGTGGATCTTGTGAGCTTGCGGTTTGAGGATCTGTCGAGGCTTGTTGCGCTGCTTGGGGATCAGCAGAATTATGGGGAGCTGGAGGTAAAGTCTTTCTTTTTCCTTTCTCCCACCACCACTACTCTTTCGTTCTACCAAACCCTCATCCCCCCGATTATAAAGTCCTAACAATCCGCTAACACACCCAACAGACCCTCCTAACCTCCCTCTGGCGCTCCCGCGAAGTCCAGCGCAGCTGGTCCCCGCTCCTCGTCCTGCAAATCGGACACCTCCTCATCGACGCGCACGTCGGCGCCTTGCACGCCGACAGCGCCGCCGCCCTCGCCGACATCCTGTACTACAACGTGCGGCAGTCGCGCGGCGGCGCCGACCCCTACGCCCTCGCTTTCGCGGACAAGTTGTCGGTGCTGCTGCTGGCGGGGGGGCGGAGGAGGGACGCGGCGAGGATACATGTGGGTGTTTTGAGGGACTTGGATGATTATCGTAGGGGTGGTGGGACAGGAGGAGGAGGGGAGAAGGAGAGGCTGCGCGCGGCGGCGGACTTCCACCTCGATGGCCTTCGGCGCTGCGGATGGGCGGCTCGGCCGGAGGGGGCGCGGACCGTGAAGACGCTGTATGAGCGGTTGGCGCGGCGGTACGGCGGGTTGACGGTGCAGCCGGTGGAGAAGTGGGTGGCTGTGGATGCGAAGAAGGATAAGGAGGTAATGTACAATGTTGGGGCGGCGGCCTGGAGCCTCGATGTCGAGAAGAAGGAGACGGCGAAGCGGGATTGGATTGCACCGGCTAAGGAGCGGTGGGGCTGGTTCCCGAGGACGAGTACTACTACGATGACGACCAAGACGGAGGAGGTTGTTGCTGTTGCATAATTGCATGGTTACGTATGCCTATACTTGATGGTGGTAAGTTTCCGGTGTGAATGGCTGTATGATGGCGGATTGGAAAAGCGACTGGGTCTGAATGGTACGATATGGGATGCGATGCCAGATGGATGGCAGGTAATGAATGTGGTAATGCTCTGGCGGGTATATCACACCCTCACTCTCGCTCTTTCATGGCATGGATATTATCATGTATTGTCTCCTTGATGTCTTTTGTACCAGATATACCTACTTACTCACCTACCCCCTTTAACCCCTCTTCTATGTTCAGTTATGGGTTTCATTCCCAGATGTATCAACGGCTTCCTACCTACTTGTTAGCATTTAAAATCTCATATGTTGATAGATTTTCTAATTGAAACTTGGCCATTTCATTCATTTCTTTTATTCTTTTTGACGACTTGGCTATACAGATCGAAGTCTTATATGCGATGATGTGTGCCCAACTACCTGGACACACTTATATGTACGCCTGTATAATGATACCCAGATAATCCTCGAGCCCGCCGTCCCTTAACGCCGCCACCTTAGTTATGCGATTTCGACCAATCCTCCTGGGATTTTCCTATGTTACCGAGTTGAAGTCGCCAGTGGTATTTCAATGCGTCTCAACATGTGATCGCACGGGTATGCTTGATGAGCACCCGTGCTCCTTGTCCGCCTTATCACCGCATCCAGTACACGCCTCAGCCTTAGCCGCTTGCGAAACTCCGGTAAACGGGCAGGTCGGGGAGGAAGGCAGGCCCTCCTCGATATCCTCCAATATCTTCTTTCCGTGCAGGAACCCTTCGGGCTCGACGTGCTGCTTCTCCATTTCTTCGGCGTACTCGTCGCCGTCGCGGACGTACCACTTGGCGAACAGGTCGTTCTGCACCCAGATGACCTTTCCGAGCGCCCTGACCAGCGCGATCTTCTTGTCCATCTTTAGACGCGGGTGCGAAAGCAGGGCTTCCGTCATCGTGTCCTGGATGAAGGCGAGACAGGCGCCGATGTGCACGTACTCGACGTGCAGGGGGTGCTCGCGTCCTCGTCCGGTGTGCATCATACTAGGGTCCCTTGTTAGAAGATGGATGGATGGATGGATACCTAGGTATAGAAATATAGGTGATGCTTACCCGACCTTGTCCAGATATTCCCAGAACTCCATCGTGCTCGGGTCTGAGCAGAGCTTTGCCAGGTAGGCTCTTAAGAACATCTTGCGATGTAAGATTTGGGGGCTGTTGTCGTCGAGATTCTCATCGACTGGGCCATCGTAACTTGTGCTCCTAGTCTCTAGAGCACGGGCTGTGATGTCATATTGTAGTAGTTTATGGTACACAATGTTGACAATAGCTGGAATAAGCTGTTTTATGTATTTGGCGCCTGAGATGAGCGCTTCGATATCATCTGGGTTGGGTTAGTGATGATGATACAGTGACAAAGTAGTTGGTGGGGAATTGAGCCAACGTACTGGAACTGAAGTCAATAAATGTGTGGAGATATTGAATTCGGGCTTCGAGGTTGGTGTATAGATCTTTTCGATCAATATGCTGTCTAGGACGTCCTAAAGGCCCCATTGTGAATAAATGTGGAGTTGGTTGTTAATGCGAGATTCGAGATTCGTTTAGATCTAGAGTTACCCCTGAGATGGATGTTGTGATATTTATTTATTAGATTGAACTTGGAAAATCAATGCTGATGGTGGTGCTGATGCTGAATGATACCTAAAAACAAAAATTACCTAGTACTTAGAACCTTTGGAAATATCATCTTTATATTCAATGCCAACTAGCAACAAGTAGGAAAATAATCCCTTGCTTCCCGTCGTGTCCCGTCATAGCCCGTCGAGGCCCGTCGTGGAGTTGCGCCTATTCACGCTAGGGATGAAGCGATGAAGCGATGATGGTCTGACTTGGTGTGGGACCATCGAACGATACTACATCATATTCGCATTCCGGCGCCTTCGGTCTGGGCTGAGCCAATTACAACGAAACAACTTCAGCCTCAACGACCATGGTAATTGAATTGAAGTGCTAATGATTCGTTGAAATGAAAACCTGTTTCGAAAATTGCATGTTTACTGCATAGTAAAATGATCAATCAGATCGGGTATGAATTCTAGGCGCTGAACGCCAAGTAGAAGTCAGTTGTCAGATTTCTGATTACGTGCTAATGCAGGTATCATGTCGGAGAATAAGAATCTCAAAATAATTAATTTATTAATGGAATTAATTTAATGGAATTAAGCTGTGCTTTTCATAGCGGTTGGTATTTACTACTAGTAGTACCGAGCTATAGGGGAAGAAGGTCACGTGGACTCCCTGAGCTACACACATCCTTCAACATCATTCAAGAATTAGTTGAATTATTTCAACTAAACATTTATTTTGATTATTCAAACATTGAAGCTATTCGGACCCGCATAAATACGAACATATCTTCTACTTTGGTTGCACATATACCTGGCTCATCGGGACCTCACCCTCCTAGTAGGGCAAGCGAACAAGCAAGGCCACATGCCCTACAAACCACAACTGGCAGTTCCACGAGCTATGTGTATTTCATGCTGGTCAAATCACATAATGTCTAGTTGTCGCATCATACAGCAACTACACAAGGACCATCACAGCACCATCGCGGGGTATAAAAGGCCACTACTGCCCATAGGTAGGCAAATGCGCTGTTTTAATAGATATTCCTCAAGGTGTTGAAACTCTTGAGGTAGATATCTATCTACATCTAAGAAGATCTCTAGGCGTGTGATTGGCTTATCAAGGTCTAGCTAAGTCTCTGAAAAAGAAAAAGGAAAAAACGGGGATCTCTTCGTATCTAGGTATCCACGTCTAGCTAAGTCTCTGTGCTTGCGCTTGGTTCATCAAGCTGCATATAATTCTTGAGGTGTAAAAAAAACCTCATCTCTTCTCTCTAGCCGCCCTGCTCTAACCTAACCTACCCTACCCCCCCGAGCGCCCTCCACAAACCGTACCTCCTCCGACCGCAGCCATAATACGCGCCTAAGCATCAACACTAGGTAGTTATAGTGAGGCCAACTCCGTCTCAAGATTCTCTTGCTCTGTCTCCAGTTTCTCGCGCTCCTCTTTCGTCTCCTTGAGCTTCTCCTTTCGGTCCTTCTTCTCGGACTCGGTCGTCGCCTCCTCCACGGCCTCCTCCAACTTCTCCTCGGCGTCCTCCTTGGTCTTTATCTCTTTCTTCAGCTCAGCGAGCCGAGAGGTAATGTCTTCTTTGCGACCCATGTTGACGAATAATTGCTTCTTTCTTGGCGCTCTCGGTTGGTTGTCGCTTGGGTTAAGTGGTAATGGTTTGAAGGGGAGGGGATACTTTGGTCAACTGTTTATCCTCGGAAAGAGCGCTTGGGCTGGTTGATAGTAGGAGGATGCTTCGACGTATCGGTTCGATTCTCTTGCTGATGGGTAGAAGGATATATGGGAGGTGTGATGCCAATGATATTACGATGAGTAGCTGTATAGGTAGGTAGGCTTTACTGTCTCGTTCTCTATGGTTACCTAAGTATTTCTGAAAGGAGACTTGAAATCGAGAAGAGGAGCCTCTTTATATATTGTCGATCAGGTACCCTACAATCATGAATTAGATTGCTGTCCTGTTCGTGACGCGCCTCTGTTCCATGTTCGAGTAATCATTACTACAGTCTTTCTGTATATATTCATGTTTGCGGCGTGGTGTTTTCGACCGGAGCCCGGGTGCATTAGGTATTATGAGTATACCAATGAATAAGAGTTTATCGTTTTAACAGTCTTCAGGAGTCAAAAGACATTATCATTCAAAATCCTACTAGTCATGAGAATATCTGATGAAAATGTTAATTAACATATTAGAGCTAGGTAGTTTCACGTTGCACACGAAGCTGGGCAAACTGTGTCATCATTTGCCAGCTGTGAACGTGTCATTGTTTGGAATATCATGGGTCGTGCGTCCATCCACCTGCCAGAGTCAGCTATCGGTACTAAGGTAGTCGAACACACTGAGAACTTGGTACTGCAGACGCATTAAACGAAGTAGAAAGATGTCAGCTTTGAATGAAACCGAATATGCTAAAGGAGTGTCATAGCCTACTAGGTAGGTATCGTCAGAGAACGTGTACGTAGGTATATCAGCAACCTTGGAACACAACACAAACCCTCCTTTTAGTAGCTTAAGCGAGTGTGCACACGAGCCAAGTAGTAGTCGCGAACAAGCAGTCCTTGGGCCCAACAACCCAGACCCTCAGCCCCAATACCAGCACCAGCATCATCCCACCCTTATCACAGCCCTCATCACCACCATCAGCAGGAAAAAACGCAAGGCCCCGACAAACGACGCGGTAGCCCATTCTCACGTCCCCGTCACCAGACCGCGCCTCGTCGCCATACGCGGTCTCAATATAGCCCAACCACAATGTCGCCGCGGACGCGGGCCGTGGCGTGCACCTCAGCCTCAAGATCGAGCTTGATCCCGACCAGGAGCGCGGCATCCTTGAGCTTGCCGGCGTCGTCGACGGGGCCTTTGAGGAGGTTGCCTGGTAATTATCATCCGTTAACAGTCAATCATAGTAGTAATTGTCAGGGGTGGAACTCAAAAGGGGGAGAAAAAAAAAAAAGGGGGGGGGGGGGGGGGGGGTAATGGTAGAGTAGTGAGGGAGATAGGTAGGCTCTTACCAATGGGCCCGTTGGCACTGCCCGACAGGCCAGGCATGGGAAGACCGTGCTTTACGGTACTCTTATCCTGATTCGGGCCCGACAGGGAGGTGCCGGGTCCGCCCCCGAGGGTGGTGGTAGGTCCAGCTCTACGTTTATGTTAGCTCGAGATCCATCATGTACTAGGTATACATGACTCAGGGGGGCGCAGGTTCACTGACGGGGAAGACATGGTGATGTGTGGTAGGCTTTTTGCTTGGGGATTTTGTGCTCGCGATCGCAGCGACGGCCACTTCAACTTCCTTCTTAAGGGGGGTCTCGGCGGCTTCGACGGAGACGGGTGGTTTGTTCGGGGGTTCTTTTGAGTAAATCCCCAAGACGATCTTCGCGGGGGAGGAGTGGGCGAGCGTGAAGGATTGGAAGAACTTATAGATGATGATGAGTCACTTGATACGGGTGACCTCCTTGAAGCACCAAAGAATCTCTTATGCGAGCTCTGGGTGTCTGATTCTCCAGAGATGCTCATCATGAGGGGGGCTGCCGTTCTCTTTATGCGCGGCGCCCATCCTTATAGAGAAGCAGCTATGTATAGAGCCCCACGATGCGAGGTTTCAGTGGCGAGGCACAAAAGCGCGGCTTACCTAGGAGGTACTATTTAGGTTCTGGACAGTAGCTGAGCGCTGTGCGATCCAGTGTGTGAAAGGTTGAGTCCCAGCTCATGAGATCCTAACGTGTTTTTCGTCTGCGTTCGACGTTTGGATTCGTAATTACTGCATCGAAATGGAATCGTCCTTGCACTGGAGACGACTGCGCATACCCATAAGTCGTATGATCAGGTAGTAGATGAGCCCTTATAAGTTACACTTCGGCACCTGCAATGCATGACACTTCACTGCCGAGACTGTTCCAAGACGGCCGTTGCTAGGCGGAAGACGGTCCGAAGTGTTTGGGTGTAATTCAGTGTTAACTTTGCTACGGTGTCTCAAGCCCCCTTTATGCAAGGCACATATTTAGGGCATTGGGTCTGTACAGAGAGCTCAGTTACTCCCGAAAACTTCTGTCCATGGTTGGGTATCAATACTATTGCGTGATGGCGGCCAGGAGATTAATGAGAGATCTGCTGTATAGCATTGCACAAGCGCAAGTACTACCGACGATACATCGTTTCGGTTATTGACGATCACAAGTACGAGCCCTTTAGGAACATAAGAACACGATGCTCAACGGCTTGGATCATAGCGTAGGACGCGAACCTTGGAACTCATAATAACAGCTATGTCTCAATCCCTCACATTTCTCGTTGCCTTTTCCTCCGTAGTGGGCACTTCGGAAGCCATCCGACAGATACAGTCGGATTCGAGAAGAAAGGAGCATCGAAGTCGAAAGAACAATCTTATAGTGCGATGCCCCAAGTCTTCTCAATATAGCCTTAGCCTCGATGGAAGACGTGTAGTCCTCTCTGGCGACAAGGTCTGTAACTGATAATCTATCAAAGAGCTTAGGAGATAAGATAGAGACTGATATATGTCTATATTAGCTCTATGTTGACACTGGTGACGATTATGAACAGGTCTTCGGCCATCCATTCGCTGGGTACTTTCTAGCATATCCTGACACCAAGTATTCGGGACTCGTATCAACAATTTGTGACGAGCCACCCATCATGAACTGGATTTATGTTGACCGCAGTACCTATGAGCTCAAATTTGGTCCTCGTCCATCGGCGCAACCTAACTTACCTGGCCCCTTTGATTGTTCCCGCCAGGATCGGAGATTGACATTCGCAGGTTGGGAAGGGTTCTTCGCTGTCCAGGAGAGTGGATTCTGGGCATTATACTTCGACGTGGACCAGGACATGCTGAAGTCAAAGATTAAGTCGGGGACTCCAGTTCTCGAGGTGCAGTTGCTGCGCGTGGAGATGCGGGTTCAGCCTGTCAAGGCGGAGAAGCCATCCGGGGAAGATTCGAAAGATAATGCGGCACAGCACAGTACTTCCGAGTCGGATAGTCGACACCAGGAACAGGATTTAGAGACTAGGATCGAGACGTCTGAGGGGCAGGACCTGGAGTCCCCTGATGTGGACTAAGGGGCGGGAAGGCACGGGATCGGCAGCGAATTAAGACCTTGGGAGTTGGGCGCTAGAGCTAGCTACATATTATCATTTGTAGGGTGCAACAAAGGTCAACCTTTGCCCTTGGGCTATACTAGTAGCCTTGGTGTCTAAATAAGGAGTTGCTTGCTACGCATTAGCATAAGCCAACGTTGTATTTTAAACTCTGGATGACGCATTTGTCTTTGTTGCGATGCTTTATCGCAGCCCCTGAAAAAGGGAGAGCCTTCTACATCGGTTCATGAGTACGGTACCTAAAAGTTTCAGCAAGTTTCTATAGTAATTTTTGTAGAGAGTACTAAGCTTTATAGCCACTAGGTAGCAGATACAGTTCTTCTGGGCTGCCCAGTCACTACGCATGTCTAAAAGATCTTGACTTCCCCCTTCTAAGCATTGATGTATCTGTTTTTCTTAGCTACACTCGACACTTTAGAGCTAAGTGAAGGAACTTAGACCGATATTTCAAGAGAATGTATATTCCTAAATCGATGAAGGCAAGTAATTAGTCGCGGAAGCTAAAGAAGATAGGTAGCGTAGAATCCCGTACCTCCTTAGCACGAACCCCAGAGTCTGGCTCGCACGTATCACAGTCCTCGTTTGTGCGACTGATACTTGTAGAAGAGCCTATAATCGAACTCAATCCATCGCAATTACATACCTAATTTAGTCTGAGAATCGACTAGAATGTGGCGTCCCAGACTCGTGGAAATCATTACTCTGGTGTCCTTCCGCTCCCTGTAGTTGGATCCGAGCACTCTGGTATACTACTTGCAGGCGTACTACCTAACAAAGCAGGATATTAAACCTCATTTGGGCATACTTCACTACTTATGTTTGTACGAATCATACTAGCAGTCTCAAGTGGTGGTATAGTGAGTTCGGCGATGGCCGCGGGTCGTTTGTCTACGACAAGTGACATCCTCACCATACGATGTAAACGCATATAGGCAGCTAAATACGTTACTATGTGACTCAATATCGTTCGATCTTGCCATTGAATACCTCTTGGGTTTCTCTATACTCTTACGATCTCGTAGTTATGGCGGAGGATATATGCACCCGTGAACGAAAACGTCTAGCGTGTGCTACGGTTCGCGCGACATAGCACTTAGTGATCACGCCGTGTGAGAATGTTGCGCCAGAGCGAAGGTTCGAACTCACGCGAGAGGCACTTAGCTATTACTGAAAGAACAATTCTCTAGACGTTCTCAATGCATACCTAGTACGTTCCTACGCAAGCAAGCATCGGATGCTCACCCATGCATAGCACGAAGCTACACTGTTTCACGACGGTAGACGGCAGCTGGTTCCGTAAAGGCGTATGGGGAAACAGGAGAGATGTCCCGAATCATGCTTCCGTGATCGATACGTATACTGTGAACACAAGAAATCCAATCTTGGTGAATTAGATCTCGTCTAGAATGATTCTTGTTCAACAACACTAGAAGGTCGGGAATAATTACTCACCTGCGTCCACGCTGTGCTACTTGCTCTCCCAAATGCTGACCATTTCGCTTGATTTTGTTGGTTAAGGGGGTTGAAACGTGGCAACGATACAAATATGATGTTAGAGGTTAAGCGTGTGAAGCTAAATCGAATGCTCTTGTCTTGCAAAAGTTTAGAATGGAAGTCATTTACCCCTTGAAGTTCATCCAGACCCTATGCAGGGCCAAGCATTCGTGATGTCTTGGCAGGGGGGTTCGAATGATATGAGGACTAAAAAGATATCACTCAAATCAGGCTGAGTAGACCACTAAAGCTCTTCTCCTAACCAAAGTCTTCCAAGGTTATTACCAGGCACTCATATCCGTACGGCCTGCGGCTCCCATAACTTCAACATAGGTAACTTCCTATTTCCTTGTGGCATTCTCTCTTTCTCTCCCTTTTTCTTCTATCTCCTTTTCACCTACGGAATCACAGCATGCACTCCCTTGGATCCTAACCCCCTCTAGCATTGTAGCTTGCACGTATGTCATCTTTCTGGAACACATATGGCAAAGCATGACACGTCACCCCTCCATCGTTTCGATAGGCACATTAAGTTGTAGTGAGTTGGGTTGCTATTTGGTAGTTTGACATCATAACCATCATTAGACCCCTCGCATCCTTATATGATAGGTAGCGCCTGAAGTGCTTCTGTTCTTCTAACCATTATATAAACCAACCCCTCGGCAAACTACTAGATATCTACTAGGTAAGCAAGGCATCTTGGTATAAGTACCATTGCTCCCTCCGGTTCCAATTTCCATCACCTGTGATCATCAAATTCCTCACTATCATCGGATAATCTCATAGCCGCATACTTTACCACAAACCAAAAGGGCATCTATGATACCCACCATCTCAAGGCACCCCGCCCGCAAGGAAAGAGCCTGTGATTTTGCTGAAACGTTCACGCTCTTCATAATGTCCCATATGACTCGAGTTCTCAAGCGTAATCCACTTGACCTTTGGAATAGTCCTAAACCAAGGCTCGACGCAAAGGTCATGTGCCTCGTCGTACCGCCCATTGATGAGCAGCGTCTCGGCTTCGATGTTATGCGCATCGTGATAGCCTTCCCAATCCTTGAAAGAGCCGATGATGATGAACTCTGACGGACCTTGCCTATACGGATGCATTAGTAGCTGATCTTGATTCGGAGTTGAGCCCCTCTCTGCAGTTCCAGAGACCACTTACAGAGTAAGATATGCAGTCGGGTCGTCCTTTAGGTTCTTGAACGCCGCCTTTACCCCCTCGGGATGTGGGTCCATGCGACATACATATCGAGAATAGAAGACCGCAGCGGCCTTCTCGAACTCCTCACTTTCGTAGTCGCCGCGCTTATTGCACTCTTCGAGGACAGCGCGCACATCAGGCGGTAGCTGCGCAAAGAGATCATCATAGCCCTTAACGAGGAGCGGGATACTGGCGGGCCCACCGGCTATAATCAGCTTCTTGAGGCCGCGGGGCTTGCGCGCGGCGTATGCGCCGCCGAGCATGCCGCCCCAGCTCTGGCCAAACAGGTGGAAGCCGCCATCGCGCAGCTTCAGATGGTCGAGCAGGTTGTCGAGCTCCTTAATGAACAAGTCAAAGGTCCAGAAGTTGACGTCGCCTGGCTTTTCCCGCAGATGTGTGGATCGGCCGCAGCCTATCTGGTCGTAGAAGACGATGGGGATGCCGTGTTGCTCGTAGACGTCGATTAATGGCTCTAGGTACTCGTGGCCGGCGCCGGGCCCGCCGTGGAGAGTGACCAGCGGAGTCTTGCCAGATTCGAGACTGCCGACGATCTTGTACCAGGTCTTGCAGGGCTTCCCGGCCCCTGGAGCGTTAAAGTCCACTTCGCCTTCGGCTACTGGTAAGGGTGCCATGTTGATTGGAAATACCCGGAATTGTCCAAGGATTCAGTGTGACTGGAAAGTATTGTCTATATGATACCTACCAAGTACTTGGCTGCAACCTTGGAAAGCGGTCCAATGCTCTGTGATTAATATTCAATGTTAAATGTGAGACGACAAGAAGAGGAACGAGGAATGAGGAACGAGGGATGGATTGTAGGTACGTAATGGTGGGATGGTAAAGCGGAGATTAGAGGTACAATGTAGATTGGTTGTAGGGAGGAACTTCGAGTTGGGAAGCTTGGAAGTGAGAAAGTCAAAGCAAGTGTGGAAGTGAGGAACATTGAAGCGAGGGAGGTGAGGGTGTTCAATATCGGTAGGTACTATCATTGATGTGGTAGTACAAGTACAACGTCGAATCAACTCAATCGACCTAACCCCCCCTTTTTTGTACGACGATGCAGTATAGAATACCTAAAAAGTACACAAAATTGGGGAAGTGTACCTAGTAGATACCGTCAGTGACCGTATTATTGTCTGTAACTGACACTCAAAAGCTACATGGTTGTGTACATGGTCCAGAAGTACCCCTCTTACCCCTCCTGTACTATTTATATGGTGCGCCATATCAACGAAACCGTCATTTACGTACCTGTAGTTATGTAGTACAGCAGATCCCTTGATAGATGCATCTTTAATCTTTTTATAAATTCCAATTCCTTTTTTAAACTTATCGCGCATACATCCCTATGCACATTCATTGACGTGCTTAGTCCTATGTACTCGGTATCGGTGTTTGCATATAAAGCCCTACCCTACGTACCTACGCTGGAGTCCTATGTAGGTATGTAATGACGAGCCGAGGTAAGAAAAAAGAAACACGAGACGCAGTATAAATGAATCCTTCTCTCGAATGCTACCTTGAGTGTGGTAATGAAGAGCTTTTTCGAACAACCTCCAATAGACCTACATATAGGATGCCAGCGAAAGCTTATACAATTCGCGTCCCACGAGGCAGATATCACTATACAATGGCGCAGAAGGAAGGGGTTCTAGGCCAGTCCACCTATGTGCTTACGTATGCAGATACTGTACTAGGTAGGTGTGTATAGGGGGGCAAGCATTGGAGATGTGGCACTGGGAATCCTCATGAGAAACACTCTCAGCAACTTAATGGGGTATCTCAACTCATCGTATCTATGGGTATGTCTACATGTGGATATACACACCATGGAGAACTCCAAGGTACCTACATCATCTCCTTTTCACGGATTCTCTCACGGATTCTCTCACGGATTCGGCTTGGGTCGCTGGTACTTATACTGACCAGGTCTCAGAGCCCTCTGTCGTGCCCAGTCATTGAGACTATCCCATCGAACACACGTGGTCACCGAACTCGACCTTAGATCCCTACTTGGCATGTGTGTCTTCTCATCCCACTCCGACGTATACAATCCCGTGTTGGCGTGGCACATTAGCGCCTGCCGTATCGTGTCGATGCAATGGTCTGTTTCAACAGTTAGACATCACATTCAGCCCTGTGTCCTTTTTTTATTTTCTCTCTCATTTTTTATCTTCTTTTCCCTTTTTCGTCACGGAATCTACAAGGTGCGGGACGTACTGGAATGTTCCGGGGAAAAGCCCTCCATGTGCTTTTGGCCAGCCATCTTGGGTCCATAATAATCCCAGCTCAGTAGCCGGCGGATATTGTTCAGACAGTGCATATGATGGTATACTCCGATGACCCCGACGTAGTCGTCACCACTGCCCTCGGTGATCTGGACTAGATTTGTCTTGTTCTCCTGTAAAAGATCCAGTTCCTCCTTTTTAACTCTGATATTGAGCGCTAAAAAAGAGGTTAGCAGAAGAACTTGGGAGGGAATAAAGGATGAAACACTAACAGTATAGGAGATCATCCCACACTTCGTCTAGTGCATCAGAAGGTTCTTGATGCCATGGTAACTGAGGTTGATACCATTCTGGTCTCTCTTCATATTTTAGAGCGTCTTGTGGTAAGACTAGTCTCGATCAGTATACGAGCGTCGTAAGACTTATTTGGATTACGTACCATAGTGATGATCATCGTTGGTTCCCCAGCTCTTCGATGAGGGGCATCGTGTCGACTTCCACGAGAGCTCAATAGTCTGAAGTACTGCGATATAGAGTAACACCAGCAAGATCAAAACTAAGGGGAAGTTGGTGCGTAACCATGAAGAGGCAGATCGTGGTTGTCTGCCTTTAGACCCTTCGAGCTCGTCGTCACTATATTCGTCACGGTGCCCCAGCAGGTGCTCTCCGCTTTCCTCTGAGTGCTTCTCCATGGTGATTAACCCAGAACATGTGAATGAAGGTTGAAGGATAGAAAGGCCTGGCTACACGTTCGAAATAAATCAGAGACTGATATGAATCTCACCACGTCAGAATACAAGGTATCATTCGATTCGATCAACACACCCACTCATCCAATACAGGCTGACAGGATGGTCCACTGGTACCTAGGTATACGTACGCCACCTTTTCCGAAATATGATTTTATCTGGGTGGGATGAGAAATCGGCATCCCACGCCCTGGTAACCACGGCTGGCTCTCCGATGAGACCCCATAATCATCTAAGGAGGTGGGAAGAAGGATCGTCATAACTACCGTACGATGAGATATTTCCACCCGCTCCGCCCTTTCATGTAGGACAAGAAGCCTGCTGACGCGGGACATCGTCCAAGTCAACGAATGGGGACATTTTACTAAGGCGGGATCGTTCTTCACTTCATCAGCGTGACCAATCATGATTCCAAACAAAGAGCCCGACAATACGCCTCATGATGGGTCCTAGGCGGCTCGCGCCCCTGTCATAATTATAGCCCATTTGCCGGCGAAGCGAAGAGGCGTAACCTTATGGCCAAAAGCATGCATAGTAAGCATCCACTATTGCTTTCGGATATCTTGTACTCCTGGGTGGATGTGTTGATCTTCCAGTCTAGAGCATAGGTAGTTAGAAGGTCAACGCTCTCTTCTCGGGAACTAACTGGAACGGTATCTGCCGAACGGAACTGTGGCGCTATATTGATTTCCCAAGAAGGAACCATATCGCGCGCGTAAGTATATGTAGGTCTTGATCTAGAAGTGGGCCAACCGCGGGGATGGAGATAATCCACTGATGTAGCATGACGCTCTTACATGATTGGATTGTCAGCGAACTTTGCTTACCTAGTTTCGATCCTTTCAACACAGACAAAAATACAACCGCCTTTCTAAGCCACCTCTCGTAAGGCTAAAAAAATGAAAGATGGAGAAACGGCTCGGTATTGATACCACACGCAACCGATCCTTATGCAATGCTACCACCGGGACAATAAGCCGGGAACACGTTGCCAGGATGTCTCGTTAGAGATTATGTACTTTGGTAATGCCTCAATATTATAATAGAGTGACGACTATCAGCCTCCTACTCTATGATATATGATAAAGACGTCCAGTCATCCCATCCCATCATATCTCGTACATAATATGTAGTTCACCCGCGAGTCGTTCGATCAAATCAGACAACATTCCACTCCAAGTCCTGCCATTAGCCATCTTTATACAGAATACTTCATACACAGCCCAGCCCTTTTTACACGTCACCTGTTCAACGTACAAAAATCAACCAAGATGCTCTTCCAAACGTTCCTCATCGCAGTACTGGGATCTACCGCCATCGCATCGCCCATCAACCCAGGTATTTCGCATTCCACACCACTCCTTCTCTCCCCAGCTTACATACCCACCTCCTCACACCCAGTTCATATCACTAACACCACCCACAGTCAAACGCGACTCATCCGTAATCGTGTTCCAGGACGCCGAAGTCGAAAGCGCGGCCGAGGAGAAGCGGGACAGCGCCATCGTGTACCAGGACGTGCCGGTGGCAAAGAAGCGAGGAGACTCGAACACCATCGTCATGTCCGATGTCGAGGTCGTCGACTACTCTGACTAAGCTACGCGTCTCGGTCCTCTAGGGGGGAAACCATGATGGTGTGTGACGTGCTGGGCTGGGCGCGAGGGGGATGGATGGGCTTCCGGAATCCGAGGGTTTGGGCGTCGGGGGTTTGGTCTGGTCTGTGCTAGTGATGGGATGGAATGGGACACAGGTAAAATGGGGTACATCTCTGACCCCATCCGGGTCGATCGACGTGTATCTTTAGTATTAGCTTGGCGACAGGAAATGGAATTACGTTTGATTTTTCTCTCTTGCGTTGGTCGTGACTAGCCTCCCCAAGTTTCGCACAAGTGACCTGAAATACGTCAAAGTCTTGGTGGTGGTGATAGAGGACAGGGGAAGTGACATGTAGCTGAAGTGTGTGTAAATTATTAGTCCCTTTGATGAAATTACTAAGTCCCCCCTTTCCATCACCAATCCTTCATGTACCTCTCGCTTCCCGCAGGCACACTCGGCGCCGGCACCCCTTGCCCCGGACTCGGAACCGCGGTCGTGACCGTGTTATCCGTCGTGATCTTGATATAATTATTGCGGCCCCCCCGATTCCTCGACGACGAGCCGCCCGACACCAGGTCTCCGCTGGCGCCTCCTCCTTCGCGGCCGTTCGCGCGCAGCTTCGCGAGCGCGTACTCGGAGGTGAAGGCCTTGTTGTCGGCGGAGATGAGGCCGCTGCGCAGCGAGCGCAGGAAGGGCCAGAAGTAGGCGGCGCACGCGGCCGAGATGCTCGCGAACTGCACGAACTGCATGCTGAGGTAGAACGGGAACCCCCGCAGCGTGAAGTCGTGCTCGAAGAGGCGCGGGAGGTAGACGAGCTGGCAGATCGTGCCGGCGATCGCCCTGTTTTTTCTTGTGTTAGCTAGACCTGCATCCAAACTTGAACTTGGAGAAGAGTTGGGTGGGCCACACGAACAGTAATCTGACAGAGAAGAAGGCAAGAACCGTAGTTCGGGTTCTGATCGACATCTTTAAGGGGTGTATCACAGCCGCTGGCAATGCGATTAGTGCCGCGTCGGTTATGATGTTCGTGACAGCCACATATTTCGTAAATGCGTACTACACGACCGGTTGGTCAGTATTAACTCGTGCTAAGGCCGAATTCTCTCTGCGCTGGCTTTCTCACCCTATCAACGCACTTCACATCGTCTCCCGTTTCCCACGGACCGTGGGTCCCGCACTGGAAAGCGGTTCCAAAAAAAGCTACCACCACCCACACGAGCACGGCAGCGACGAAGACGGACGTGAGGCGGCGATGTCCAGTTTCCGGCGACAGCGCAGATAAACCCGTGCAAACTGACAACTTGGCCAGTCCCAGCGCGAGAATCCAAAGTAGGTTCCCGGCAAATTGTGTCTGGATTCGAGGCGAGGTCAGCCTACGTACGGCCACAAGAGCACACGCACGATCGCACAATTAGGTGGAATACCTTGAGCCCCGCGATCATCTCGGCATCCGAGATATCGCTCCGCGCTTTGCCCAGGATTTCGCCCTCCGGCACGAGGAATGTGACCGATTCACCCAGTCCCACGAGCTGCTCACCCAGTCTCACTATTAGTCTCCCGCCAAAAAGCGACATACGACGATGTTTTTTTTTTTTTTTTAGAACGTACGAAAGCTGAGGTAATAAGCACCTCCTCCCACCCAAACCGCTGGTTCGTCTTCAGGAAGAACTTGGTCAGGAAGCGAAAGCAGAGCATGAGGAACGTCATCGCGAGGAGAAGCCAGGTCATCATCTGCAGTATCGGGTTCATGTTTGTATCCGTGACGACAATTCCCATTGCTGGCGAGGGGGCGGCATCGGCGGCAGCCCCCTCGGTGGCGCGGCGAAAGGCCGATGGCATCGCTGGTATGGTGATACCGGGTACCGACCTTATGTAGGGACCCGTGACGATGCTTAGGTAGGTAGGTATCACGATAGATCCAGTCGTTCACGAGCGCAAGCGGGTCGGGTACCTATTCGCAGGGCTGAGAAGCCCCAATATTCCCGCTATGGCGGGTTTTTAAGGTTATTATCTGCTTAGTATGTATGGAGTCCTTTTCAAGGTTGTTGGAAAAAGATGGGAATAGTTAGTTAGCAAGCAGGAAGGATGGCCTTGACTTGCACGCGCTCCGTGCTTGTGCTTAACTATTCGTACACTCCCGCGGCATAAATATAGGTTAGGAACCGAGCAGATGGCAAAAGCCAGCCAGCCAACCAAAGCCCATATACCGCGCTTACGCAGGTGCAGATTTGCGATCGAACCCTGGATAGCCTACGGCAGTTGACTTACCGTTTACCTTCTAGGCAGGCAGGCAGGCAGGTAGGTACCTACCTGTAGCTTACTCGAAGGGGCGATGCCATAGGATGTGGTACGGGGCCAAGCCAAGCTGAAAGTGGACGTTACATTACTCTTTTAGTTGTTCAGGTGTTCAGGTTAGGTACCTACCTACCTACTAGGTAAGTAGATAAACACAGAACAGCCTAGGTTAGGCAAGTTTAAGAGTCAAAAGAAATGCATTTATTACTTCACTTGCATGTATGGAGGGGAGGATTTCCCCTTTGCGATGGTCATATTCTCTCTAGTGTATTTCCGGTGTTGGTCTTCATTTGCTACGAAATACGGCCGACGGGACCATGAAAGATGGGAAGATGAGGGATGCGGGACATCGGGATCTACAGCGACTGGGGCGGGAACGGGAACTATGCTTGCTCGAGGCAATTCTGTTAGGACTAATGCCAGTAAGACCGTGGGGGAGGAGTACCATGGTGGGTGGATATGATATTGGTATGTAGGCTGCAACAAATGCAACAAACAGGGGCATAAATAACTACTCGGTGGCTTGATCTATTTCGGCCTCTCAAACATCGTAGGGAAGCCATGCATGTACATCTATGGACATGTTGGTGCCTGTTGGATCTTTAACAGACAACTGGAGCTTTACTATGTACAGTCTTCGGTAGCAAACGGGCTGTCGCTTGTCCAGAATCCAGCCCAGTCCACTCCACATAGGTGTGTAGGAATATCACAAGCATCAATGTTGCAGCATGCACGTCCACTCGATCCTCCAGGTGAAAACTTGTTCGGTGCTCTGCTCCGCGTGAAAAATCTACAACCCCCTCTCGTTTTACACTGCCATTTATAGACAGCTGCAATGTTATGCATGTCGCAAAACAAAATAGATATATAAATGGCTGCACCCTACGCTAGCTCGCTAAGACCCTCCCATGTGGCCTCATGTGGTTTCGTTTGGGACGAGATCACTGAGCCAATCATTCCTCTCTTGGCGAAGTCTTGATATGTATCCTACTGATTCCTACATAATACCTTACCTAGGTAGCAGGCAGTACTACGTAGGATGCACACACTTACGTCGCTGTCACATTCAATGTTATTTGGACCTATTGTATGTATTTAATATCCGAGGGCCGTCAAGCATAAGCGCAAATTTGGCCAATCCTAAAGTCATGGCAACATAAGACACGCCAGCTGAGGAGGAGAGACAGTTATGCGACAATTTCCACGCTCGTCCCGAATGGCCCTCGATCAGCACATGAAGTCTTTTGCTTTTTATATAGCAGAGACATGTAACTACTTGTACTTTTCCATTAAGCTTTTCATCTACCTTGGCTACCTACCTACTGGGTAGGCCCATAACACCTTGCGCACCTATTCACAGAATGCTAGCAGCGATCGCCAAGGCGGCCCGACTCCCCTAACTCTACCCCATACCTATTAGGTACCCAGTACTACCTAGCATGTAGGTACTACATATGTAACTAACTAACGGTTACGGCTCGGGCCCGTAGTTAGCTCACACTAACGTGTATGGCCTCATCGGTCAGCCACGACATGCATGACTGGTACTGAAGATGGATGAATCGCGCCGAAGCAAGGCCATAACCATGGCATTCGTGCCTTGGATTCAGCGTGAAATTCCGAACCCGGAATCTCAGCGCGATATACGCAATAGACCTGATCACAAAAATCTTTTACGTATGGGAAGTATGTAGGTTAGGTTGATTGAATGGGTGGAAACTGTAGCGCTTATATGTAGCAGTGCATCCGCCAACACCATCGGGCTTGGCCTTGGGTGATGTAGTATTTGTTGGGACTTTTTTAATACTCTTCATCCTCAAACATTTGGCATCCGGTTAACGATAGGAACTTTTTCTAAAAGGTCTTTGTAGTCAGGCGCGAGTTTTATACATCCCACCAAATTTGTAGAAGGCATGGTTTTGGGACGTTCGTATATTGTGTTATATGCGGAGCCGTAAATGGTATTCTTCACAGATATGAGCACTTCTATGCGGAATTTTCTTTTTCGAGTTTATAGGCATCGCTTGATCGTACTAGGTAGGTAGGTATCTTAGGTCTGAAATCCACGGGCATCGTGCTAACGAAACTTCACCGAATCCGTGCCGTTCGCAAGTCCTTCAGGCCACTTTGTTAAACGGGTTTAACAGTCTTCGGGCCTGGTTTCAAGGGATGATAATTGTATAAGTCTTGCTAGTGGTGATGTTGCTAGAGGACTCATTGGTGTTTTGTTATTTTCCGTTGTGCATACTCGCCATTCGGAGTTAAGCTACGCCGTCGCTTTTCAGCTGGCTAATATGTTACTATAGGATTATTCTTATAAGCTGAAATACGTATTATGGCCAGAATTGAAACAGCCCAAACAGTAAGGGAGAAAGATAGGAGCTCCTGACTAGATAGGCAGGTAACAAAGCAACATTGAAGTACGGCGGTATGTAATAACATGTTTATTCGAGAATAAAGAGCCTCTTGATAACACTTTGATACGGGTACTCTTACACTTTTTGAGTAAACAAGATGATAAGTCACTATACCGGGTATTTTACAACATACCAGGCTTATATCTCTCTCTACCTATAGTTATACTCTATACATGAATAATTATTAATACTGTATAATGGCTTACTATATGTAGGTAGATATACTAGGTATGGTACGTCCCCGTTTCGCATCCCATTTCGCAAAACTGCCTACATCTAGTACTCTTCTGGTATATCGTAGGTTGATCCTACTGAAGCTCAAAGATCTAACTCATTGATCTTCCCACAACACATTCGCTTACAATATACCACCCTTCATACGCCACGATGCCTATCAAGGACGATTTCGAGCTTCAAACCACAACGTCTCCATTCGACAATGCGATCATTCCGATATCCTCCCGCACCATCGGCGGCTCCACTCGCGATGACGACCAACTCCGACGCCTCGGGAAGCGCCCACTTCTCAATCGCGGCTTTGGCTTCATGTCAATATTAGGGTTCTCTTGTTCGGCGCTGCTCTCCTGGGAGGGTATCTTGGTCACGTCGATATCCGGCTTGTTAAACGGGGGACCGGCTGGCGTCGTATGGGGATTTCTCATCAACTGGATCGGCACGATATCAGTATATACGGTGTTAGGAGAGCTTGCGTCCTCCGCTCCTACAGCTGGCGGGCAATAGTAAGATACCCCATACCTACCTCTTACCCCATTCGTGAATGCTGGCTGAGACTCTACCTACCACCAGCCATTGGGTTGCCATGATGGCCCCAAAGTCCAGCAGAGTCTTCCTATCATACATGACTGCTTGGATGACCACTCTGGCCTGGCAGGCCCTAGCTGTCTCCGTCGGGTACATCATCGCGACCATGCTCCAGGGTATCATCGTGCTGACCAATCCCTCATATGTGCCCGAAAACTGGCACACGGTTTTGATCATCTGGGCCGCCACCTTATTCGCCGTGATGGTGAATTCGACAACGAGCCGTGCGATAGCCAAATTCGAAGGCGCCATTCTCATCCTTCATCTCGCGGGCTTTTTCGGGGTTCTAGTCCCCATGGTCTACTTCGCGCCCCATAATGATCCGAAGATGGTGTTCACGACCTTCTTCAACACTGGCGGCTGGTCGACTCAGGGCCTGTCGTTCTTCGTCGGGTTCCCGGCCATCGCTGGCTCTCTCTTAGGCGCAGACTGCGCCGTGCATATGTCTGAGGAGATACAGTCCGCTGCCTTAGTGGTACCCCGTGCTCTGCTGTTTACCATATTAATCAACGGTTCTCTTGCCTTCGCCATGGCTATTGCCCTGATGTTTTGTCTCAGCGACGTAGATGCAGCGATGGAAGCTGCCACGACCATGTTCTACCCATTTCTCGAGATTTTCTACTCCTCTGTTGGGTCTATCACAGGTGCCTGCATCATGGCCTGCGTTGTTTTTGTCATGGCGGTTGCGAGTAGCGTTGGTGTGTACGCCTCTGCTTCCCGTATGATGTGGTCATTTTCACGGGATAGGGGTCTGCCCTTCGACAGGCATCTAGTAAAGGTAAAACTACATTGGCTTTACACTTCCATTCTGATGCATGGCTTTGCTGATCATTCTATTAGTTAAATAAGAGTGCGCTACCTGTAAACGCAATTCTGACTACGCTGGCGATTACCGTGCTACTATCACTTATCGTCCTTGGCTCTGCCATCGCATTGAATGCTCTACTTTCTCTAGCTATTGCCGCCCTGTTCTCGTCATACCTACTCGTATGTGGTCTGCTACTCTGGCGACGCACCACCGGCGCATTCCAGCCTTACGACTCATCGGAAATCATGGCCCCCGATAATCTGATTTGGGGCCCTTGGAAGCTGCCAGAGCCACTTGGAGTCTTCAACAACGTTGTCGCTTGCCTTTACAGTATACTCCTATTGTTTTGGTCATTCTGGCCGCAGACGACCCCGACGACGCCCGAGAACGCGAACTGGAGTATTCTGGTATGGGGCGCGGTGGTGATATTTAGCATTGTTTGGTACATGGTGCGAGCAAGGCACTACTTCACAGGTCCCATTAGGGAAGTCTAGGTACATTAAAGAAACAGATAAGCTTCTTCGGAATGCTCAGAATAAACCTTTGGCTATTCAACTCACATTATGTACTGACCATGTTCCCGAACTCAGCTCCAAGTCATCCTGCATACCGCAAAGCACAATTGAGTGTGCATTTACGACTTAGAGACAGTGAAATATCATATTGAGCAGGAGCCGGCCACGTCCACTTGTGTGCGTACATCCCGTACAAGGTTTGGTATTCGTGGACATGTCTATACCTGTGGAAGACATATCACGTAGCAGCATTCAAAGTGAGAGTCCGCCGCCTTTGTCCTCCACCCACCTAAGACAGCTAGAAATGCATACACGTGTAGGGCCACCTTCACTTTCTTCGGGTTAGAGGTGCTTTAACTGAGACTTCTTTGTTCTCCTGGGTCACTTATGAAGTTTGACTGGCAATAATGAAATATTAGGGGCCACCAATAGCCTTGTAATGGCATATAAGATTTCCTTGTATCCTTTCTGTCGCCCTTCCGGGTCTGAGAACAATGCGATGGCCCAGCGGCGAACATTGTACGCCCAATGAAGCCATCGTGCCCTTATACATGCGATCATTTAAAGGGGAACGGGATACTATTTTCTATTCTCTAGTTTACTCATCCTATCTTCCTCGATTTACGCCCACTCATCAACCCTATTTGTTGACTCTACGTCTTAGGTGTTTTGGACCACTATGGCTTGACGGGTCACCATGAAAACGACACGGCAACGCCCAGTAAAGCGGAGGCGTACAGGAATTGTTGAGTTTGAAGAAGCGGAAGAAGCTTATCCACCCCATGAGCACTGCTGTACCGAGGCCAAACTAGAGTTTATATTCACGTGGCTTAAAGGGATTCCCCTCAGTCGTCACATCACTAAGCAATTCCGCGAGGGGAAAATGCCGTGCGACAAAGATCAGGTTCCCCATGCTGGTATGCCAGAGCTACATAATTCAGTAAAACGTACATTCGATGATGTTGATGTTACTGAGCCCAGCTCCGTCATAGACTCAGGGGCGGGAAAGTCGAGGCCAGCGACATCCATATTCGAGTTTTATGCCCTTATGTCTGGAGCAACTGATTCCACCAAGAGTTCTGCACGTAGCCCAGACTACTCTGAACTTGTTCTTTTCCGCAACAATATTTGTTATGCACCGTCCGATCAGAAGCTACCCCCAGCAGTCCAGGAGACATGGGATCTCATTGAAAGGAAATTGGGGACCGAAGTAGAAACGATGGACGCTGATGACTGGCGGTATGTCCGAAAACTGCAACGGTGCGGTCCCGAGGTATCAAACGCCATGGCGCTGCTCATCGAAACCGTGTTCCCGAAACGACCGAGAGAGGGAGCGCTTATGAGGTGGGAAGCCGCGCCGTTCCGCGCCGACTTGGTCCCCACGAAAGACGGCATCCGCAGAGTATCGATTCCACAACCGGATATGACCTATGGATATGCCGACCTGTACGCCTTTTCCGAGCCTCAGAGAACCACGCACGAGCAGGTGGGCCCCATCGACACCAGCGGGAACGTATCGTACCCCTTCTTCATTGCCGAGTTCAAAGTCAACGGGCCCTTGTGGCAAGCATCCAACCAGTGTCTGGGGGCCGCGGCAACCACGATCGCATATACCGAGCAGCTAAATGTGCTGCTTGAAGAAAACGGCAAGGCGAAAGTTCAGACAACTGTACTTACTATGGCGGCAAACATCTACGAGGCGGTTTTGTACGTCAGCTGGAAAGAGGGTGACCAGTACTTGACGAAAAAGGCTAAGAACTTTTGCCTGCGACGTGAGAGTGAGGTTATGCTGCTGAAGAAGTATGCGAGTAGCATTGTAGGCTGGGGGGAGAACGAGAGGTTGGAGGAGATTAGAGGTGGTTTGGATGCTTTAGCTAAGTTATAATACCACCATCCCAATCAAAATTATTCTGGTGTATCGTCTATACTGCTGTACTTGCATCTACGGAGCTATTGGCATTCTTCGCCCGTCTTACTAGGAATAGGGGGGAGCGTTAGTCAAGATAAGGCAGTTCAGGGGCTTATCAGCCACGCTAGTGTCAGTTTTTGGCGGCAGAACTCCGGCATTGTTCTGGATTGAATCTGAATAAGCAACCTGGATGCCTCGGTTCAATTCAGACCCTCCAAGTCGTCATCGCCATCGCCATCGATTCTTATTATTATTTGTCTTTTTCTCTTCTCTTCTTGGAAAACTGAAATCGGGAGAGATATTTTGGTTTCGACTATAATGCTTAAAACTGCCTTCTCCATCTGATCCTGATTGACCGTCTCTCCCTCTTCGAATGTCATTTACGCCACACAACAGCGTTGTCGCAAAGTGTACCACCACCTTGCTGTGCCATCTCCGAGCGCTACCTCTATGGGGAATTGCCCTCGTCATCTTATTTGCGGGATTCCTACACGCAAAAGTCATTGCGCTCCCTAATCGCCTTTACCGTTCGCCGCCGCCATCGAAGTCTAGTTGATTTGTAGCATAGTGAATCATCATCATCATGGCGTCTCTAGCCTCCTTATCGGACAAAGTACTAGCGGCGACTCTCGCAACTTTCAACAACGCGAGAGGCAATGCATTGGGCCAGCTCGAGTACTTTTTCAAGGGCCCGGGCAGAACGAGTCGAATCATAGCGCTGGCCGTTGTGCTATACAATTGGAAGAGCTTGCCTTTCGCCTGGACAGTACGGCACTCCCACATCCAACCACTTATAAGCAATGAGTAATATGAAGAAGCCGTTTACTAAGATAAAGCGATCTAGTTCCGCGTCTGGGGCAGCCTGATCGAGCACTTCGCCTTCCGGCGCTTCCACACACACACGCCCGACAAGCTCTTCCACCACGTCATCACGCCCTCGCACGTCTCGCTGCTCGAGGTTGACTACTACCTGCACAAGTCCAATTCAACATACTTCGCGGACCTCGACGTCGGCCGCTCGCAGCTCGTCTCGCACCTGTTCGCGCGCGGCTGCCACGCCATCAGCCGCAACGCCGCCACCAAGCTCGTCATGGACCCGTCGAACCCGGGGAAACCCGCCAGGGGCAAGTTCGGCGTCGCGCTCGGCGCCGTCCACTGCAGCTTCAAGAAGGAGCTGCAGCCGTACCAGAGCTACGAGATGTGGACGCGCGTGCTGAGCTGGGACCGCAAGTGGCTGTACATCGTGACGCACTTCGTCGAGAAGGGCGCCGTGAGGCCGCGCTCGTGGGACGCGTCTGTGTTCGGCCCGACAAGGAAGACGGAGGGGACGCCGCAGGACTGGCAGAAGCATATCCATGCTACGGCCGTGAGCAAGTACGTGTTCAAGGTCGGGCGCTTGACCGTGCATCCGGCGATGGTGATGGAGGCCAGCGGCATGCTGCCGGAGCGGCCCGGTGGGTGGCTGGTCGTGGAAGATGACGCGGTCCCGTCGTCCCTCGGTGACAGTGGCGAGATTGTCCCAGAACCAGAGGTTGATGATGCCGAGGCGACGGGTTGGGATTGGAAGCGAACGGAGCAGGTGCGAAAGAAGGGGCACGACTTTGCGATGCACTTCGCGGAGATGGATGGGCTGCATGGTCATTTCGACGGTGGAGAGGACGGCGCGTTAGGGATTTTTGGCATTGCATAGGTGGGTGCCTACCCAAGTAACTAATGATATACGAGAAAGGAGACAAGTATGTATAAACACGCCGCTAGATCTGTTCATATCACGATAGACGGATACCACCATAGATTCATACATGCGGGTTGCCGAAAACAACCGCACGTCATTTCATAGAAAAGCTTAGATCAAAGAAACGACATTTGAACATCAGATGGATCGATTTAATTCTTTCGCTGAGCATTGGGTATTACACACTACCTGGCTGGCTTGGGGCAATTAGCTGTCAAAAAATTCATCTCCCTTTCCCCCCTTCAAACACGCTACCCCCCCTCCCCTTTCTCATCAACCAATCACCCGTGCCCCCCCTCCAAATCTCGTCTCATCCCTTACTTCCCTCCTCTACAGAGCGAAAGCCACAAACGCCGCGGCGAGCCCCAAGCCCGCCACAGCGCGGTGACCCGCGCCCGTCGGGGTCGCCTCCGCCGCATCCGCATTCGCGGCCCCAGACGACGCACTGCTGCCGCTGCCGCTGCCGGACGACGCAGACCCGGTCTCGGTGGGGGTGACGAGGTCGCCGACGGCAGACGTGACCTTGGAGGTTACGTCGGACGCGACGTCGGAAGCGACGTCGCCGACGGAGGACGCGGCATCGCCGACGACGGAGGTGACGGACGAGGCGGCGCTGCCGGCGGCGGAGGCGATGGCGTCGCCGGTGGAGTCGATGGTGGAGTCGATGGTGGACTTGCCGCAGATTTCGGCGGAGGTGGATGTTGCGTCTGTTTTGTTTGTTTTACACTCGTTAGCACACGCGTATTTATTGTTATACACATATTTTTTTTGGAAGGGATATATTTTATATATATATATATAAGGAGAGGGATGAGAAAACACACGTACCGGACAGCTCGTCGGAGCTGCAGGTCAGGGAAAGGCAGCCGATGGCGGCGTCGGTCAGGTCGGTGAACTTGCCGCACTGGCACTTGACGTCGGTGGCGGAGCAGCCGATCTGCGCGGAGGCGTCGTCGAGACACTTCTTCGCGCACGCCGGCAGCTCGCTCACGAGCTCCTGGACGGAGTCGGCGGCGGCCGCGGAGGCGAGGAGGGCGAGGGCGAGGGTCTTGAACTGCATTTTGATTTTTGATTTTTGACTTTGATTTTTTTTGGTATTGGGTTGGTTGGTTGGTTGTAAAGGAGTGACGTGTGTTGTTTATTTCTTCGACCGGCGACGAGTGTATAGAAAAGGAGTGTACTGGTTGGTTGTGGTTGGTGATGATGACGAAGGAGGAGGGAAAGGGGGAGGTTTACATCACAAGTTGGATTTGGTCAGGGTCACCCTATTATTGTACGAACGAATGCCTTCCCCGTTCATGATACCTACTTGCACTAATGTTTGTACCGACATAAAAATGTCCCGGTCCCTCTCGCATGTCATCACCGGTGATTGAAATACCCACATGCCACCCCGTATGATCCTTCCCATAGGTTCCCAAGCAAGCTAGCTTTCCCTTGGAATTCCATCTACATAACCTAGTACAACGACCCTGAGTTCTTGGATCATCTATTTTGTACGTTTTCCTTTGACTTCGGGACGAGAAAAGGGTTCTCGTCGTCGATCAATGCTGCGCCAGCAGGGTTTCTTCGTCCCCAGTCTCATCTCGTTGAATCTTGGCTTTTTCTTATTCTCGAGAGCATAGCCGGCATGGACAGTTGGTTGCTGGGCGAGGGGCAACGAACGAACGGGCGAAGGCACCGTCGATATAAATGAAACAAAACTACCTAAGACGTTAGGTTTTCAACTGTCTACCACCTTGAGGAGTTTGTACACGGAAGTAACATCTGGAGTCTACAACAGTACAACTCCGAATAGTGCAGGTACAGTACCCTGAGTAGATATTGTAGATCGTACTACTAGTAGTACATAGTACATCATTGCAGCAACTCCTGCAAGGATCCATCCATCCAAACGCCCCATGTAGCTAAGCGTACCTAATATCAATAATCCCTGCTTCTGTATGCATTAGTTCAGGGGCACAGCCTTAGACGATCTTGGCATTCAATTTTTTTTTTTTTTTACATATGATAACTACGACGTATGATGACCGCTCCCTCTAACTACCCTTGTTGCTTCTGAAACGTGACTTTTTAAATCATGCGGGGGAATCTTTTAGTGCAAAGAAAAAAAAAACATGCTCCCTGGTTCCCGACGGAATCCCTAACTAAAAGATTCCATTAACCTAAATGCCTACATGCACGTGCCGAGCCTTCCTAACCTAAGGTACTCCGTATTATTTTGTCGTTACTATGGTATAACATAACTTACACTTAAAGTTATCCCTTTAAACGTTATAAGGTAACATAAGTAATAAAGTTATTAAAAATAAATAAAAATATAACTAAGTTAAATTATTTACCATTTTATAAATATAATATTTAATGAAATTTAATTATTTTATAAATATATAATTTATTATTTAATTTTGCATATATTATTTATATTAATAATATTTAAAATTATATAAAGTTATATTATAAGTGTTATATCGAAATTATGTTTTTTTTATTTTTATATTTAATAAATTTTCTAATAACGTTTTTAATCCTCGATAAAAACGTTTTTAAATATTATTTTTTTAATAAGTTTAATAAAGAGTTTTGTTATCCGCACCCCCTTTTTTTGATAAAAGGGCCTTATTCGCACCCCGGTACATTGAGATCGCAGCGCAAAAGGTCCGAGCTTTAAAGCTAGCTTCCATCAAAAGATCCAGTACAACTTCCAATCCAAGATTCGGATTGAAGTGCATCCTATGTCGTTCGAATCAGCTCAATTAGACAATCCAAACGATATATGTTTCAGATCAATGCGACCGCTGGCTGCAAAGTTATTCGAGTTTGAAGATTACATTCCACCTTGAAAATGGTACAAATTGAAGTGGTCCGTGCATCACGTGATGCGCTTCGCCTAGCGCCAGGCTAGCGGCAAATCGTCTATTTCACTATTTTCTGAATAACTTTGCAGCCACCGGTTGTATCAATTTGAAACATATATCGTTTGGATCGTCTAATTGAGACGGTTCTAATGGAGCTGGATGCACTTCAATCCGATTCCTGGATTGGAAGTTATTCAAGGTGATGTGTTTGAAGCTAGTTGGAGCGCTCGGACGACCGGCATTCTTTTGCTTTTTTCCCATGTACCGGGGTGCGAATAAGGCCCTTTTATCAAAAAAGGGGGGTGCGGATAACAAAACTCTTAATAAAAAAATAAATTTTTATTTAAAGATTAAACGTGATTAATAAGCTTATTATATAAATTGCTTTTTTTAAACGTTATTTTAAAGTTATATTTATATGCGTTTATATATAAGTTATAAAAAGAAATAACTTTATTTAAAATATAATAAATTTAATTTTTTAAAGTTTAAAAAAAGGTTTAAAAAGTAATATTTTTTTTTATAAATAAAAAGTATTAATTAAAATTAATTAAAATAAAAAATATAACTTTAATATTTTTAAAACTTATTAACGGTATTTATAATTAAATTTATACGATAATTTTATTTAATTATTAATATTTATATTATTTATATAATAATTATATTTATTTATAATAAATAATATTTTTAACTTTTTTTATTATATATTTTAAAGAGTTTTATTATTTATATCCCCTTTTTTTAATAAAAGGGTTTTATTTACACCTTAATATATTAAAATTATAACGTAAAAGGTTTAAACTTTAAAGTTAATTTTTATTAAAAGATTTAATATAACTTTTAATTTAAGATTTAAATTAAAGTGTATTTTATGTCGTTTAAATTAACTTAATTAAATAATTTAAACGATATATATTTTAAATTAATGCGATTATTAATTATAAAATTATTCGAGTTTAAAGATTACATTTTACTTTAAAAATGGTATAAATTAAAGTGGTCCGTGCATTACGTAATACGCTTTACTTAACGCTAGGTTAACGATAAATCGTTTATTTTATTATTTTTTAAATAACTTTATAACCACCGGTTATATCAATTTAAAACATATATCGTTTAAATCGTCTAATTAAAACGGTTTTAATAAAGTTGGATATATTTTAATCCGATTCCTAGATTAAAAGTTATTTAAGATAATATATTTAAAGTTAATTAAAACGTTTAAACGATTAATATTTTTTTACTTTTTTCCTATATACCGGGGTGCGAATAAAGCCCTTTTATTAAAAAAAGGGGGTGCGGATAACAAAACTTAAAAAAAATAATTAAGTTATTATTATATTAAATAATTTAATTAATTAAATTATTAAACGTAAATTATTATTAAACTTTATTAAATTTTAAGGTTTTATAATTATTAAAAATAATTTTTATAATATTATAATTTTTACGGTAAATTTTATTTATATTTATATTTTTTAATTTTAATTATTTAAATAATTATAGGTTTAAAAAAAAGTTATTAATAAAAACGTATATAAGATATTTATTAGTTTAATTACATAATTTATTTATTAAAATAATTATTATTTATTAAATAAAATTAAAAGTATTATTATTTATAATGTTAATAATTTTTACGTTATTAAGTTTTTTAAATACGTTTTAAAGCTTAAAGTTAATTATTAAATTATTAAACTACCTATGGTACCTCCATGGCTTACCTCCATGGATTTTCACTGTATCACGATTATGGCTTCCTTTTATAAATATGCTTTGCTGTCGCAAGCCCTCTTACCTTGTTGATTATAGCTCTTACCTTATCTCTTTAGTATAAGGAGGCAGTAGCCATAGCTATTGCAAACCTTATACCACAACGTATATATATTTCATTTCTTTGTTCTATAGTTAGATAGTTTTCTTTTAATCTTTAGTTTGTTTCTAACCTTTGAGTCTTGTCATTTGGTAGCACCTTTGCGCCACGGTCGAAAGACCCCAATACCATACCGGTTCATCCGACGGGTAGCGATAGCATACCCAGAAAATCACCAGACCTCTTGGTTGTTGAAGGGTTAATCAACAACCGTCATATCTCTATTCATTGATCCCATCTTTACCCATTGACCATATTACTATTCACTTTCCATACTTTACTCATTGACCATATATCTACTTCTTAAGCACATCATTACTCATTGACCGTATTCTATTAATTCAATTTTATCCCCCTTTTCTCCAACACATCATTATTCATTGACCGTATTCTATTAACTCATCATTATTCATTAACCGTATTTTATCAACTCAATTTTTGTCTCCCTCCTTTCCAGAACATCACCGTGACGCTATCTTGTACCCTTAATCAGCACCGTATGAGCGGCATCTATGTCTGGCCAAGACGACAATTGCACCCAGGTAGCGTCGTTTGCTCGAAATTTTCCTCATCTAACCGTCGTAAAAAACCTATGGTACCTCCATGGCTTACCTCCATGGATTTTCATTATATCACAATCATGGCTTCCTTTTATAAATATGCTTTACTGTCGCAAGCCTTCTTACCTTATTAACTATAGCTCTTACCTTATCTCTTTGGTATAAGGAGGCAGTAGCTATAGCTATTGCAAACCTTATACCACAACGTGTATATATTTCATTTCTTTATTCTATAGTTAAATAGTTTTCTTTCAATCTTTAATTTATTTCTAACCTTTAAATCTTGTCATTTGGGACCTCATGCGTGCGGACTGCAAATATGCCCTACGAAAGTTATTCGCAGAATTCAAGCTGGACGAAATGACAGCGATGGCGAAGCTCGACCGAGCCCGTTTTACCAAGGACGAATGTCTGAAGGGCACACAGCTGCAAACTTGGGCCGCAGAGGTCATTGGCTATTGTCGTGCCTTGGGCATGGATAGTACAATGCAATATATGACGGCTATATACAACCGCCTCGACGTCAATTTTAAATTGGCTGTTATTGCCCCTGGGACCGGAGTATCTTTATACGATTGGATCGCTTATTTGGAAGAGCGCCGCCGCGTCTGGCGAGCTTCTTTGCTGACCTCTTCCTCCACCGATAATGCAGATGCACCCCAGTCATTTAGCGACAAGATGCTAAAGGGCTTGCCGACTGCTCCCGACAAGCTTCAGCTTACCAACCTCTCTTCGATGGAGGAAGCCCTAGAAACCTCCGCGGGCATCCATTAAACCCAGCGATATGGAGGTGGTTGCCGAAGCGACGACTACCGCCCTTATCGCATTAATCGCGACAACTATCGCCCCTCTCGGAGTGATTGTAACAATGATCGCCCCTTCTGGACCAATCGAGACGATTACTGTGATTAAGATAATCACAAAGATGATAAGGGCAAACGATGGGCTAATCAGCGATAGGAGCCATGGAACTATTCCTGTAATAACCGTTCCGGTGGTTACAGCCGCCGATACTAAAGTTATCGCATGGGTCGCGGGGGACGGGAGTATTATTCCGATAATTGTAGGGGGAGATCCAACCGTGGAGATCGTCGCCGCTTTAGATGGCGATGATGGGTTAAACCGGGACGGCACATTAAGGATAATTTTTTAACAAATCAAGTAGAAATATAGTATGATACTTTAAACCGTGAATAGGAGGAGCGTAAGCTCTTTAACGATGGGTTCTTTTTGGTAAACGATTATAAAGTTATCGATAAGGAAATTAAATCCGATTCCTATTATTCTTTTAGTTCTTGTAATGATGATCCATCGTATATAACGTGTTGTAAATGCTACGCGTAATTCTTATTACACGCGGCATGTGTTAAACATATTTTCACTAATAATTGCACGAACCTAAGATCACTTGGTATAAGATGTCGTCATAATTAATATATGCGGTAATCTAGGTCCCTTTTATTTTTTCATTAAGGAATTATTATTAACGTAATGTTTACCTTACCTTAAATCATTAATTAAGAAGAATATATTTATATATATATATATTATATATTATTAATTATAAAAGATATTAAGGATAAAATTATTACCTTTAACTATATATCGAAGGGTTTTTAACCTTTATAAACCATTAAACTAATCTAAGAATTAAAAGATTTAGTTAATAGTGTATATACTGCGTATATTATTAATAAAATATTACATTGAAAAGTAATTCCGGCTACTTTGGTGAAAATATACTTTAAAGGATTTAAAAAGAATACGTATTTAACCTTACCAATTATTAGTAAAGCTAGAAATAAATTTACCATTTGTTTAAATACCGGCACATCTCATTGTATGGTGGACGCTAATTGGCTTAGATAGTTTATGGTAAACTTTTATATGTTTAAGGCTGATAAGCTTATAATTGCCGGAGGTATAGTCGGGAAGCTAAGGTTCCATAACCATGCTTGATTTAATATTTATCTTAAAAGTAATGCTAAGGTGTTAATACAAATTAAAATCGAGACATGGGTTTACAACTATAACCTTAAACCGAACTTATTATTCGGTAATGATTTTTACGCTATACATAGCGTGGTAGTAAATTACCCAAAGCAAGTAATTACCCTTGCCTCTTATAAGAACTTACCAATATTAATGTAGTACTGCGTACTAAAGCCAGTGCCGCGGAGGGTTATCGTTGCATTCATAGTCCAAGTGCTACCGCAAGCGGTATAACATATACTAGTAAACTATATCGACCTGCCAGAGGGACAGGACTTCAACGTGACGGGCACAGTCCCAGGAGTTTTAAACTCCTTACACGGATCAGCGGGTATTAAAGCCGTCGCATACTACAACGATACTACCAAGCCAATTACCCTTTATAAAAACAGAAGGATAGGCACCATCACTGAAGTCAACAGTGATAGGTACTTCACCACCATATGGGACCGGGCTAACATAGCATAGAGCATTGCTTATTCCACTTCTAAGTTTGACCGGGACGACCTCGTTGCCGAATTCCAAATCGATTAGGATTTGGAGCAGACACTAAAGACAGACGAGGCCGTTCCGCAGCGCGTCTAGGACGCCATTCCCCCCAAGAAAGCTCCTTTCAAGACACCATCATCTAGCATAGTTAAAACGGATGGAATACCCGAATTAGAGTCGAGAGCCGGAGTGCACTGTTACGCCACGAGCAGATTGTTTGGCTAACACCTGGCCGATACAGCCGACGAGTTCCACATCTGGAACGATGTAGGCGTCATCCACCTCCCAAACAATGAGAAGATAACGATTGAAATGGTGGATAATTGGTAATAAAAGTTCAAGGCCGGCCACCCCTATCCTCTGGGAGTCAAGGACCGGAAATTTTTGGATACCACCTTTAATACCATGCACAAAAAGGGCAAACTGGAGTGGGTAAAAAGACCCACCCCATTTGGATGCCCCTGCTTTATCGTGTGGAAGATGGTAAACGGGAAGAAAAAAAGGCGGGTAATCATGGATCTTTAACGCTTAAATAAATATGTATTACCCGATAACTACCCGCTGCCACGAGTAGAGGACATTTTATAAAAGATAAACGGTAATAAATATTTTAGTATCATCAATACCTTTACCTTTTTTTATTAATTACTTATTGCTAATAAACACAAGGATAAGATAATTATAGTTTTACTAAGAGGATTTAAAATGTCTAATATAGCTTTTATAAGCTTTTAAAACTCCTCCGCTTTTACATAACGCTTTATAAACCATAGGTTATAACATATAAAAGCCTTTTACCAGGCGTTCATTAACGATGTTTATGTTTTCAGTAAAACTAAAAAGGATTATATCGATCACCTCCGCTAATTATTTGTAACATATTAAAAGATTAAGTTAATAATTAACCCTAAGAAATGTTTTTTAAGGTATCCCTTAATTAAGCTTTTAAGTTTTATTATAAATGGGAACGAAATCTTAATCTTAAACGAAAAAATGAAGGTAATTAAAAAGATTAAAATGCTTAATACATTAAGTTATTTTAAAACATATATAAAATTCACCGGTTTCCTTAAAAAACATATACCGTGGTATTAGCAAAAAATCTTACCACTTTAAAAGTAAAAGATTAAAATATTAGTAACAGTTAAAAAAAATAACGTAATTCTTAAAAAAAACGTCGCTAAAAAAACATATATATTTAAAGTAATATTCACTTTAATAAAAAAAAAACTTTTATCCTTTAAGATAATTTAAGAGAATTTTATTAATCTCGTTAACCTTATTTATTAGGATTATTCTTGTAAAACATTTATGAAGATAAACGCTTTAAAGGAAAAAGGATTTAACGTTATAATATTTTATATAAACGAATTATAAGATGGAATAAGAATATTTATTTTAAAAGTATTATTAATCTTATTTTTATTTAAGGTATTAATTAAGGTTAAATATCGATATTATATAATAAAGTTAGAAATAACATGTTTGGTATAAACGTGTAAATAGAACCGAGTTTAATTATAATTATACGAGTAACCGGTTATCACGTTCACCGACCACGGATTAACGATTAATATCGCTCACGCCGACACGTTTAAGACTTTAAACATTAATAAAATAAACACCAAACTTATAATAACCTTTACCTACTTTTCCTAATTTTATTTAAATGTTCAACACATCCCCGGACGATTAAATTTAATGCCGGACGCGTTATTTAAGTTACCGACATAAAACTCATAAAAAGATATAACTAAAGCGAAATAAAAACATAAGTCCACCCTTAACGATGTTATAAATAACTACGGCTACGGCTTATATTCTTTAAAAATTATTATTTACTTTTAATACAAATAACGAATCATTAACGAATATAATAACGATAAACGCTTAAAGTAACTTAAAGAGATTTTTAGTAAAAGCATGTAAAGTAAAACCTTAAAAAAAGTCGGAAAATGGTATAAATATAAATTAAAAGATAAACTCTTATACCACATTACCCCCATTAAAATTAAATAATTAATAATACCTTCCCCTTATATATAAAAGCTATTTAAAATAACACATAACGACAAATATCACTTTAACCTTAAAAGAATGTTACACAACCTCAGTGAAATCTTAATATAAAATTTAACAAAGAAAGTGCGAATATATATATAATAATACCCATAGTATTAGGAAAATAAAACCGATAAATTAAAATTATATAATGAATTAATGCTTATCGACTTCGTTTTATAACCTTTTCACATTATTACATAAGACTTTATTATTAAGCTACCTAAAATCTTATTAAAAAACTCCTTTTAAGCGATGCTTAAACACTTATATTTTAATTCCTTATTAATAATTACTTATAAATTTAATAAGAAAATTATTTTTATACCTGGGAACATTACATATATAATCATTAAATGGGTTATATTGGCATTAAAGGCTTTCTTGCTTTACAACTAAGGTATATTATTTAAGATTATATCTAATAAAAACTTGAAGTTTTTATCGGAAGTATAGCAAATATTATTTAATTATATTAAATTATTATTAACATTCTTAACTGCTTATCACGTTTAAATAAATAAATTAGGTAAATATTATAACTAAAAAGTTAAGATTACTATTTGCTTCTTTAATAAGATAACTAAGAAATGAGATTTAATCCTTATCCCCTTATAACATAACATAAATAACTTTAAACATTCTATATTAAGCCACTCCCCTAACAAAATTATATATAAATTTTAACCTAAAACCTTACTCTTAACCTTAAAAGTCCCATTAAATAACATTAATATCGACATCCTGTAATAAACTTACTAAAAAAAGGCAAAAAAAATAATTAACTTTATTATAATTAAAACAAAAGCTAGGTATAATATAAAACACCGCTTAATTAACTTTAAAATTAAGGAAATAATATATTTACGTTTATATAAAAATTATAATTTTCCTAATAAACCACCACATAAATAGTTCATTTAAAAGGTAAAACCTTTAATTATTCTAAAAAAAATTAACCCTTTAACATATTAACTTAACATACCCTTTCATTAGAAAATATATAACGTTATATTAATAACACACTTATACCAGGTATTATAAGGAGCTAACCCTTATAAAAAATATTAACCTTAACTTAAAAAAATTTTAATAAAAAAAGATAATAAAAAATAAATATCTTATAAAATAAAAGCATTAATGAATAAAAGAATTAATAAAACTAAGAAAACGCTTAAACTTAAATACCTTATTTAATAAAAAAGATACTTACAAGCATATAACCAATAATACTTACGAGAATTGTTAATGTAAAACGCATCCACTTTAATAGATAATTATAATAAGAATTATCTTCTTTTATTAAATAAACTATAACTTAAATCCATCCTTAAACATAACGACATTAATATATTACCACTAACGTTAAAACTAATAAAAGACTTAAATTAAAAATTAATAAACCATATACCACGAATTAATATTAAAATCATCCT